GTTCAATCACAGGCATTAGGAGGGGGAACCAGGGTTCATCCAAGGTGGTTTGCCAAAACCTTAATTTTCAATTTCTCAAAATATTTTTGACCCAACTTAAGTTTGGTAAAGCAGAGCAAACTTCTGCTGAAAATATTGTTTTGTGCTGCAGCTTTCCATCTTTCTGAAACTCTTACGATTGCCCTTGGGATTAATAAATGTTCAAGGAAGCCACAGAGAGGTCTGTGACATGAAAAAAAGGCCATTCACACATACAAACACACAAACACAGAGAGAGATGCCTTGGCCAACTTATTATTAGCTAAAGAACTGCAGCAATACTCAGGAGAATTTTCTGAAATTCTCTTTTCCTTTGGAAAAAAAAGTCAGAAACAAAGTCTCTCTCAATAAATTGAATGAGAACTTTTCAATCTTTTACTTGGTACTAAAAATGCATATTTTAAAAATGGAAATATTCCTTCAATTGCACTTAAATAAAACAGCATCATAGAGTTACTTTACTTCCCCCCCCCTTTTTTTTTTTTTTTTTTTGAAGGAGAATAATCTGCTGTTCTTCCTATGGCTATTTGGTCTTCCATTTTGGATTTTCACATTATGCTTATTTTTTAAAATGCCTATAATAATAATAATAATCCAGTATAATTTATACAAGAAGTTTAATGTGATTAAATACTAGGCTAAATAATTAAAATGTGAAGAAGCATTTAAAACATTGTCAGGAGTGTCAAAAGCAGTTGAGCTGGCAAAGACTAAGGCTTGGCATGGTGGTAGCTACCATCTTGCCATTTATGCCACCCCCAACCACCTCATTTGCCCCTGAAAATTTCTCCCCTGAATTGCCAATGGTCCAGGGTCCTTCCAACTTCTGGGGTAGCCATAGCAATTAGACTTATATATTGCTTCACAGTGCTCTGCCCTTCTCTAAACGATCAAGTTTGGGGGTTTTTTTGTGGCCCAATATTTCCCAAATTAAGAAGGCTGCATTCCAGCAAACATGCATTAGCTTCCCAGAATCATAGGGTTGGAAGGAACCTTGGAGGTCATCTAGTCCAACTCTGCATCCAAGCCAGGAGACCTTATTCAATGGCAATAGCGCTTAGACATATTAGTGCTCTCTAACCCTAACCCCCGCCTTGAAAATGTTTCACTTCTCATCCAAAAAGCTTCTTCAGTTTTTCAGTTCATTCAGAACTGAAGAAGCTTCTTAGATGAGAAGCAAAATGTCTTCAAGCGAAAACATGAAGGCCAGTTGTCCCACCGTTGGGACAACCATGACCTGGATGATGGAGAATCTCCACAGATCATGGGCAGAGGGAAGCCCATCAGACTTTCAGGATTCTGTTACTGTAACTGTTATGGTAAAAAATAGTGTCTATGGTGCTTTTTTCTTAGTCTGGCCTGCCTTGTAGGGCGAACATCAACATCCATCTATCGTTATCTCCTTGTTTCTGAGCATCACCTTATCATAAAATTAATTCACCACCATGGCAGGGAATTTGGTCACCATAGTGACAGTACAACATGGTGTATTATCCAGTGATGGTTAGATTAGTTATTCAGGAAGAAGGAGATAATCCTCATGTTCTTAAAACCAGTAGGGCTTTCCTCAAAGAACCTTGAGAATTATTGGATAGGCAAAGATCTCTTCTCCCCCCCCCCCGTTATCACTGCACCTTCCCTGTAAAATCTCCCAATCGTGGCTTCACATAGATGTTCCCATTGTTGCACGTCACACTTCTCAGCCTCTCAAGCGTGTAGGAAAGCAAAGGGAGGCCACATGCTCCCTGATACTCTTATCCTGTGGATGCCATCCAGAGCTGGGAGCCACTGAACAAAATAAAAAGGTTTATAACAAATTATATAAGGAAATTATATCAGGAGATGCCATTATGAACCTACTCTCCAAAGCCCCTGAGGGCAGGTAAAAAAGCAATGGGTGGAAGATAATTAAAGAGAGAGCCAACCTTGAAATAAGGACGAATTTCCTGACAGGGAGAACAATTAATCAGTGGAACGGCTTGCCTTGAGAAATTGTGGGTGTTCCGTCACTGGAGGTTTTTAAGAAGAAAACTGGACAGCCATTTGTCTGAAATGGTATAGGGTTTCCTGCTTGAGCAATCAGTTAGACTAGAAGACCTCCAAGGTCCCTTCCAATCCTGTTATTCTATGTTATTCTATATTGTTTTGTATATATATAATTGCCCTATGAATCAGATGCAGTCAAATGCAGCTTTCAACACGCTAAATCTCAGTAAGAGCAGCAGGTATTTGAAAAACTTCTAAAAGGGCCATTTAAGATATTTGTAGCATCTCTGTGCTTCTGAATATCAACAGAGTTAAAAGGTGTGATTTTGCTTTTGTCTGTTAGGTACAATTAAGGACTTCCCGCCATCATTTCTTTCTCTCTCGCTGTTGCATTAGAACAATATCTTCATTAGAAATCGTTTTGTCTTTATTTAGTCCTGAGAAGACTGTGCTCATTAGTCTTCTGCCAGAGGTGCCTTTTTTTGTTGGGAAGAAGAGAATGCATTTTAAAGCATCTGTCTTTTTTTTTAAAAAAAAAAAAAGAATAAGAAGAAGGGATCACTGTCACTATCTCCTCAAAACTAAGATAAGGAATAATGTTTCATAATTGTCTCCGTGTATAAATAACCTATCTCACAATAAAAGAATTCTCCTCCAAATATTCCTGTCAAAACTGGGGAGGAAACATGACAGCCATTCCTTTAAACTCTGCTTGGGCTTAATTGGAGAAGCCTGTCTTGAAGATGATGTGGGACAATCCATCACAGGATTAAACAACTCAAAGATACAAATAGCTTGTAGGCAGGTTAATGCAATTACTTTCAGCAACCTTCCATCTGTAGTAGGAGAGGAGCAGGCAGAGCTGGGGGCGAAGTTAAGCGAATCATTAGCTTAGAGTTGTTACGTGGTCCAAGTCTAACCCCTCTTGAATTCCGTTGACCCTTATCTGGCACCCATTTAGTATTGAACTTTAGTTGACCAGATTCTTGTGTACATTAAATCCTTGAACCTCAATTTAAAATATGGTCTTGATCCTTTATACTTCAACACCATTCCCCCAGAGAACAGGTCATCCATTCCAAGAGACATAGAGCAGACAATGTTCCTATGACCCACCCTAAACTTATTTTTGGGACCAATTTGATTGATTAATTAATATTCTGCCTTCCTCCAGTTGCCCAGGCTTAGTACATAGCAATCCCTTCTTTTATTTTATTTTTTCTCTCCCAATAACAACATTGTGAGATTGCTTGGACTGAGAGAGAGAGACATTGTCTACTTCAAAGACATCCTCCATAACTGAGGGTGGATTTTAACTTGGTCACTTGGGGTCCTAGTAGAGTCTCCTCTACTTTATGATGCCATGTGCCCAGTGGTGGGATTTAAATACCTGAGCAACCGGTTCGCTTATTGGATGCAGGCCTGGGCCTCTGAGGCCTAGAACGGACTTCTGGAAGTGGCATCCACACACTTCTGGTGGGCTGTTCTAAATACGAGTCAGTTGCCAAGCGTCTGAATTTTGATCACATGACCGTATGGATGCTGCAACAGTTGTAACTGAAAAATTGTCATCAGTGACTTTTTTCAGTGCCGTTGTCACTTTGAACAGTCACTAAATGAACTGTTGTAAGTCAAGGACTACTATCCCTCCAGAGATCCTTCCTCCATAATGTTCTGAAGAAATTGAAAAGTCAGCTATTTTCTCTCGCAACAGGATGGTGGATGAGCCCTAGTGGGATTTTGTTTGCTATATTTTAGTTATGTTGTATGTGGTCTTTTCATTTGCTTCTCTTTTATTGATCTGTTTTTGTATTATATATGAGGCTTACCATTGTTGGTTTTTTTTAAAAAAAAAAAAACTGCACATAAATAAACAAGCAGTTTCTCTGCAGGAACAGTGCTGAAGCTGCACTAGCCAGAATTCTTCCCTTTCTCTGTCCCATTTCACACTGGGTAGACTGCATTGTTCTCAGTGGAAATCCCCCGTGTTTAAGCCAAATAATCAAAGGGTTTTCTTGATAAACCTACATCCACAAATAATTGCTTGTCAGGCTACGGTGAATTTGCAGAGATCCTCCGAGAATATTCCAATTCATAAGATTATGATAAAAAGGGTAGAGGCCTTTATTTAAAGGTCACTAATTAAATAAAGAGCAGCTGACAGAGCATCTGGGTAGATTTGAGTGGCATAAAAATGCCCAGTTGTAGACCTTTGGAACCTGAATTTGCATGTTTGCAGAATATCTGTCTATCTATCATCTATCTATCTATTTCTGAACACAGAGACGGAATCATCTTGAGGAAGGAAAACTTCCTGTTAAGTAAAGTGGATCCTAGGTCTGGCATACTTATCTAAGGAAATGTATTTATCTGTTTGTAAGCTGCCCACCCATAAGTAGGTCTCCGAATACCAGTGTAAAATATTTACAATAGAAAATTAAAAATAAAAGAATTAACATCATGGAAACGGTAGGAGAGCCTGCTAAAATTTCAACAGTGAGATTGGATTTGTAAAACAAGCTATGCTAAGCTTGGCAAGATAGATCATATCGTCTGCAAATTCAGCCAGCGGGTCTGTCTTATGGTTCAATGCATGAGCATTCACAAGGCCTGTATACATTTGTGTGTGTGTCTGTTTGTGTGTGTAATGTCATGCATATCATAATGTCATTGGAGAAGTGTTGTGAATTCAAAATGGCTTGTCCGGTGACTTGTATGCTTGTAAAACCAGGTTCTACAGCTTTTATATTCATGATGAAACTGGGTTGAACACTTCCAATCAGGCAATATTGGAAAGGCAATATATTTTCTGTAGGAGAAATGCTATCAGCAAGACATTCTACATTCAAGATGCCTCCACCCAGATCCTCCCTATGTTTGAAGAAACGTTGGGATGTTTCAAGTGAAATATGCGGGGTTTTAGTGATGTAGAGATGCCATCTGCACAGCTGATCCGCATCTTTGCTTGTCTCCAGGCATCCATTGTGACAGTGTGTGCTCACCAGGCCGTTGGGGACCCAACTGCTCCATTGCCTGCAACTGTGAAAATGGAGGTTCCTGTTCTCCAGAAGATGGAATCTGCGAGTGCGCTCCGGGCTATCGAGGACCCATGTGCCAGAGAAGTAAGAATCTCACGCTTTGCTCTATAAATGCAATCCAGCAATTCCCCCTTTTGATCCAGGTTGCTATTCCTGAATCCCTTGCGAACTTGCTGACGAATTGTACTTTTGCATGTGATGGAAGGAAAACTAGAGCACTGAAAGGAGAGTTAATGTGTGGACAGTAAGCATACTAGCAGTTTTTATTGTATTTTATTTTAATTTTCAGCCAATGTATAAAATAGGGTCCAATAGGGTGTTAATTGTGACTGTTGTGACTGGTATCTTGACTGTTTTGGCCATACTCTACTTGTGGACTTTAGCTCCCATGTGGAATTGTGGAATTCCCCTCCTATGGCTGGCTGGGGAATTCTGGGAAGTCCACAAGACTTAAAGTTGCCAAGTTTGGAGACCCCTGTGCTACAGCAGTGTTTCTGAAAACATTTTGCTCCCAAGAGCCCTTCCCACTTGTAACAATTATGGAGGATCCCAAACAGTTTTTGTTTGCATGGATTATATTGAGTGATATTGGTTGGATTAAAATTTTAAATCCATGCCAGGTGCAACAAAAATAATGGATACTAACCATTTTGGCGAACTTTGCTATAGGGGCAAAATTGGTGGTTTACTTCAGATCTAATGTTAGGTTACCCTTCCCTTCTGCAATTCTTCAATTCGATCCTGACCAGCTCACGGTTGACCCAGACTTCCATCCTTCCGAGGTTGGTAAAATGAGGACCCAGATTATTGTTTGGGGGCAAGATGCTGACATTGTAAACTGCTTAGAGAGGGCTGTAAAGCACTATGAAACAGTATATAAGTCTAAGTGCTATTGTTATTCTATTGCTATTGCTATTCCATTCCATTCCATTATCTATTCTATTCTATTCTATTCTATTCTATTCTATTCTATTCTATTCTATTCTATTCTATTCTGTTCTTACCATCATGGTTAGAATCATGGTTAGAATGGTTAGAATGCAATGGTTAGAATGCAGTATTGCAAGCTGACTCTGCCCACTGCCAACAATTCAGTCCTGACCAGCTCAAGGTTGACTCAGCTTTCCATCCTTCCGAGGTTGGTAAACTCAGGACCTGGATTGTTGGGGGCAATTTGCTGACTCTGTAAACCGCTTAGAGAGAACTGTAAAGCACTGTGAAGCGGTATATAAGTCTAAGTGCTATTGCTATTTCTCATCCCTGTTTGTTGCGCAAGACAGCACTGGAGGGAAAAGAAAGACGGGGACACATGCCTGAGAACCCCAAAGCAAAAGCAGGTCACTCAGTGGGTGTTTCAAATGGTCATAAGTTGAGGACTATCTGTAACTGACTTTAATGTATCATCTTCTGATATTTATAAGGTAAGCTGCTCAGAGTCTGCAGAAATGGAGCAGTGTATAACTTGTAAAGGGTTAGTACGACTAAAAATAATTGGCTTAATCATTATTTCCTCACCAATCCCTCACTACAGGCAGAATCTGTGAAAAGAACCTTCTAATCCTTACGAATAATTTGATAATAGACCTCCCTACTAGTGGAAATCACCCAAAGTGGCTGGGAGACCTGTTCGGAGTTTAATAATCATGTCCCGGAGGTCTCTTTCCCACGCCAGGATCTTCATCATTACAAATAAGTCTCTCTGTTGAGCAGAAGTCCTCTTCTGCTCCTCAAGCTGTTCTTGCCACAAGGCAGCTGCTCTCCATTCCAAAATAATTGGCTGCTGTTCTTTTCCTATTTAAAGCTGCTACTGTCTTGACCTCGGTCCCCCGGCTCCGTTAATGACCTTGCAGAGCTTCCATTACAGGTCCTTGCTTCCTGCGGCTAGCAGTGCTTCTATGTATCAGGGAAGCAAGGGGGGGGGGAATTATTTTTACCACAATGAAGTCCCGAGGGTTCCAAATGTAACTCCAGGAACTCTAGAAAGAGGAAAAAAAGTAGTGCTTAATTTGACTAGACAAGGGTGTTCCAACTTAAAGATGACTTATTCCATTCCATTCCATTCTATTCCATTCTATTCCATTCTATTCTATTCTATTCTATTCTATTCTATTCTATTCTATTCTATTCTATTCTATTCTATTCTATTCTGTTATCTAATCTGTTCTGTTCTGTTCCATTCCATTCCGTCTTGTCCTGTCCTGTCCTGTCCTGTCCTATCCTATCTTATCCTATCCTATCCTATCCTATCCTATCCTGCTATGCTGTGCTATTCTATTCCATTCCATTCTTTCATAATTTCATTCTATTCTGTTCTGAGAGTTGGAGGGGATCTTGTAGGTCATCTAGTCCAACCCCCTGCCCAAGCAGGAGACCATGCACCATTCCAGTCTCTTCTTGAAAGCTTCCATTGATGAAGCTCCAACTACTTCTGAAGGCAACTTCTGTTCCATTGGTTGATTGTTCTCACTGTCAGAAAATTTCTCCTTATTTCTAGGTTGAATCTCTCCTTGATCAGTTTCCATCCGTTATTCCTTGCCTGGCCTTCAGGTGCTTTGGAAAATAGGTTGACCCTCTCCTCTCTGTGAGACCCCCCTCAAATATTGGAACACTGCTATCCTGTCTCCCCCTGTCCTTCTCTTCACTAGACTAGCCGTGCCCAAGAACTCCTTCCATGCTTCTCCCATTCACAAGCTGCTGTGCTGGCTCTCCCAGAGCATCTCCCTCCACCCCGGGCACCCTTCTCTGAGACTCCCACTTCTTTCCATTTATCTACCTGTGTGGTCCTGTGGTTAACAACGGGAACCAGGACTGCCAGATTGTTGTCTCCAAGCACCACAGTGATGTGCTTTACCGCTACATCACTTAGCGGCGGCAATCCCAGGCTCAATTACTGTTGTAACTCGAGGAGTATCTGTGCTGGTAAAACATCACCAGGAGAAGTATGTGCTAAAGTACAGCTAAAAATATAACAAGGCTAATAAATCAGAAGAGAATATAGAGAATCATGATTAAATGAGTGACATTTGAAGAGAACATAATTTATGCATAAAGTGTTAAAATAGAAGTGGCTCAATCCTTTATATAATAATGTTATTTCAGTGCAATAATGTTTGTACAATATGCTTAGGTTCATAATATTCTGTTATTTAGGTGTCATACTTTATTGAATATCAATCAGAGAAAGAAAAGACCAATATTCTATCAATGTTAACTACCATTTTGGATATTCAAGTTGCAAGTATTATGATTATTTCATGTTTTCTTTTCAATTTCCTAGTTTATCTTCAGTTCAGGAGCATCCACAGGGGAGTCCAAAACATCAGGATTGTGATTGTCACCCGGCAATCGAAGCCCTGCTTGCTTTATATGTCCATCAATGTCACATACGTGTGCAAAGGGTGGGGGCATACTTAGACCCTCTTCAGTTCCTATGATTAATCAAACTCCCAAAGTAGCTCTAAGAACAAAGATTATTTCTATATATTTTACACACATCCTCATTTAGCGACCACAATTGGAACTGGAAACTTAATCGTTATGTGAAGTGGCTGCTTAAATAAAACCCGACTGTATTTCTCATCTGATTTCGGCTTCCCTTCGCTTTGCAAACCTGCAAAGGTTGTCAGTGCAAGGATTGCTCATAAAGTTACTTTTCATCACCGTTGTAGCTGAACAGGCACTAAATGAGGCAGTCGCTAAATAAGGACTTCCTATACAATCTTTCTAATAGCCCATCAATTGTAAAAGTCCTCCACGGTGTATTGTAATTGATGGAGATTGTATGTTCTTATTTTTAAGCTTCTTCTACAGTTTTGTTTATTCCTTGTTCTGCTTTTGTGATCTCTCTTAGTTTGTCCCCCTGGTTTCTACGGGCTTCACTGCAACCAGATTTGTCCTCAATGCCTTCACAGCACACTCCCCTGCCATCATGTCACGGGCCAATGTGATTGCCTACCAGGGTTTTTTGGCCCCCTCTGCAACCAAGGTAAGGTGCTATTTGCGGATTCCATAAGTCTGTACATACAGGTAGTCCACGACTTACTGCTAGAATTGAGTCCAATTCTTTTTTTTTTTTGGTTGTTAATCGCTGCCCTTGTTATGTTAGTGACACATTTGCTAAGTGGATCTGGCTTCCCCATGGACTTTGCTTGTCAGAAGATTGCAAAAGGGGATCACGTGACCCCGGGACACTGCAGACCGTCATAAATAGGAGTCAGTTGCCAAGCGTCCGAATTTTCATCACGTGACCGTGGAGGATGCTGCAAAGGTCGTAAGGGTGAAAAATGGTCATTTTTTTCAGCGCTATTGTAACTTTGTACAGTCACTAAATGAACTGTTGTAAGTCGAGGACTACCCGTAATTGATTGCACCCCGTATAATGCTCTAACGCCAACTGGAAGCAGGTTTTTTTTTAAAAAAAAAAAAATCCAATGTCATCTTTGAGTTTCTAATTCACCACCATACGAAAATGATGTTGAAACTTTAGAAAGAGTGCAGAGAAGAGCAACAAAGGAGGCTGAAATGTATAAGGAATGTTTGCATGTCCAGTCTAATAAAGAGAAGGACTAGGGGGGCCATGATAACTGTCTTCCAGTATTTGAGGGGCTGCCACAGAGAAGATGGGATCAACCTCTTCTCCAAAGCACCTGAGGGCAGAATAGTATAAGGTTTCCTGCTTGAGCTTCCAAGGTCTTTGCCAGCCCTCTTACTCTATGTTCTTTATCTTGGCCCCATTAACAGATATAACATAGTTAATGTATATTTTCTTATATTTATTATCTTCTGGGGCTGAATGCAGTCTGTGGGCCACAGGTTGGACCTGCCTGTTCTACGCCTTTCCCAAGCTAGAAATGTGAGCCCCTCCATCATTTTGTTGGCCTCCTCTCTGTTTTTCCCAGCTCTGCTAGACCTTTTTGCAAACCCTGTATCCACCGTTTCTACCAAGCATGCTTAGCAAATTGCTGAACCCAACTGTTAATTTTTTTAGATTTGAAAAAAAAACCCAACACCCAGTGGTTGTTTTACAGCTCTTTCCAAGAGCACGGCAGGGTGTTCCAGTATTCTGAATGTTGTTTGTGTGTTTTATTAAAGAAACAAATAAAAATCACGTAACGACGAAGACAAACCCAAAACAAAACCCAACACCACACACTCATCTTTTGTTATTATATAAATATTGACAAACCATATTGTCTAAACTAGCAATTAACACTGTAAACAATCTGCGTAGGACATGAAATTAAAATGGGAGGAAAAGGAGGAAAAAATATGTGGGGAAGGTATATCATAAACAAAAGAGTTTCAGAAAATATAACCAAATCACTTTGGTGTCCTCTACTTTGCCCTTCTGTAGAAAGCAGACTAATTAAAATGTTGACAAATAATAATCCATAGCCATAAATCAGTGGTAGATTTATATAATAATTCTTCGGTTACCAGCATTCCAGCATATGAAAAAAACATCGTTCTCCAGGTTTCGGGAGTTGTGGCCATGATTTATGGCTTGTTGTCCTTGAGCATTTTCTACGCCAGGTTCATCTGAGAACTGTAGCTATGTTTGGACATAAAGCTCAGCCTTGATTTAGCACCGTGAGAGTAAGTCGGGAGATTAGGTTTGCTCCTGCTGTTCCCTGGCCTTCTGCGGGGTGAATACAAATGGCCATTTCAGATTATCTACTGCTTATTGGGTGGAATGGCCTTGCACTTTTTGGCTTTGCAAGTATGATTTGAAGTTGGCTTCTTAACAGAAAGTTTAATTCCGTTTACGCATACTTTGAAAAACAGAGCCAGACTTAGTCAAATGCAAAGAAGCAAGTGTACAGGCTTGTGGTTGGGTCAGAGAAGGAACAAGAGTGTGCAAGGAGAGGCGGTTTGTACTCATAACAAATTATGATCAGTTTGGTCTAATGCAGGGGGTCTTCAAACTTGGCCCTTTTATGGCTTATGGACTTCAACTCCCAGAATTCCTCAGCCAGGATCATCTTGGGTTGGTTTTAGGACCATCATGAGATCTACCAAAGATGGGCAGGTGCCATTACAGTTTTAACTTGAGGCCTTTCTGTATTTCTCTGCCCCTCCTGCAACATGAATTTGTCTTCCTCGCACTATGGTGTCCTTTGCCAGCCAAAATAATTATAAATAAATTAAAATTAAATCAAATTAAAAATATAAATCCTTGCGTTAAAATGGCTGTTATCCACTCCTGACTTAGCATGACACCTGAATCAGCGTTTTGTTTAATGGCATACCTGATGAGGTCAGAATGAGAGAAAGCAGAGTTGGAAGGGTCTTCTAGTTCAGCCCCCTTGCACAAGCAGCAGACCCTCTGCCCTATCCCGTTTCAGACAAGTGGCCGTCCAGTCTCTTCTTAAAAGCCTCCAATGATGGAGCACCCACCGCTTCTGAAGGCAAGCCGTTCCACTGGTTGATTGTTCTCACTGTCAGGAAGTTTCTCCTTAGTTCTAGGTTGCTTCTCTCCTTGGTTAGTTTACATCCGTTGCTTCCTGTCCTGCCTGCAGGTGCTTTGGAGAATAGCTTGACTCCCCCTTCTTTGGGGCAGCCCCTGAGAGATTGGAACACTGTTATCATGTCCTCCATACAAATCACACTTAGATCAAATAATTATGGCCAGACCAAATGCAGGCATCCATTTTCTCTTCTCCTTGCAACTGACATCAGCATGATATGGAACATTTAGTAGGAGACCAAACATTTAATTTTCTCTTTTCAGGAAATGATGTCTGATTTCTTAGAAGAATCTAGCTTATTTTTCAAAGTCTGGAGCGGGGCTAATTATCTCATTAAGTCAAATTCTCTTTTCTTGATTTCAATCTGTTGAGCATCCCTACTTTCCCTTTGAAATGTTGATCCAGCCAGCAGGATTTCCATCAAATATTCATGTTCTAATTAAAGACAATTGGTGTTGCAATTTATCATAATAGGCAAGCATACAAAATGATACATATTTTTCTGAAGAAAAAATATGAGGCAAGAAAGAGATGGAGGAGGAGGAGGAGGAGGCAGTTCAATATTTTATTTGGGATTAACATAAAGCACTCCCCCCCCCGCAAGTTGAAATTAAGATGGTGTGTTTCTCTCACCATCTGTTTTAATAGCATTTCTTCAGCTTGGTTTGTTGCAAATGTAAATTGGCTTCCATGTTTACCAAACTGCCTCCCTCTTTGATCATTCTTCTAGCGAAGGATGGAAGATTATCAAACAGAGATCCAGCCTAGAACTTAGGAGAAATTTCCTGACTATGAGAACAATTAATTACTGGAATAGCATGCTTCTGGAAGTTGTGGGTGCTCCATCACTGGAGATTTTCAAGACTAGAAAGCCATTTGTCCAGAATGGTGTAAGGTCTCCTGCTTGAGCAAGGGGTTGGACTAGAGGACCTCCATGGTCTCTTCCAACTCTGTTATTCTGTAATTCTGTAAGGGTTGGAAGGGAGGATTATCTAAATCAACCCTCTCCCCAGTGCAGTCCTGAACAGATAAGTCATCCAGCCTGTTTGAACACATCTGGCGAAGGAGAGTCCACATTTGCATTTAAATCCAGTGAAAGTGAAATACACTGACTAGGATGACTCTCCAGAAAATGTAATATTTTCCATCTTTTGTCAAATTACAACCTGGTACTAAATTTTGGAGCTCTGGAAGCCACATCTAAAGCTTTCAGGAGCTAACTGTGGCCCTCAGATTATGCATGTCTGATCTGTGATAGGTAGTAAAAGGGCCACTTTAGCTAGGAATAATATATTTCCAAGTATTTTTTAATAGGCATGTAAGGAATTTGAGTCATAAATCATGATCGTTGCAGGAACACATCTGAAATATTAATAACTGAGGAACACAGTCCTTTTTCAGAACTTTAATAACAAATTAGCATTGTAGTTGTATCTGCCCATTCCTACGTAAACAGAATATTTTTGTCCTTCTCTCAAAATTCTTAGATCCATCAATTATGGACGTGCTTGATTCACAAATTTGGTGGAGTTTAATGGTTTGTGTGAACTTTTTTTGAAGGCGTCTTCTTCAGCTTTACAGCATCTTGGAGAATGAAGATTTATTAGATAGAAGTTTACCATGATACGGAACTCATTTCCCGAGACAGTAGGGTTTTGCATAATATTTTGATGAAGTGGTTTTGCATCCAGACAGAATCTTGCTTTGCTGAAATGTCTGATATATCACAAAGCTGCACTTTGACCAATCATGGAACGTTGTAAATTATAGTTAGAAACAGAGAGATAAAAGAGCACACGTAATAAATAAAAGCACTAAGCCATTAAATTACTCTTTAATGTTAATACTGCAGAGATGAAAAGACCAACTACAAGAAAAAGCATCATGAAATAAGTAATATTAGTTTAAACACAGGCAAAAGTTGAAGCCATACATAACTCATTACTATGGAGCGTGCAATGTGGAGACTATCTGTGAAAAAGCTCTGGGTCCTTTTTGCAAAGACAAATCAATCTTATAGACCAGTCCATGAAAAGGACCTGCTGAGTCCTGACACATGGGTACACATGAGTGGGCCTTCAAATAGGAAGTCCTATAATATCCAAGGGTCTTTTTTTTTAACCCAAGCTAACACTATGAATCCAACGTAGAAAGCATAGAAGCACAGGGCTGCAAGGGATTTCGAAGGTCTTCTAGTCTAACCCCCTGCTCAAGGCAGGAGGCATTATACCATCCCAGTCAAATGGCTATACAATCTCTTCTTGAAAACCTCCAGTGATGGAGAACCAACAACTCCAGGAGGCAATCTGTTGCATTAATTAATTGTCCTCACTGTCAGGAAATTTTTCCTTGGTTCTAGGTTGCTTCTCTCCTTGATTAGTTTCCATCCATTGCTTCTTGTCCTACCTTCTTCTGGTGTTTTGGAGAATAAGATGAACCCGTCTTCTCTGTGAAAACCTAAGTGCTGGAAGACAATTATGTCTCCCCTATCTTTCTCTTTGATAGACCAGCGTGCCTGGCTGAGGAATTCTGGGAGTTGAAGTCCACAAGTCATAAAAGGGCCAAGTTTGAAGATCCCTGGGCTAGACATACCTAGCTAATAAAACTGATACAGAATTAGTAACATGTGTTCCAGTGGTTTTATCCTGCCAACATTTGGTGAGCCCTTTCTTGAACATCTTCCAGAGGCAGCTGTAGTTAGAGTGCATGGCAACAGTACAAGTGGAATTCACTAAGTTAAAAAAAAGGTAAATCTAATTTTAGACAGGATCACAGCTGGTGTAACAGTGTAAGCTGGTGAGAGCTGGTGGACTGTCCATCTGTACTTCTACAGAGTGGAGTTCATGAATTTCTACGGTCTATGAATTTGGTTCCTTATGGGCAAAACAACCCCATTCAACAAAGATACAGTCCTTTATAAAGAATGTCCAAATGAAATCTTGTCTGGATTAAATTTCAGCTTCTTTTCCTTTACCCATTGTATAAAACCAGGAACTGGTAGAAGCTCAACCAAAGCTCAACATACAACTCCTTGGAGAGCCACTTCTTCAACAGTAGGCAACATGGTGAGCTTCAAGAGGAGATTCAACACAACGCAACCTTGATATCTTTTTTTGTTTCCACAGTGTGTCCAAGTGGAAGATATGGAAAAGACTGTGCTGAGTTGTGTTTGTGTACAAACAATGGGACCTGCAATCCCACTGATGGCTCTTGCCAGTGTTTCCCAGGATGGATTGGCAAAGATTGCTCACAAAGTAAGAGAAATACACCTCTTTTTAGTTTGTATACCATTGCAGTGATTTTCTTTTAAGGTTACAGACATATATTTAGGGGTAAATAGGCAGGTTTTAATTTAAATTTAATTTAATTAATTCTTGCCTTGAAGTTCTTGAATGGGATTCATCTATCGGAACCATGACAGTATTTGTGTAGGATAAATCACTTATTTAGGTTCACTTTCTGGAATGTTAGGTTAAAGGAGTTCTCGAAGTGGAAGGGGGATGAGTGAGTGCAACCATCTTCTTCTGAACCTGAGGTAATGTTTATTGATGCCATCTGGTTCCTGTCTGAATCTTCTCTATAAAAGTTGCCCTTCGTTCATATAGCTTATTGGAAATGCACAATTTGTTTAATGAAAAGCTTCCTGTCGGGACACTCAGCCCCAGTTTATTGATTCTTGAGGGACATCATTGCTAGAATTACTTGTGAATAGTCTATTAATTGCCCCCAAAGAGTTTCTCCTAATTGCTACTTTCTTTGTAAAGGGAGGTATTTAATTACAAAATTCTTCTAATAACCCCCCTGTATAGGATATTATTTCACTTCATAAATATGGAACCCATAAAAAGCGGGGAGGGTAGGTCCCTTTAATACAACTTTCCTACCATGCCAGGAACAGAAATAAGGGACAGTTAAGGGGGCCATGGAAAAAATAATTAACTAGCAGTTCATTGTTAATTTCCCAGCTGTGCTCAACAGGAAGCAACAGAAGGGCATGACCTAAAGGCAGGAAGCCTTTAATTAAGGTTGGAAAGGATTTTAGTTGGAGAACTATTTCTGAATAAACATCATAGAGAAATCTGGGCATGAATCTCAGCCATAGAAATGCTGCATTAAGAGCAGGACAGGGACAGGATTTCTGCTTTAATTTCCAGTATGAGCTGCTGGGGGGAAAACAATGACTTGGCCACGTTTTTTGGAGAGAAAACCAATCTTTCAAACAAACACACTCCACTCTACACAATTCAGCAAAGCAAATGTATCTATTTTACAAAATTTTAAAGTTGGCCAAGAGTTCTACATGAATCTCTGACCCATAAGAGATTTTCCACTTAATACCCCACCTTAATCCACCCAAAAGACCAAGGTTGGTTTTTTTTATTGTTTTAAAGGAAAACCCATTCTTTTCAAAAATTTCTTGAAGAAATAATTAACTGACAATTCTGTGCAGTGAGATACATGTAGCTACAGACAGAAGGGAAATTCTTTTACCATTCCTCTTACATGTAATTTACTTGTTAAAGTCTAGGAGAGGCAGATAGTTATTTCTTTGAAATTGCCTAGACAGGAGATTGACATCTGCGGTCCTAAAAGTAGCTTTTTCTGAACGACGTCTTCACCTGAGATGGGGCATTGCAGGGAAGACCAGCGTGTCCCCAGAACGGTGTTTCCATATTCAGTGTGCAGCAAGGGATATTAAATAGCATTTGTTGCAAAATACATTAAACCTCCAGTGATACAGTAGGGATTGGATAAAAACAGACAGCTGCAATTTTGCTTTTATTGTAGGTCTTCTGTGAGTTCAATATGGCTGTCAGTCAAAATAAAAATTAGGCAGGCTATCAATTTCGTGGGTGGTTACTTTGAAAAAGCCTGAGAAATTCTTCTGCATTTGTGCTAAATGGGGCCAGTGGCAACATTTCATTTTTTTGTAAAAAGGGATTGTGAAATGCTAGAATGTCTGGGTCACAGGAAGCCGAGATGATTGGTTAAACAAGCCATCATATGTGTTTATCTGTGCACTTTATCCATCTGCTCAATCTTAGCAGGGTCTAGGCAGCTTAAAGTAATGTGTGAACCTGCTTAATGCTTGATGTAGTTCCAGAACAGAATTTTCTTGCCCTAAAACTGTTGCGGTAATTTCAAAACAGCCAATAAATTTCACTTTCATTCTGTTCTTAGTCTCTCAATTTCAAAATCTACTTCTTCCAATTTCTGCATCATTTTTTACACATAGCTGAGCACACTTTTCTTACAACTATATTTTGTTAACAAAATACGGCCTAATACACACACTTTCACACCCAGATTATTCCAAAGCCCTTTTTATGTCCTCCCATTCCCCTGTTTATATTTTTGGATATGTTTTCTCACCTGGAGAACTGTCAAATGTGAAGCGGGGCTGATATTTAAGTACACTGCTGTTTTGCTTCTGATATTGATCTGGAAAAGGATGAAGTGGGTGAATGCGCATTAAAACGCAGTTGTCCAGGTTCCGATAGAGGAGACCAAACAAATCCGAGGCTAGAGATTTCCTCAAAGGATATGTTTATTGGTTACAAAATATTGGCATGGTCAAAAGTGAAACCAAGTCTAAAACTCCCTGAAAAGAGAAACACTATTACAAAGTTAAACTTCCCACCTCAGTGCTATGCAATCAGCTACGTTTCCCAATATAATAGTTTGGCGGGCTTTCTATCCAACTGCTCCCCCTCCCAATCCAAGCGGCAGAAATGACCTTGGTTCCCACGGGACATTGAATTGTTTAGATAGCAGAATTCCTCCACACCCCTTCCCATCTTTGTAGCAACCTAGAATGAGCAAGATGGCTGCAGCCAAGTTCATTGTAGAATTGACAGCAGGTTGAGCAAGATCCTTTTGTATCCCTTTCCCTGCCATCCTGATGGGAGAGATTTTAGCGCATGTATAGAGTGTATTTATCCCTGTGGAAGAAGCTGTGAACTGTAGCAGTTTGATGAAAATAGTTAAAATAGTTAAAAGTGTCCAGTTCCAGACACAGAAAAAATGCTGAGACCATAGAAAGTGTGCAGAGAAGAGCAACAAAGACGATTAGGAGACTGGAGGCTAAACCATACGATGAACACTTGCAGGAATTGGGTGTGTCTTGTCTAGTGAAAAGAACTAAGGGTGACATGATAGCAGTGTTCCATTATTTGAGGGGCTGCCACAAAGAGGAGGGGGTCAACCTATTTTCCAGAGCACCAGAGGGCAGGTCAAAAAAGCAATGGGTGGAAGATCATTAAAGAGAGATCCAACCTAGAATTAAGTAGAAATTTCCTGACAACTAAAACAATCTATGGAACAGCTTGATTCCAGAAACTGTAGTTGCTCCATCACTGGAGGTTTTCAAGAAGAGGCTGGACAACTACTTGTCTGAAAAGGTCTACGGTCTCCTGCTTGAGCAGGGGCTGGTCTAGAAGACCTCCAAGATCCCTTCCAACCCTATTATTCTATATTCTAGACATTTTTCAGTTTCAAGGATGGAAAGATTGGGACATATTCTCTCTCTCTCTCTCTCTCTCTCTTTCTCACCAGCTTGTCCAGCGGGCTTTTGGGGAACCGATTGTTTTCATTCGTGCAGTTGTCACAACGGTGGGACGTGCAGCCCCCAGAACGGAGAATGCCAATGTACCCCTGGCTGGACGGGTCCCTACTGTTCTCAGAGTAAGACCCAGAGTTGGAAGACTTTTGAGGCTCCTACTTGGAAGATCTCTGCAAAAGTTTGCACTGCCCCCAAGTGTCTGCTCTGAGCATTTTCAGAGTTGTCGCAAGTCAAACGGCAGCCAACTCAAAGCAAATAAAACCCATCAAGCATCAATCAATCCTAACAAGTGAACAGCAACAAAAAAAGAGAGCAGTACTTTTATAGTTGCACAAAGAGTTCTAATTTCCCCAGTACAGATTCCCTAATTTTCCATACAGGTTTGACTTCGAAGCCAATCCTGAAAAAGGTCCTCAAAGTTGGGTGTTTCTCAACTGTGGCCACTTTAAGACAGGTGGACTTCAACTCCCAGAATTCTGGGAGTTGAGGCCCAGCTGTCTTAAAGTTGAGAAACACTGGCCCAAACCATTTTCCCAACCTTGTGGAGATGTTGGATTACGGACCCCATCATCCCCTACTACACCTTAGAGTCAAATCTGGTTCCTGGCCTAAGCTCCTCCCGCAAAGGCCGTGGTTCAGGGGGGAGACTTGGGCTCCGTTCTAGTTGCCTGATGTCTTCCCGTCTCTTTTCTGGATCCCCATCTGCCAGGATGTCCAGCTGCCTTTTATGGAAAGCACTGCGCCAGCATCTGCCAGTGCCAGAACGGGGCCGACTGCGACCACGTCACCGGGCAGTGCACCTGCAGAACTGGCTTCACCGGAAAACAGTGCGAGCAGAGTAAGTTGTGGGGAAGGGAAAGCCTCTTAGCCAGTAGATTTGATCTGCTTTGCTTTGGAGGGGGTTTTGGGTGCCTGCAGGAAGCCCCCCCCCAAAAGAAGACTGTCTCTCCTTGCTGTGGAAGACAAAGCATCTGTGTGGTTGAAGGCATACCACCATCCCATCGTCCACAGAAATGGGCAGTTTGTATTCTGGGCGCAGTCATTACCTCCCTCCCTCCTTCCTTCCTTCCTTCCTTCCTCCCTTCTATCCATCCTTCATTTCTTCCTTCCTTCCTCCCTTCTATCCATCCTTCATTTCTTCCTTCCTTCCTCTCTCTTTCCTTCTTTCCTTCCTTCCTCCCTCCTCCCTCTGTCCCTTCCATTCATCCATCTATTCTTTGTTTCTTCCTTTCTTCCTTCCTTCCTCTCTCGCTCTTTTTATTCCTCCCTCTCTCCCTTCCTTTCTCCCTCTTGTCTCTCTCTCCCTCCTCCCTCCTTCCCTCCCATCCATCCTTCATGTCTTCCTTCCTCCCTCTTCTTTCCCTTTCCTTCCTTTCTCCTCTCTCTGTCCCTTCCATTCATCCGTCTATTCTTTGTTTCTTCCTCTCTTCCCTCCTCTCTCTCCTCCTCTTCTTTCCTCCCTCTCTCCCTCCCTCCCTTCCTCCTTCCTTCCTTTCTCCCTCTTCTTTCCTTTCCTTCCCTCCTTCCCTCTCCCTTCTTCCCTCCCATCTATCTATCCTTCATTTTTGGCTTCTTTCTTCGCTCCATCTTCTTTCCTTCTTCCCTCTTCCCCTCTTCTTTCCTTCTTTCCTCCCTCCCTTCCATCCTCCCTTCCTCCTTCTTTCCTTCCTCCCTTCCTCCCTCTCTCCCTCTCCCTTTCCCCCTCTTCTTTCCTTCCTCCTCCCTCCCTCCCTCCCTCCCTTCCTCTTTCTTTCTTTCTTTCTTTCTTTCTTTCTTTCGTTCCTCCCTCCCTCCCTCCCTCCCTTGTTTCCATCTTGATATATCTGCCTTAGGTTGAAGAGGAATGCAGAGAGCCTGGGTGTGTCCCCAAAACTTTCCCACTAGAGTAGCAGAGTCACCAGCTGCTTTACAGCCTGCCTCTTCATTTTTATTGAATGTTGCCCAAAGAAACACAATAAGCTCTCGCCAGATTTATTGTCACCATCACGGTAATTGTATGAATAAATTTTGTCACTGGCCATTCAATCATGTTCCTTCTGATAGAAATATGGAAAACCAAATGTTGGCAGCCTGGAGAGAAAAGGAAGGGAAAAAAGAAACCATCGCGTTTTGATGGACTCAGGGCCGCCTTCGATTCAGAGGATCCCTGGAGGGGCCCTGCCTGGCTTGTCTTGCTCAAGGCTGCAGGACCCCAAACCCCGAAGAAATATAATCCCTGAGAGACTGGGGGGGGGTGACCTTCAGCCTTTTCCCCAAAAAATGGCAAATTTTTCGTGTTTATTATTACAGAACTGAAAGCATTGACTCTACGAAGAGTGACACTTTAAACTGCATTTCTTTGCAAAAATTAAATTACAATCCATCAAACACAGGTGTGCAGGTTGCAGTGAGCAAATAACCAGACCTGGTTCATTGGGGCATTTCCCACAGTGCCCTGGAGAGATGCTCCCCAGGGGTGTGATGGGAAATCCAGTGGGAAACTGGATCTGGCAGCCTGTCGCTGTTCAGGGTAGCCAGCCAGCATTGTAAGGGAAGTCAGAAGGAGGCTTAGGGAAGCGGGGGTCACTTTCATTGAGAAGGTGCCCCATAATCTCAGTGGCTCCTTGTGCCAGCCTGTCTCTGTGCCCAGGACCAAAACTCCCCTGCACATTTTTTTTTTCTGTTAATTCTCGGTGCATTTGCTTGTTCACATTCGTTTTTGAAAAGTTTTGGGAGGAGAAAATGTGGGTGTTCTTGCTTCTATTTAGTGTCAGGCAGATGAGGACGGATGAGTAGGTCACCACTATTTCTCCAACCTCTCTGGGTCTCACGAAATCTCAGGGGGAAACTGAAGCTCCAGAGTTATGGAAAACATATCAGAAAGAACGTCACCAGCTGCAGCAGCCCTTCCTCAGTCACCCCCAGTGAGAACAGTCACTCCAAACCACAAATGCAAATCCCCTTATATGGCTGGCTAGGAATTCTGGGAGTTGAAGTCCACCCACCTTCAAGTTGCCAAGATTGAAAAATATTGTCCTACAGGAAGGCTGTGTAGGTTCTCTGGGCTTTTCTTAATTAGCATCTTCTGAGGATCCTCTATGGCAAAAAATAACTAGATTGGCAAAATGCTGGGCTGTTTTTTACAGACTTTTTTTCCACCTTGCATTTTCAGAGTGCCCACAAGGGACGTTTGGTTATGGCTGCCAGCAGCTCTGCGAATGCATGAATAACGCCACCTGTGACTATGTTACAGGTACCTGTTACTGCAGCCCCGGGTTCAAAGGAATCAGGTGTGATCAAGGTGAGGCAATTCTTCCTCTTTTCCTTGCTCTTTTCCTTTTCAATGGAGCCTTCAACTCGGTCTGGGGCCATTATTCCAGAACAGCTCAAAAAGACACCCCCACCCCCCAAAAAAACCGCTTACACCCTGGAAAAAATTCACACGGGAGGGGGAAAAGGCAGGGTTGGCAGACTATCTGGCTTTGGATTTTTCCATGAGGACTAGTAACTGGAACCTGAAACGCTGAGGTTTAACAGAGATGGCACAGTTTGGAGTTAGAGACCCAGTCATGGGTCAAGGGAAGGCATTTACTTTGCTAGAATAAAACAGCCTGATTCAGATGCCATCATATATCACTGTGCAGCCCCGGGTGTGCACCCGTGTCACCTCTCCTGCATTGGCTGCCAATTTGCTTCCAGGCGCAATTCAAGGTGCTGATTGTCACCTTTAAAGCCCTTCATGGTTATCTGAAGGATCGTCTCTTCCCAGTCACGTGTGCCCAGCCCACCACCAAGGATGTCGCAGGCCCCTCTCCTAAGGAGGTACATCTAGCGAGACCCAGAAGATGGGCCTTCTCTGTGGTGGCTCCCTCCCTTTGGCACGCCATCCCTGCAGAGATTAGACTGGCCCCCACTTTGACATTTTCACAAGGCCTGAAGACCTGTTTTTTTCCAACGGGCCTGGGCAACCCCAAGTGGGATGATGCCCATCAAGTGGCTTGTTTGATTGTGTGTTGTTGACAGAGGGATGTGGGGGGGGCGGGGTATTGGTTTTTTATTCTTTTTATATTGGGTTTTTGACTTTTTGTAAGCCGCCTTGAGTCACTGAGAGTGACTGGGCAGCCATATAAATCTTCTAAATAAAATAAAATAAAATAAATTGTCCTGTTTGGGACATTCCTTCTCTCCCAAATATCTCCTTGAAGGATGTCTAAAGACAGTTCAAAATAAGTCAACGTGGGCACCACAACTAGGCGCAGTGCAGGGAGAAAAAGTTGGAGCTTGGGTTCCACAGTTGTGAGCCCTCATCATGACTTTTTGACCCCCTCTTTGTGGATCCTCCCGTCCCTTGCATTTCATAAGGCAGATTTGCCTAGAATCAAAGGGGAGAGGTCATCTACGTAGAACTGGTCCCACCTCATAAGGACCCCAGTGGTTAGAATGCAGCATTGCAGGCAAACTCTGCCCACAGCCTGGAGTTCAATCCTGAATGGTTCAGAGTTGACTCAGCCTTCCATCCTTGCGAGACTGGTAAAAATGAGGACCCAGATTGCTGGGGCAGCATGCAAACAATGCTTCTATATTATAAACTGCCCAGAGAGTGCTGTAAAGGGGGTGGTATATAAGCCTAAATTGCCAAGTGTTATTGAAATGAACCACAAGCTGGCACGTGGGGCAGAGATGCACCCAGTAAAAACCATGAAACAAGAGGAAGGCAATTTCTCTGGGCTAACTAAGGTTTCCTTCCAACTGGCACGGGGCCCCAAAAAGTAGCTCTCCAGATGTTGCCGAACCACATCTCTCAGCATCCTTCCCTCTGGGCCTCACGGGTTGGCGTACCTGGGAGTTGTAGTCCGGTGACCCGTTTCAGACGAGCTGGTGGAAAGCTTTAAGAACTGTAATCCCTGTAAATAGCTGGCCCTTTCTTGCAACATGGCCTCCCCCACTTAATTTAATGGTGCATTGTGAATTATTTTTAACAGCGGCTCTCATGATGGAAGAATTAAATCCCTATACTAAAATTAGCCCAGCTCTTGGATCTGAGAGGCATTCAGTGGGAGCAATCTCTGGAATTATTATCCTCCTGCTAATTATTATGGTTTTGCTGGCACTGTTTGTGTGGTATCGACGTAAGCAGAAGAAAGGGCACGACATGCCAAGCGTCTCGTACACCCCGGCCCTGCGGATGACCAACACCGACTACTCGCTCTCTGGTAAGGGGCCTTGGGATGAGGACAGCTCCAGCTAAAGGGGAGGGGAAGTCTTATCTGTCGGACACCAGGTCTGCTTTTCCCTGTGCCACTGGCTAATTTCTTTTTTTTTTTTTTTAAGTTTGAATTTTATTCAGAAAATTAAAATACGAAGGGAAAAAATTACAAAGACGAACAAAACTGGACAAAAAAAGGTGTGAGTTAAAAAGACAAAAAGACCAAAAACACATGTTATCCCCCTAGCTGACAACAAGAATAGCTTCTCCCCTTGTGAAAGAGATCCAAGGTTTATAAATTTTTACATCTATTTGCCATCTAGTTTGACTGTCATACGTTACACATACATACACATACACATGCATACATATACATGTATGTATGTATAGGAAGAGAAAATAGTTAACAGGTTAACCAACAGCCAAAGTTAAACTACAAAGCCCACTGTTAACAATCTGTTATTGTAATTTAACTCGTAGAAAGTCTACAATAATTTCTTACCTACCACAGATCAACCCCGATGGCACTGGCTAAGTTCATAGAGCCCTGGTGGCACAGTGGTTAGAATGCAGTATTGCAAGCAACTCTGCCCACAGCCAGGAGTTTCTTCTCTCCTGCCCCATTTCTGAAGGCCAAAGCAAAGGGCTCCGCTTCAAGAACACCAAATGTTATTTCATCTGGGTGTGCAGAAGTGGAATGTCTAAAATACAGCTCATTCTTGACTTAAAACCATTTGTTTAGCATCTGTTTAACGTTACAATAGCACTGGAAAAAATGACTTATCGTGGTCCACATACTTACGCTTGTCACAGCATTCTCATGGTCACCTAGTCAAATTTTGGGTGTTTTGCAACCAGCCTGTATTTATGATGGTAATGGCAGAAGCAAGATTCCCTTAAGGGCCAAGTGATTCACTTAATAATTGCAGTGCTTCATTTAATGGCTGTGTCAAAACAGGTCATAAAAATCAAGCGTGACTGACTGAACCGCCGAGCTTAGGAACAGAATTCTGATCCCAATTCTGACCCTGTGGGAGACTGAAGATCAGTGACATGCATTTAATATGAAACAGAATCTTCTCAACCACGATGTTGGCCTGCTGCAAAAGGAGTTGAAGTCCAGAAGTCATAACAGGGCCAAAAGTTTGAAGATCCCTGTTCTAAGCCTAGCACCAGGGACAGATATGTAGCTCACCCATTATATAAAAACATGTCAACAGTTTCCGTTAATGGGCTTTTCCAGGCCAAAGAGTTACCCCATGAAATTAAGAAACAGAGTACAGGTGCCACACAGGGAGGTTAAACCATCTCAGTCACCTTGGTGTGGCTCAGAAATCAGCCTCACATGAAGCATCTTTTCCTTCTGCCGAGTTAGAAGTTGCTTCCTTTGAGCCATCAGGGTTTGGCCCATTTTCAAGGAGATTTGCTAATGTTCCAGGAAGTTTCTCCTCTTTACGGACTAGGATAGTAGACCTTTACATTGGCAATTTCTCTTGGCAACCAGAAAAGAGCAGGCCAGCTAGAACATTTTAAAAAGCCACCCAAGCTTTGCCGAGCAGAGTAAATCTTCCTTATTGGCCATGCAGGGGCTGGTTCCTGAAGAGAAAACCTGCAAAGTGAGAAGAGATTTCTAGGTAAGCATAATAAATGTGCAATGCCAATTCGGCTGTAAATAGGTTTCTTCCCAGCAGCCAGTTCGGCTCTTTAAAGGTCACTGGGATATTAGAAGAGAAGCTGGGATGTTCTCCTCTGTGGTAGCAGAAGTGTGGAAAGGTTCCTGAAACAAATCTCTGTTGGCAACCGACAAATGTTGGTTGTTGCGACGAGCAGAGTGTGGAATATTGCAAGAAGCTCAGCAACGCTCATGTGCACTGCAGACTTTTTCTTCTCCAAAACCATTCCAGATCTTTGGAATGATTTTCGTGGCAACATTTTTTTCCCTCCAAATGTCCATAATTAACTTAGATCAGTGTTTCTCAACTTCAACAACTTTAAGAGGGATGGACTTCAATTCCCAGAATCCCCCCACCAGCATTTGCCCAGAGCATCACTTCGTGCCCTATAGTAATGCAAGCTCCACCCCTTTCTTACCTAGTTATGATGTCATAGCACATGTACAGTAGGGATGAAGCTTGCATCGCGAAGGTATGTCTCTGCCTGGATCAGACCTTCATCCCATCTAGTCCGGCATACAGGATAAAATACGTGAATCTGAGTAAATGTTCATATCAATAAACTTAAGGAAGTAATAGTGAGTTGCGTGTAGCTGCACCATCAGAGTGAGCAAAATACCTGGGTCACAAAAGATGATCTCATGATCTCGGGACACTACAACTGTCATAAATACATGTCAGTTTCCAAGCATCTGGATTTTGATCACATGACCACGGGAAAGCTTCAGCAGTCGTAAATTATTTTCAGTGCCATTGTAACGTTGAGCAGTCACTATATGAAGTAAGCCAAGGACTATCTGCATAGAGGTATGTAAAATAATTGTACTACCCTCGGTGCCCCGCTAGGTGGCAGCATCTAACCAAATTTAATTGGTCTTGAAAAGCTAAACTGGGTCATTAATCCCGAAGTTAGCACTGCCCAAAGGAAGCACCAAAGTTCCTCTGAATTCAGGCAACAAACTGTTTATTTCATCAGCGGAGGCTTCTAAATTAAGCCTTTAATTATTGCAAAGTAAACAAGAGCATGCTTCATTTCCTGGCTTTTAAAAGTTGGCCGGCTTTGGAGCTGAACCGGTCAAGTCTTGCAAGTAGCTTAATCCACTAAATTGAGAGGGCTTTATACTTTCTGACAAAGTGTGGCTATTTCGATCTGGGTTGATTGACAGCCAATGATCGTTAACGTAGAAAGGGCCCGGCATGCTTTGAATGACTGGCCTTGTTATCTGCAAAGGGATGGAGTTTGGCAAGGAAAGGAGAAACACTTGGCTGATCAACAGTGGGTTTTCTGTAGGAACTCCGCTCCGGAGAGATTGGCTTTTCCTGAGCTGTTCTTTGGCTTTTTCTCCAGGGTCTCTGGAGGGATGGAGAAAATGTCTCTCTCTCTCTCTCTCCCCCTGCTTCTCTTTGCCAAAGGTTTCTGTGCCAAGAAAAAGCTATCTTCCACAGCTCAAGATTTAGAGTAATGTTCCTCTGGGGCACAGTTCATTCTGGAAGGGGGGGGGGATGATGCCGATGCTGTTAGTGTGGATTCTGACCGGTCCTTGGGGCTCTCTGAGCTTGTAAGTCGAGGACTACCTGTATTAAACTGAGACCACTGCGTGCTCCTAGGTAAACCCTGTATCTTACTTTGGCCCTGGTGTATCCAAAGACCTGGGTTTTGCTATCTTGTCCTCTGGTTCTAAACCACCCCCCATGGAAAAATTTGTGGTTAGAAAAGTAACCGAGACAATCGCCTTACATTTCGTTGAAAATCGGATGATTTTCAGGGGAAGATCCTTCGGTGTGAGTGAGCCTGTTACTTCCCCCTTTAATCCACCCTGAGCAGAATCATGCATCTGTCTCCTTGTTATGTTTTCTTTCATCTTGGGAACATCAGAAAGGTTCATTTCATTTTAAGAGGTCGGGTTAATTAGCCTGAAATCTTTGCTTCTGATTCAAAGCTATTGTCGTGAGTAGTGTTTGGGTCCTCTCTCATCATACAGTAATACTCGTATTTTATTTTATTTCTGCTTTCCATTTTAATTGCCTGTCAGCTAGAAGGGTCCAATTATTGGGTGGTATCTCAGGGACTTCTGGAGCTCAGTTGGTGTTTGCTTGTCAGAGGCATAGATATCAAAAGGGAGAACTGAGGAGCTGCATGGCTGAGTTTACAGAACAGACTGGACTACAAAGGTATCTGCTGGGTCTAGTAGTTAAACCAAAGTTAAGATAATGGCTGGGATGGTATGATCAAAGCTTTATGTATTTTTATGTGCATCACACACAAAATGGCCGGAGCTTCAATGACAACTAACTAAGGCCACCATCTTGCCTATTTTTCATCACATCCAATGGATGCCTGGGCTAAAATGGATTCTAGGCTATCCTCAGATCCCAACTATAATCTTAGCAAAGTTGTACAAAACCATGATATTTGCTTGGCTATCAAACTCCACCCAGAATTGTGGGTGGTTCATCACTGCCAATTCAATTTATTACAGCCAAAGGCCACACATAAATCAAACATCCAAATAAAACAAAACTAAACAGAACCATCACAAGTGGACATAGCAATACTGCACAATCGATGATGCAATCAATGGGCGACCAAGGTCTGCCTAGTCTTACAGACAGTATATCAAAAACAAGCTAGCTTCAGGAAAACTGAATCATACTGACCTGACAATAAAAATACACTGAGTATAGTCTAAAAGTGGATAAAACACGTAATAAAATCATTTATAAAAGATTATTAAAAAGGTCTAAAATGATTGTTTACGTTTCTGGCGAATCCCCAATGCTTCATAGATCTTAAGTGAATTTTGCCCCATTTTACAACCTTTGCTGCTTCAGTTGTTAAGTGAATCACTGCAGGTGTTATGTTAGTAACAGAGGTGTTAAGTGAATCTGGATTCCCCATCAACTTTGCTTGTCAGAAGGTTGCAGAAGGAGATCACATGACACTGGGACCCTGCGACCGTCATCAATAGGAGTAGTTCCCAAGCCTCTGAATTTTGATCATGTGACCATGGGGATGCTGCAATGGTCGTAAATGTGAAAAACGATCATAAGTCACTTTTTTCAATGTCATTGTAACTTCAAATGGTCACCAAATGAACCGTTGTAAATTGAGGACTAACTGTAACACTAAGGTTTAAAATGCCGTGCTTGATACCTGCCTACCAATCTCAAAATGGAAGCATCCTTGTGTTGGTCGGATATTAAGGGGTGGAGAAAGAAGACTATGGGGAGGGCTGGGGTCTCCTTGCTGGGGAAAAGAGAAAATAAAGTAAAAATAGGATTTTATCCTCCTGCCGGAATCACTAGCAAGAAATTTTCCTTCGGCACATGTTTTCTGTGATAAAGGAACGGAAGCAAGGAACCGGTTCCTACCAGGAGAACAGCTGCTTTGCAGTAATGCTGATTCCGACAGCCCCACGAGAGACATATGAGTTTGAAAAAGTGCTGACTCTGAAGTCCAGATTTTACTCCGGGGGGAGGGGGGCTCCGTGGCTGATGCAGCTCAACCAGGTGGTTCAGCTGCTTGGCAGTGATCTCCCAGGACAGGGGTAGGCAACCTTGGATCTTTTATGACTCACAGACTTCAACTCCCAGAATTTCTGACTCAGGAATTCTGAGAGTTGAAGTCCGTGAGTCATAAAAGATCCAAGGTTGCCTACCTCTGTCCCAGAAGATCCAGGGAGACGGCTGTGTGCGCTCCTTGACGCCTCAGGTGGTGCCTCCCTCCCCGAGTGGCGGGACGGGGCAGCGCACCGTGGGCGCCTAACGTAATATAACCGTCACGTCGAGACCCTTGTAACCGTGAGAGCTGTGGAACTGAAGGGCTGTTTTTCTTCCCACCAAATGTTCAGGACATGACTTGCACATGAGTTTGGATGAGCAGATGGTTTGGCGAGACAGTGGTTCGGACATTCCCGAGGCGTAACTGGTGGGTTCCCGTGCTGTGTGCGTTGAGGGCTAGGTCTCCAACCTCCCCCCCTCCCTTGAGGCTCGGTGGCTCCCACCTGCTAAGAGACCGAGCCGGGCTCTTGTCTTGCAGACTACGCGAAGGGATCGGCCCACAGCTCCAGCTCCACTTCCCTCAACAGCAGCGAAAACCCCTACGCCACCATCAGAGAGGCCCCCATCCTGACCCGCAAACTGCCCGAGAACAGCTATGTGGAAATGAAGTCTCCTGCCCACCGGGACGCGTCGTATTTGGACATGCCGGCCTCTTCGCCGGCCCACAAAAACATCTACGACGTTGGTAAGTGCCCGGAGAAAGCAGAGGTGTCCAGTTATTGCAGGTAGTCCTCGATGTACAACCCAAATTTCTGCTGCTAAGTGAGGGAGTTGTTAAGGGAGTCTTGCCCCATTTTTTCTTGCCATATTTGTTAAGTGAATCACTGAAGTTGCAAAGCTAGGAACACGGTTTTTAAGTGAATCTGGCTTCCCCATTGACTTTGCTTGTCAGGTCGCAAAACAGGATCACGGGACCCCGGCACACTGCGACCGTCATAAACGTGAGTCAGTTGTCCATCGTCCAATTATCAATCCTGTGACCCTGGGGATGCTGCAACAGTCATAAGGGTGAAAAATGGTTAGAACTTTTTTCAGTGCAGTTGTAACTTTGAACGGTCACTAAGCGAACTGTTGTAAGTTGAGGACTACCTGTATTTATTTATTTAGAGCAGGGGTAGGCAACCTTGGCTCTTTTATGACTCGTGGACTTCAACTCCCAGAATCCCTGAGCCAGCATGGCTCAACTTGGAAACCTCTCCCTTTCCCCACAGCACGGCTGGCTCAGGAATTCTGGGAGTTGAAGTCCACGAGTCATAAAAGAGCCAAGGTTGCCTATCCCTGATTTAGAGTATGGCACACAATGCCAGGGGGTCCAAAATGTTTATGCACGGTAACAGTCCAGACAGCCGACGATTGCTAGTCCCTTTCTTGCACTGGGGCTCTCAGCTTGAGAAGGGAGCAGGGGACAACAGGCGACTGAGGCTGGATTGGACAGCAATGCCCAACCAAGTGGGCTTTGCCAAGCACATTCATAGGACCAGGGTGTTCGGTCTGCCCTTGCAGGAAGAGGTTCTCTCTTGGTTGAATTATACAGGAAGTCCTCGGCTTACGACCACTTAGCCATTGTGTTGCTAAGCAAGACATTTGTTAAGTGAATTTTACCCCATTTTACGACCTTACTTGCCACAGTCGTTAAGTGAACTACCGCAGATGTTCAATTAGTAACACGGTTGGTTAAATGGCTCCCCCCCCCGTGAGTTTTGCTTGTCAGAAGATTGCAAAAGGAGATTGCGTGATCTTCTGACGAGCGAAGTCAAGGGGGGAGACGGGTTCACTTAACAACCCAGTTACTAAATTAACAACTGCAGTGATGCACTTAGCAGCAGTGGCAAGAAAGGTTGTAAAATGGGGCAAAAGTCACAACAACTCTCTCGCTTAAAAACAGAAACCTTGGGCTCAACTGTGGCCATCAGTTGAGGGCTACCTGTCTGGAAGAACCAAAAGGATGGGGATGCTCGAAATGTCATCTGAGGAGAAAGTCTCTTGAGTCTTTGGGATGCTGAAATGTCTTCCAAAGATGCTTGATGGGCCACACCACGTCTCCCTCTCGTTCTTTCCACAGAGCCCACGGTCAGCGTGGTCCAGGAGATCCGTCTCCGCAGTGCTGGTTACATCCAAAATCCATACGACCTGCCCAGAAACAGCCATATCCCCAGCCACTATGACATTGTCCCCATAAGACACAGCCCAACTCATGGAACTCTCTGGGAGAAGCCATCTTAAAGGGCCAAACCACCTGGACATCCCAGCCCCAACTGTGTGCTATGTGAGCATTGTTCTCGGACACAACAAAAGACGACAATCTTTTTTTCTGTTTCATCCTGCTGTAGATGGGAGGAAAGGAAGACCACTCAAAGAACCTTTAGGGACAATTGTTGGGGCCAACTTGCTTCTGCATGAAACTCTTTATTATTTGACAAAATAATTTTATACACATTGCAGGAAAAACCCAAGAAAGCTCCTTTGCGTTCAACAGCAGAAAAAAGACATCCGAAAGCCATTTATCTCCAAGGTCAACACTGGACCACGTGTGATTTGTTTTTGCTTTAAAAAAAAAATGGAGGGGAGGGAGGGTAAGAAAAGACTCCTTGCTGCAAGTTCTTATAACTCTGTCTGCACTGTATTATCATCTGCTTCAAGAATTCTTTTCTAAAAAAAGAGAGAGAGAGAATGAGAGAGAGAGAGAGAGAGAGAGAAAGAGAGAGAGAGACGTGATCTTCAGATCGATTTGGGGATAAGTTATGAAGCCTCCTGTGTAATGCAGAAAGTACTTCTCCAAGGAACCCAGAAATAAGGTGCTTTAGAAAATCACAGCCGCCATAACTTGATACTCTTTCATTCTACACGGCGTGAAGAATCCAGTTTTTTACAGCTGCAGAAGTTCAGAAATTCTTGGTCCGCAGAGTTTATGGAAGGTTAGGTTCATAAGCGCTTACTCTACTCTGCTCCTTGCCCACCTCATGCATCCATTGGTCCACTTTTAGGAGCTGGTCTCCATCCATCCATCCATCCTTCTCAAGAGATGTGGTCGAACGACAGCAATCTGCAACCGAGTCCGTGCCCGTCTGTTCTCAGGTGGCGTTGGCAGTGTGGACTGGGATAATCTCAAAATGCTTGTTTTATCTTGCAGTGGAATGAATATGAGATTGTCAGGACAGAGCTAAAGCACAGGAGTCAGAGCATAGCCAGGGACTCTTAATTACACTTTTTGGTCCTTCTGCTGACAAAGGTGGCATGCTTGTGCGATGCACCAAGGAGTGTGTACATAAAAAATGTTCAAGAACGGCCTTACCCAAACACACATGACAATTGTCTAAACCTGAACTGGACATTGGTGGCATCCTTCTTCAACATGGTTTACTCTAGTAGAGATGGACTACAAGAACTTTCCTTGATCTTGGTGTTCTCCAGATGTGTAGACTTCCGTTCCCAGAATTCTCAGCAATAGTCATTGGCCAACGAATTATGGAGATTCAGTCCATACATAGCAGAGCTACCAAGTAAGAGAAGGTTGTATTTCATCATCCTTCCCAGTCAGTATGACTGACGTCCATGCTAAACGGACAAGAAATGTCCATATACCATTAAGGCACAATTGAGTGGAATTTGTAAGAGAAAGGAAAAGAACAGCTTGCAAAAACGTGACAAAAGGTATCAGACCCACTGACCACAAAGTGTTTGCATCTGATCAGGTTCTTGAAGAAGTCATTCATAGCTATTGATCGTTCTATTACCCAGGTTGATAGGTTGAAAATATTATTTAATCAGAAATAAATTGGGTAACAGAATGCAGCTACTTAATGTATTATCAGCTTTGTGAAGGTGGGGGTCAGTGAACCTTTTCAGGTGTGTGCGTGTGTAGGGGGGTACGTACCTTTATCACCTCTGATGTGATACTATTCAACTAGAAACAAAATACGGTTTACTAGATCTCCATTTTTTTCTGAAATCGCATGAGATCTCATGTAAGTATATAGGGATCTTGCTAGATTTGTTGATGATAGAAGATAGGGTTAAATGGGTCAGTGGATCTGTTGCAGACCCCAGATGGATAATCCATTGTATATATGCTCTAGTGGCCATTAAACAGTTGTGAAGGCCAGAAACTGGATACTTGCCAGCCATATTTGCTGCCACCAGCATAGACTAGACTGTTATCTCCAGATGTGGGATTGCAACTCCCGGGTTTAATAACTGGGATTGCTGCACATTGAAAATTCTTGGCTTGATGACCCAGAGATCTCTGATTCAGTTCAACGTGGCTTCCACAGCTCCTGAAAAAATTACAATCAGAGAGTCGTAGAACTGTGGAGTGGGAAGAGACCAACAAGAATCAGGTAGTCCAACCTTGCTCCCTATTTTTGTGAAAACAGCTGCTTTGAACTTAATTGAACATGATGCCAAGCCAGTTCATTCAATGAGAGGCGTAGCTGCCATTTGTCAACAAGACCAAGTGGTGGGAGGGGTTAAGAGGGGGCCACATTTCCAGACAAGAGAATCAAGTGAGTAGCTAATAGCAGAAGGCACCTTCCACGGATTGCTCGCTTTGGACCGATGGTAGGAGTTTAATCCAGATCATCTTCAGAACTAACACGGGTGTTACCTCCAATAGTTAGACCAGACCAGGAAATCCACTCTGTGGGAAGGCTAAAACTAATTTTATTGAGGTTGGCTTTAATAACAGATGTTTGCAAGTCTGATTGTGCTGCACCTTCTCCTTCTTACACTGAAGAGAAGTAGGAAGGTGTTTGCTTGAGCTGTTTCCAAATATTCTCTTGTTCTGGACTTTAAGAAATGATTCATCCCCTTTCGCCTATACAACAGTTCCTGAGTGTGTCCATCAAGCTCATCTTGCTTACTGTCACCATGGCAGAAGGGATGCTGGGGAATCGAGTAGTTTACTCCCTCAGTAAAAGCAAAGGACTTTTTGGGGGGTGGGGGTGGGGGGAATTGGTGGGAAATGAAGGCCTAATTCCAAAGCAAAGAGGAGGGTGGATTTCTGCACTGGTCAGTGGATGGAGCAAAATTGCACCCCGGTTAGATTTTAGGAGAATGACTTTTTTTCCACAGCAGAAAAAAAAAGTATTTACACGAATGCTGCATGTGTGCATGGGGGAAAATGATCTATTGGCAATAGCTGTTTTACTTTCCAAGAGAGCCTTATCCAAAAATATATTTAAAAAGTAGAACTTTATTTTGTAGGACCTGTAGGGATATATATTTTAAATACATGTATAGGGGGGAAAATAAATAAAAGTCTTACCTCAGAATTAGCAAGGGGAAAATCCTCCATGAAGGCTTTTTTATTTCAATTGGGCATCTTCACCATTAAGTTGACTTGGAAATTTAACATACCGACCTAGATAAAGTCAGGAATATGGACTGCTGCACTTTTCAAGAAAGACATACCTGCAAACAGATGCAACAATTGACCAGGACCAGTCCGGTTCTGATGGAGGTATGGATGCAAAATATGGGTAACCTCTAAGCTTATCCGGTTCGTAAAAGTATGCAAGTTTTCAGGTGAATTTTTCTCCAGCAGGAGAGATGATGGCTGCAGATCCAGGAAATGTTTATGCTGCATTTGAGGCTGCTGCACTATATAAACTGAGTGTCCCCAGTGTCCAAAATAAAGGGGTGGAGAATACGTAGATTACATTACATCCAGCAGGAGGCACTGAAAAGCAGACCCGTTCCTTTAAATGAGAATACAAACGTTGTAATGGCAATACTTTTTTTTAAAAGCAAGACATATTTGTAATATTTGTTGACCAAACGAAGGTAATATACCTTGTTAAAAAATAAACTGAATTTCTCTCTGTTGCACTTTCCCCCCCTACAGTTATTTCTAAGGGTACAATGACCAGTGAAAAGTGCTAATTGTTTTAAATAAAAAAAAAAGTGATAACAGAATAACCGAGTTGGAAGGGACGTTGGAAGTCTTCTAATCCAACCCGTTCAAGCAAGAGACCCTATACCACAGGTCAGCAACCTGCGTCTCTGTCTCTCTCCTCTCTGTCTCTCTCACCATCATCCAACTCCCCTGAATGTATTTAATCCTCTTGGCATGCTATATAAGATAAAGGAACTGGCTGATGGGGTTCTCCTGTTCATCCAGAAAGCTTTATCCATTGGAAGCAACCAGTAAAAAAAGTTTAATTATTTGGAGAAGTGGGAGAATTGTTCAGGGTCACAACTGCTCAACTCTCTTTTCCCATGATGACAAAACACGCAAAGTTTAAAGCTCTGCAAAGAGAAAGCAATGAAGTGCGCAAAATGGAACAGTAAATGAGTCAGAGTTGCATGTCAAGTTGATCCACATAATTTATTCACATGTTAATTCCAATCATCTTCCCGCAGCTCAAGGGCACTCGTCCTTCCCCTTTAAATATCAAATGCCCATCAGAGTCTAATTCCAAAGAAGCTCACTCCATAACCTCTCAACAATCCCCTGTGATTCTTTATTAGAATTCCAAAAATGAATAATTTTAAATCAATCTTAAAAAATACTCAAGGTACAGAATGTGCATACAGTACAAAGCAATTTACAAAAAAGAAGAAGAGGTGGGAAGAGAAAGAACAAAAAAAAAGTGTGTAGAGAGACAACACTGGAGAGGGAAAATGAAAGGATGACCGGACTACAGCAATGCCCTCGGTGTGCCTTACACGTCATGAGCACTGCAAGACTGGCAGACGAACTGAGCGGGGACAGCCTTCAACACAGCAGGCGGAACAGATCTGTGAGAACCTACGTGAGAACCTTCCTTCCTTCCTTCCTTTTTTCCTTCCTTCCTTCCCTCCCTCCTTCCTTCCTTCCTTCTCCCTATATACCAGGGACTCTTTCCTCTTCAGCTGGGCTTCCCAAAGACTGCACAATTCTGTATGTGCTGATTGATGTGCACACCCCACCCCTCTTTTGAACAGTGCTGCAGACGAGCAGGCAGTGTGGGCTGCAAACCGTAATGAGGTGAAGGGAATGTCCTCTACTCTAGAAAGCCAGGGGGAGGAGGGCCTCCTGGCCTTTTTAGCATGCAACTGAAGAGGCTCAAGGGCTTCCAGGCCAGGAACTGGGCCTCCTGAGAAACTAAACCAGCCGTTTTGCCAGTCTTGGGCGGGGGATGCACCAGTGCCCCTTTTGCTGACAATTCTCATTAAAAAGTCAAAAGGGTCTCTTAGGAGCTCTAACGCCCATCTCCAAACCTTCTCTATAACCTGTACATGTGCACCATGCAAGATGACCCCCAGGGCCCATACTGGATCGCGCGTCCACACTAAATACAGCAACGACAAGCCACAGGGACTAGCAAGAAGAGCGAGATGGCACTCCCCTCTGATGGTAACTACGTGGCACTCAACATCCAGCAACAGATGTTGGGCCTTCACCAGGTGGACGGTGGTAATTTAATCCGCCCACTGAGATGATTGATCCCTCTGCTTGCTTGGAAGGGGAGACATCATCCATCTGCTCAGACTGAATAAAAACCCATCGAAAGGCTACAGGTGTGCGGCCTTAACAAAGCCAATTCCAAAAGCGAGGCCACAGGCCAGGTGGCCAGGGGAGGGACAAGGGGCTCTGCTCATGATGCTAATCCATTAGGCCCAGCTGTTCCCAGAGGTTATCCCCGACTTTTGTCTTCCAACAGAATCACAGCACTGGTCCGAAACAAAGGCAGTCCAACAAACAATCTACAACTGGAAACAAGGGCCCAGACCAGGCCAACAACTGTCCATGGAATGCAATCATGGCTTTCTCAACCTGGCATTCTCCTGGCCCGTTTTTCCTACACCTCCCATCATCTCTGGCCAGTGGTGGGGCTGAAAGGGATGATGGGAGCTGTAGTCTGCAGGGCACCGGGATGCGACAGGCCAAGGGACGAGTTATCAAAGATGTGTTGGGTTGACAGGAGGGTCTGAATGGTGGTGAGCCAGGCAGAAGACCCACTGTGATGGTTAGCAATGTTTGCCTTGCAGGACACTCGCATTCCGATAATGCTGCAGCCTCGTGTAAAAAGAGATGAGTCACAGAACTGAGGTGGAAGACGAGAAGAAACGGTGACGAAATGAGGAAATGGAGAGAGGAGAATAAAATAAAGACAATGTGTAACTGAAGCAAAAAGGGAGAGAGAGTGGAGATAAAAGAGAGAGAAAAGTAATGTCAGCTCGAGCTCCGCTTCCATTCAGATCTGGGGAAATATACACAGCTTTCCAGGAGTTGAACTTTTGTTATATATTTTGACAACACTGCATCTTTGGTTTGTTTTCCGTGGTGGGAGGAACGTGGATCGGGACCACGTTGTTGCTTGGAGACATGTCGTTCTCGCGTCTGTCTGACATCTGTTTCTGGGACACGATGCGATAAATCTCTGAAAGAGAGAAAATGCGGGTGACCAGGGAGGAGGAAGAGCATTATCGTGAACCGACACCACCCCGGAAGGGGTGCCATAGAAAATCCCGCCAAATGGGAAGATGCCAAAGGAGTACTGCTAGTGAAGTCCATGGAGCGTGGTTCGACCATCAATTCAGACGTCTGCTGTGAAAGGTTACGAAAACTCCGATGAGCCATCCATAACAAGCATCGGGGCCTGCTGACTTCCGGTGTGGTGTTGGTTCGCGATAATGCTCACCCGCAAACCGCTACATGCACCCAAGAACTTTTGAAGCAGTTCTGTTGGGATGTTTTTGATCACTACCCCCTACAGCCAGAAGTCCGTGGGGCTGTGCACACTGGAGCCACATCCAGCGCACTCTCTTAAGCTAGTCACAGGCCAACCTAAAGACCTCAGATCAGCTCATGCAATTGGTAGGCCTGGAATTCTAAGAGCTGTAAAAAAACACAACACCTCTCAGGCCGGTTGCAAAAGCTGGTCTGGGCCCAGTCAATTTCTTGGAATTGCTGAGCACTGGTTCCCACCGACCCAACGCCCTGGCAAAGGGTTCTTCCTGCTTAGGGAGATTAAAGGCTGACCTGGGATGACTAGTTCTCACCTGAGCTTAAAGCCACTCCAAGCACCACTTCCAAATTCCAGAAGACCACACTCTTATCTGCTAAGCTGTTGTTTATCAAGCAGAGATCCAGAGGCATTTCCTGTCCCTCCCACACGTATACAAATGCTACCTTTGAGACTTACTACAATCCCTCTACCGTTAATTGGGATATCTGGCCTTCTTGGGCTGTACACTTTGGCGTACATTCCTGAAATCAATCACTTCTGTTGTTTGCTTTAAATGGGGAGGGGGGGGTTACAAGACTCCAAGAGGACACAACCTTCTACAGAGTTTTCTCAAGCAGAAGAAAGGAAAACCCACATCCTCAATTCAGAAGACCGCCTCCCTAAACCCATGCTCTGTGAGTGCCTGTGAAACAGAAAATGTGGTTTATTTCAAACAGCACATTCCAGGTACAGGTGGTCCTCGACTTACAACAGTTCATTTAGTGACCATTCAAAGTTACAATGGCACTCAAAAAAGCAACTTACGGCCATTTTTTACAGATACAACTGTTGCGGCATCTCCATGATCACGTGATCAAAATTCAGAGGCTTGGCAACTGATTCATATTTATGACAATTGCGGCGTCCCGGGGTTTATGTGATCCCCTTTTGTGACCTCCAGACAAGCAAAGTCAATGGGGAAGCCAGATTCACTTTACAGCCGTGTAGCTAACTTAACAACTGCAGTAACACACTTAACAACTATGGCAAGAAAAGCTGTAAAGTGGGGCAAAATTCACTTAACAAATGTCTTATTTAGCAACAGAAATTTTGGGCTCAATTTCGGTCGTTAAGTTGAGGACCACCTGTATTCTTCTGAAATGTTTCAGATGGGCCACAGTTCAGCAGAAACAAAATCCAGAATACTTCTGACCCTCCAGCTTCCAGTATCTGGAGCGATCCCAAAGTGATGCGATGGGACAAGCAGGGTAAGACTGGACCATCACCTTGCCTGCTCTCTCTTCTCTGCCTGGCCAAGGCAAGACAATCCCCCTGTCCCCCAAAGGGCTGCACCCAGGGTCACAGGGAAGCTTGCATCCCTGTTTCTTTCCTACTTCCTTCCACTGCTGCTCAGAATCATGTCTCGGTTCAGTCCCATCTTCTTCCCAAAGGCAGCTGTTCCCTTATTTATTGTTTTTTATTTAGAGAATTTGTATGGCCACCCACCCACTCTCAGTTATTCTGAGGGCTTACAGAAAAATAAAGCAACCATTAATTGGAATGGGTGGAGGTGGAACATTCAGGACTGGTGAATGGAGTGTCTTCAACCAGCCTGGCATTCCAAAGGCAGAGTCAACCACACACACACTTTTTAAGAATCTTAGGGACAAGGACAATTCTACATGGCCTCTTAAGGCCCCACTCACCAGTCAGAATGGTTTGGAAAGCAGCTTCCACGTTGGTCGAGTCCAAAGCAGAGGTTTCGATAAACGACAGGCCGTTCTTTTCTGCGGGAAAGAGGACAGGCTGGTCAGTGGGCTGTGGCCTGGGAGCTTCCTGACTTTGGGAAGCCGCCAGTGGAGGACAAAATGGAGTGAGAGACACCCCCCTACTCTTGATTTTCACTCTTTGTTGTTAATCTTAATTTTAATGCTTTTAATGTTTTTATATTGATGCTTTTATACTACGGTAAGCCAACTCAAGAGACTCTCGGGAGAATGAGATGGGCAGCATATTTAACATAGGTAGTCCTCGACTTACAACAGTTCATTTAGTGACCATTCAAAATTACAACAGCACTGAAAAAGTGATTTATGACTGTTTTTCCACACTTACGACCATCGTCCTATCCCGATCGTCACGTGATCAAAATTCATACCCTTGGCAACGGATTTGTATTTTTGACGGTCGCAGTGTCCCGCCCAGGATCATGTGATCCCCTTCTATGACCTTCTGTCAAGCAAAGTCAATGGGGAAGCCAGATTCACTTAAGACCTGTGTTACTAACCTAATGACTGCAGAGGTGCACTTAACAATTGTGGCAAGAAAATTCATAATGGTGGCAAAAGGTCTCCTCTTTGGGCAGGGCATTACCCTAGAAGACTTTCAAGGTCCCTCCCAACCCTATGATTTTTTGTTTCTATTGCACAGCTTTCTTGTATTTTATCCTTCTCCACACCCTTCTTAACCAACCTGTCGGTGCCAGAATATTTTTATAGTGCTTTGTTTGCATAAGGAGATACAACAACCGTTTCCCTTTGTTGAACAAAGAACCAGGTGACTTCACCGCTTCTGTTTTTCTTTCCTTTTCTTCAGAGTGGGGTGTTGTGGCTTTATGCAATATAAGCTAGAAACTGTAACACTATGGTGGGTCCGGACAAGGCAAACGTTTACAGATAAGGAGAAACAACCTTATATCAATGCTAAAAGTTATTAAACGCAAAATTGTTTGAATTGTACAATTTAAAGCTAAGTATCGTATTGAGAGGCGATTGCAAAATACATTCCATTATTTTATATTATGAAAAAGGTTTCAGTCATAGAGCTTAATGCCTAACCTTAAGGCCCCCACTGCATTGTTATTTATTATTTATAACTGCTGAAGAGAGAAAAGGAAACCAAAACAAAAAGAAAAAAAGGAACTAAATCAGGGGTGTCAAACTTGCAACGTCACCTGACGTGTTGTGAGGTATCGTGACTTTTCTGCCATTGCCGGCAATGGGGTGGGCGCGGTTTCGCTATGATGCATCGGGACCACGGGCCGGCAGTTTGCCACCCCTGAACTAGATGGAAAAATAGGCAGTTTTTTTTATTTTTAATTTCTTTCTTTTTATTCAACTAATTTGCAGTACGTGTAAACTTCTAGAAACCATACTGTCTTTGAACAGTTCTTTTTTCAAGGGAGTTGTGGAGCAAATTGAGGAGGGGAGAAGGCAGAACCGACACCCTTTGGCTTCTGGCTGGCCCACGGCTTAGAATGAGGTCTTGTTGAAAACAAAACAGGTAGTCCTCAACTTATGATAACTGAGCCCAGCTGTTAAGCGAATCATCACAGTTGTTAAGTTAGTAACAACTAACTTCCCCATGGACTTTGCTTGTCAGAAGATTGCAAAAGGGGATGACATGATCCCAGGACGCTGCAACCGTCATAAATACACGCCAGTTGCTAAACATCTGAATTTTGACCATGTAACTATGGTCCTAAGAGCAGAAAACAGCCATAAGGCACTTTTTTCAGTGCTGTTATAACTTCAAAAGGTCACTAAAGAAATAGCTGTAAGTCAATGATCTCCTATATAGCCCTTATAGCTCACACTTAAAAAAAAAAAAGCTTCTTTCATCAGAAGGGCAAGAATATTTTTAAAATTAGGGGGAAAAAATGAGTAAACAATCAAGCTGGCTTTAAAGGCAGCCTTTCTCTCCTTAGAACTTCTTGTTTTCTCTTCCTGAGTGATTAGCAAAGTGTCCTGTGGACAGACAGGAAGGAATTTTTGCAATCCCCATAAAACAACATTTTGGTGCAAGAGGCTGAGTGGAGAATTGAGGAGGGGGAGGCCTGCCATTTCTTTAACACAAAATCCAATTGCCAGCATGTTCCTCCTCCTCTCCTCCTGACAATCAAAAATCTTCTCTTGACTGCAAGGGGCATAAATCAAGCCTTTTTAATCATGATTAGTGCAAAGGATCCAATGTCACATTCCAGAGTGAAATAAACCCAAGTCTGAAACTCAGATTTATTTGCATGAGGTCACAACACACAGCTCCATAGTTTAATTGCTCTTGCCCTCCAGTGTGGGAGAAGGAGGGAAAAAAGTGCAGATACTTGTTTCATTTTTTAAAAAGCTTAGCTACTGTTTAGCTAATGTGCACTCCCATCGATGGGATTGATAGGTCACTAAAATATAATTCTAGTTGACAAATATGCAAAGAACAGCAGTTGCAGGCACCAGCAATTTCTCCAGCAGACACTGGAGGGACTATCAGGACAGTCAGGAGAAGATAAGAGGTGGGGCAGTGAAGGATGTGCTGAAATATTTGAGGAGCTGCCACAAAGATGAGGGGGGTCAGCCTATTTTCCAAAGCACCAGAAGTGAAGACCAGAAAGAATGGATGGAAACTAATCAAGGAGAGAAGCAATCTAGAACTAAGCAGGAATTTCCTGACAGTGAGAACAATTAACCTGTGGAACGGCTTGCCTCCAGATGTTATGGCTGCTCCATCACTGGAAGCTTTTAAGAAAAAAATGGACAACCATTTCTCTGCAATGGTATAGAGTTGGACTAGAAGACCACCCAGGTCCCTTACAACTCTGTTCTGTTTTTAACCAAAGTAAGCTGGGAAGAGGGAGATGAATCAAGGCACAAACCTGCTAAATACAGAGCAAGGCCACTGATTACTTCGACAGAGAATCCTCATCTTATGACCCGTCATTTAATGACAATTTGAAGTTACAATTCCTCCCTCAAAAGCTACTTATGATTCAGTTCCAAGTTGTGACAGCTGGATGCATCCGTGCAGTCACATGATTGCATTTGGGGCACTTGGCCATCAGCTCATTTGTACAGCCAGTTGTAGCACTGCACAGTCATAAGACTGTGATTGATGTTTTTTTACCAGTTTCCTGCATTTCTGGCAAAAAACAACCAGCATGGACTCACTTAAGTATCATGGTGTTTGCTTAATGACTGCCATGTTCACTTAACAACTGCTGCACAAAAAGTCATAGAATCGGATCTGATCACATGGGTGCCTCAATTTATGACCATCATGATGTAAGTCAGGGATAGGCAACCTTGGCTCTTTTATGACTCGTGGACTTCAACTCCCAGAATTCCTGAGCCGGCACAGCTCATCTTGGAAACCTCTCCCTTTCCCCTCAGCGTGGCTGGCTCAGGAATTCTGGGAGTTGAAGTCCACGAGTCATAAAAGAGCCCAGGTTGCCTACCCCTGACTTAAGTGATAAAATCAGATTTGGTCACATGGATGCCTCGATTTACGACCATCGTGATCTACGGAAACTCCAGGCTCCATTATGGTGATAAGTGGAGGACTAGTTGCGCAAGCAGTTCTCCTCTTTTTGAACCCTGTAAACAGTTTCGGTCATGAGTGACACAAATTAAACACAAGCATGACTTCACAACCCAGCCCTGACCTCTCCCAGCCTGCTAAAGAAAAAGACTACAGACAACTTCTAAATAAATAAACAAGGAAATGTAGAAGGAAATGGTTTTTTTTTTTCCCCCAGCTAAATAGGATTCAGGGAGAAGCAGAAATGGGAAAATCAGTAACAAAGCACAGATTTAGAAATAAGAGCCTTGAGGCGCCTTAAGCACAACTAAGAATAGCGTGCAAAAAAACAAGCATACAAAAAGATTTTGCATCTTTTTTTGTCGTCAGGCTGAACCATGAAGTGAGCGAAAGGCCTCAGTCAGATCTTAAAAGTCTGCAAGCACAAAGTGAATTGAGTTGAAGCTTAGAAGAGGCTTCACAGGAAAGTTGAAAAGGGATGATAACAAGTGAGGCACTACGGCGACTGATTTTTCTAAAGTTTCGGCTTGATTATGGATTACTAATGTTTAACGTGGAATAATAAATGGAGCAAACACTCCTCAAAAGAGGAAAATAATCATTTTTTTTTTAAAAAGATATAATTTGGCTACATTTCTTTTCTTCCTAAAAAATGGATGTAACTGATAAAAATACAGGGAAAGAATTTATTTCAGCAGGAACAAAGAAGAAAATTGCATATTAATATTAATTGAAATTAATTGTATATTGATTTCCAACTAAAACCAGAACTTGTACTGACTGACACACACAGTAGATTCGTTGATGATGGACATTAATTTGCATGGCTCTAAAACTTTTGGTACTGGGAATTTATGCCCCAAATGAGGATAAAGTACTGTTCTATAAATGATTCATGGGGAGATTAGTAGGTTTTTCTTGAGAAAATTGGTGTTTGGATGTGGATTTGAGATGATCTCCCCACAACTAGACAGAGCTTTGGAGAAAAAAATAACGTTAAAAATCACTCAAGATAAATTCCCATTTTTTAAAAATGTAATGGTCAATTTAGGGCTATTTGATATATGGAGACAGAAAAATAGCTTGAACTGCATGCAAGTACACACATTTTTAAGAAAGACTTAGATCTTTTTAAAGAATAGATATGACTGGCTTTCAAAGAACTTGGCTCCTGAGGTTTCTAATGTAGATATATTACAAAAAACTTTTTCAGATCATAAGCCTGTGAGGCTGGTTTATAAAAGTTCTTTCACATAGTGACTAAATGAAATGTCAAAGAAAGAAATAATAGTGGAGGACTGTAAAAAGAAATTAAAAGTATTTATTTGAATAAAAATTTAGATAAAGGCATTGATTTAAGAATGGGAATATGTGGGAAGTTTTTCTTAAGAGATTATTTTATACAATATAACAATGACAAGAGAAAACACAAGCTATTTTGGAGGAAATAAAGAAAAAAAAAGAAATTCACAGAGAATTTGTGTACAGAGTTTGGGGCTATTTAAAAAAATATAATTTAAAAAATTAATTATAAGACTCCTTCCCGTGGGAAAATGCCGTTGTTTTGAATTCTTTAAAGCAAAACATAAAATGATGGGAGAGAACCAGAAGGATCTAAAGATTACGGTTAAAGGAGAAGAACATTTAAATTGACTTACTAATACAGAATGGAGCAAAAGTACTTCAACATTAAATAATATTTGTAAATCATGGACCCAGAAGCTAATTTTAAGAGGGCCTGTCATTATAGACAGACTGTCTTTAAAAGATGTTACACTGGACCAGCTAATATCTTAATAATTAAAAGACATACACTAATAAAAAACCTGGATAATTTTCCTACTGGATTTACAAAACAAGCTGTTAAAACTGAAGAATTTATGAGGACAAAGAAAAAAATGAAATTTAGGATGTTATTTACAGGGATTAGCAAGATTGTTAAAAGGAAAAAGAAGACCCATAAAGTTAGTTTATTTGATCAAGGTTAAAACAAAAGCTTAATGGACTTTTGCTGACCCAGACTTTAAGGATTTGTTTATATATAAGAGATGAGATATGAGAAGGTGATAAGCCACTGAAATTATTTATACTTGTTATGATGAAGAGGAAGTCATTTCTTTGTATATTTCTTTTCTTCACTACATCATTTTCTTCTCCTTTACTATTTATCTTCCTATTTTTTTTCTTTCTAGCAATTTCTTTAATTTTTCTAATGCTTTTTATTTTGTACCTTTTCAATTGTTAATGCTTAATAAAATGACTACAAAAGGTCCCACCGCTGCCCGATGCTGGGCTTGAACAGAGTTTTTGTCTGTCATCTATTTTACCTCCAGCTTTGAAGCTAGACAAGCAGCATCAGTAACCATTAAAGAGATCTGCAATGAATGCCCCTCTCCCAGCGAGAACATCCCAGGGACTCACTGACAATTGGAGCAGGGTCCCAAAACACTGACCTGCAAAGGCCCGGGCCTCGTCTGTTGGAACTGCTCGCAGATGGCGCAGGTCACTTTTATTGCCCACCAACATTATAACAATATTGCTGTCCGCATGGTCCCTCAGCTCCTTCAGCCACCGTTCCACGTTTTCATAGGTGAGATGCTTGGCAATGTCATACACCAGTAGGGCCCCCACAGCACCACGGTAATAGCTGGAGGCACAAAGCACACACAACAGAGTTCATTTGCCATTTACATTTCTCAGTCCACCCACTCACTGACAAATCTGGGTAGCCTTCAAAGATGGAAACAAATGCTATACTGGTAGTCCTCAACTTTCAACCACAATTGGCTTTTTACTTTTTATCACATTTTTACGACTTTTCATGCCATAGTTAAATGAATCACTACAATTCTTAAGTTAGTAACACGGTTGTTGAGTGACTCTGACGTCCCCACTGACTTTGCTGATCGGAAGGTCGCAAAAGGGGATCACTTGATCCTGGGACACTGTGACTGTCATAAATACGAACCAGTTTGAAGACCCCTGGCCTAGTTGTACAGAATAAAGGTGGGACATATATTGAACAAAAAAATATAATCTCCTGTGTCTCTTCCTGTGAAGCAATCCTTGGACCCCCTCAAAGAGGGTGTTCAATCTCCCACATGTGAGAAAAAACCTGAGGGCCTTTTCAAATCCAGGAGAAGCTGAACAGCCATCATCTATTTTAATCATGATCTGTTAAATTACACTACACTGGACCTATACCAATCAAACCACGCTCATCTTAGTGTAATGCACAAACTTAATAGGTGTGATGCAACTGATCCTCGACAAATTAGAAGCCACTAACTAATACAGAATTTAATTTCTGAGAGTCTCAAGCTAATTCTCTCATTATGTGCTTTTGTTAACAAACTTATTAACAAGGAGTCAGGACTTCAAGGACATTAATTGTATCACATTGTTACTGATTTATTTACAAATAAAAGAGTTTTAAAGCTTTTCTAAAGAGCATTTAACAAGGGTCTAGGTAGGAGCAGAGAGTTTCACAACTTGGAAACGGAAACCTATATTGTGTGAGTTAGTTTTAAATTAAGGGTGCAAAAGTTTTTCAGAGACAAAGAAAGCCAACAGAACCAGGAGGAAGAACGAAATTTGATTTCATCTACATTTAAATTTACCTTGCATTTAAACCAGCGTTCCCCAACTTTTCCAGCTTGGCCGTAGCAGTGGAGGGAAGTGCATGGTTTAGCATGTGTGTGCAGCTTTCACAAATGTAACTTCATGCATGTGTACACTCACCCACCACTACTGAGACCCGGTTTCAAACGGGCTGCAGCCCGGCACCAGCTCAATGGACAAAGGGTTGGGGACCCCTGATTTAAACCACCTTAATATAGCTAACGTGACTGTTCCCAGCACATCATTTTGTCCCTCTGCCGTGTAGGATTGTTCCATTTTCCTATGCAGGAAACTGTATAGAAAACAGGGTGGAGACCTAATAAATAAGACAGGCACGTTTGGATGCTCAGTCTGGGCAGGAAGAGAAGGGACCACTTACGCAGATGTGATGGCTCGATATCGTTCCTGTCCAGCCGTGTCCCAGATCTGAGCTTTGATGGTCTTGCCGTCAACTTGAATGCTCCGTGTGGCAAACTCTACCCCGATGGTGCTTTTGCTCTCCAGGTTGAATTCATTGCGCGTGAAGCGAGAGAGGAGATTGCTTTTCCCAACTCCGGAGTCGCCAATGAGAACCACTGGAAGAAGATTATTGGAGAAAGAACTTAGGGGGGAAAAAAATGGAACTTTGCTATTCTATCTGTCTGGTGAGAATCCTGTGGGTGCAAAAGAACAGAAAGGCACGTCAATTCCCACAATGGAAGAATGGGTGGAAAAAGTGATGGAGTTGACAGGGACGGCAAAACTAATTGTTTTAATTAAAGAAAAAAAATATATGCAGTTTTGTCTCCCAACTTGGAAATTGCTTCTGGCCTTAATGCTCGAAACACAAAATATATTCCACTGAAAAAAGTTGGGGGGAAGGTCACCTTTTTCCCCCTTTCCCCTTTCTTTCTTTCCTCTACTCCCTCACCATCTTTGCTTCTATTTGTAATAAATTTCACTATTTTTTTTTTAAAGAGAGCCACTAGGAAAGTCAAATGAAACATCTTCAGAAAGGAGAGAGTGGGCCCCTCCCTGCTCCATTCTGCACCTCCACCCTGGCAACACAAGTTAAAAAGCGCTGGAGGGAGACCCCAGCAGTGGCATATAGGGGTTTTCTGCCCCCCCCCTCCCACCCCCATGCAAAGAGGGAGGCAAACTGCAGGGATGCAAGATTCAGTGCTAAGAATCTCACAGCCTCATCTATATCACAGGAGATGCTCTTTAATTGTTTAGGGAAAGTACCACATCTTGCAGGCTACTTGGGCAAGCCAAATGCCAGCCTCAGGGATTGGGGGGAGTGAGGGTCCCACAAGATGCTGTGCTCGTCTATTGCATTTCACCCAGGTAGAGTTTCAGCATGAGGGCTGCTGCCACTGCCAAACCTAGTGCTGGATACGTCCTCTCTATGGTCTGGCAATTACCATTAGACGCTGGCACCACCGAATCTTTGATCATGATAAAATCTGGTGCCAGGCCTCCATCAGAGAAGTTCAAACTACTTTTACATTATCTATGAAGCAGCTATATAAATGCTATTGCTGCTATCTTCACATTAACCCTGTATGATCTAGTCACTTTCTGAGTTGGGAGGCAAGGAGGATGTGTCTCCAAAATCTTATTGCAAAGGCCGCTTTGACTGCTTGGGAGACACCAAACTCGGCTCCTGTCTGTTTATTTGGGGACAGAAAATGGGAGGGGCAGATCAGCTCATGATGACTTTCTTACGGAATATCTCGGCTGCTTAACATCTACACAAAGCTACTGGGAGAGGTCATCCCACAGTTCAAGATTAGGTGCTATCAACACGGTGAGGCTAATCAACTGTCAACTGTCAACCAGTCCAGATGGAGATGCCATTGAGCCCGATCTCCATACCTGGAGGCTGTTAAGGAAATGAAGGAAGTTGAGGCTGAACCCCAGTGAGCGCCAGCTCCAATGTTATCACCCAAGGGGTATCGCTGGTCCCAAAATGGCAGGGCTACAACTTGGGAACCCGCCACGTTTCATAATAGCTGCTGATGGAACAGTGCCTGGCTGAGGAATTCTGGGAGTTGAAGTCCAGAAGTCATAAAAAGGCCAAGTTTGAAGACCCCTGGGATAAGAATTTAGGATAATCGGGGTAAGAGTGAGAAATAACAGGCTGCCTCTAAGAGCAAACTGAATGTTTCTTCAAGGAGTAGGTCTGTTTGCCACCTTGAGTTACTTATAAAGTAATAAATAAGTTCAGAAATGTGTAATGCTGGCAGAGGAGGAAGGCTGGGCTTTCCGAGCTGACTGGGGCTGTGTACCCATGGGATAGGGACATAGTTACAGGAGTTCCAAAATAATAAATCACAACACAACAATCTCTTCCTGATAAGGCAAGTCTCTCCCACATACAAAGTTATCCATCATTGCAAACAGCCCCAGCAGGCAAGGAGCTTTTCAAAGAAAAACACCAAAGGTTATGAACATTCCCAGACGCACAGCCAAAGCTGCACCCAATTCAAATGTCAGGTTAATTAGTTGTTGTGGCTTCTGCCGAAAGCAACAAATCTGGGGAGCCAGAAAGAACTCCCCAGCACCAGGGTCCTCCAAGCTGCAGAAAATTCCCATCACCCTTCCAGCCGGCAGGGCACACGATTCGCTGGGCCCAGCAGCTCACAAGGACACTAGCCAGGGAGGAAATCCATTACCTCATAGTGTAATCAGCTGACTCATATTTACCGATCAAAACAGCTGAACCACTGCGGACAGGCTGAAAATTCTGCAAACACTTGGCAGATAAAGGACTGGGTAGGATATTTAATCCACAGGGACCATTCAGTTACTCCTGATATAAGAATAAAAATAGGCAATCCAGTCTCCATTCTCTGCAAAAATCAGTAAAATCAGATGAATGACCGCTCCCCCCATCAGCCTCAAATAAGAAATCAAGCTCACAAAGGCAATCTTGATCCTTATAATTAAGATTTGGCTAAATGCTTTTGAAAAATCTTGCCAAGAAAACTGCAGGAACCTGTCCAGAAAGTCTCTTGAGAACTGAACATAATTGAATGAAGGAAAAAGCTTATAATTTCAAAAAAGTTTATAATCTCAAAGATGAAAAAAAAACTAATACAAATTAAACAGATGTGAAAAAGAATGAAAAGAAAAAATTGAAAGTGCAGAAAATAAAAAGACAGAAAAAGAAGAAAAGATAAGAATACAATAAAAAAGAAAAGAAAGATATAAAGAAGTAACTTCTCTCTCCATCACAGCACGTGCAAATAATTTCAGAAACTCATCATTTTCTTTGCAAATATAATAATAAAACATCTCTGCTTCCCATGCATTCAGGTCAGGCCAGCAAAAGTTCAGAAATAACAGCATTTCTATTTTACACGTCATCAAATAAGCCAACTTTATATTCCTTCCCTTTGGTTTTAACCATGTTAATCTTTAGTCTATTTAAATAATCCCTCAGAAGTTGATTTGTTTTCCAAGGGTCTCTTTGTCCTCAGAAAATCCTTCAAAACTTCAACAAGTCTCTTGCAAATCCAAAATAAGAAAAGTATCCAAGTCACTCGTCTGGTTTGTTATTTGTATACCCCTTATAATTACTAAGACATCAATTTGTATATCCAGTATAACATCTTTTTCCTTACCCTTCTTGTAACCTGTCATTTTTAAATCCATATTCAAATCAGCCTCGGTCTCAGTCTTGTCCAGTAAAACTTGTTTCTCTTCTATAATCTCTTTTAAAACCAGTTTGTCAATGATAGTACACAATCTTAAGATTAACTTGAGTTTATTGTTCAGAAACACCCTTTGGTTCATTCCAAAATTAAACTATTTTGTTCCATTTTGCGTTACTGAGGCAAATGTACGTATTGTTAATTATAAACTTCCGTTTATTTCTGGTTCCCTCTAAGTCCCATCTTATTATGCTTTTCCCCCCTAAATAACAGCACGGGAAGGTATAATTAATTTCGAAATTATCTGAAATCCCTCTGGACCCTTAACCTTATATAATTTTCTAAAATAAAGATTCTAATCATGTTTTTGCTGATTATTCCCCTTCCTTGTTTTTGAAGTCCTTAATCTTGCACCTAAAACTTCTTTCTTCAAGGACTGAAGGGGACTCACTCAATGAATGTTGCAAAACATATCAATCCAAAGGTTCTCAATAAGTGAAAACCAATTCAAAGGCAATTCAAAAAAAGGCGAGGCTCAGCTGAGCTTTCTGTCCATATAGACTTCATTGTGACTGTAAGATTAGATGGAGTCCCTCGACTCCAAGCTACTCAGGAGCTGACTGCAAAAACCTCGGTTCCTGCAGGACCCTCTTGAGGAGCGCATGTGGGCAATCTCATCGTCTCTCCTTTTTCTGAAGAGATTAAGGCAGCCAGAAGTCACCTTCTGATTGCTGATCTCTGCTGCTCCTTTGAGGATGTCTGGCTCATCCTCTGATCATCTGAAGCGCCTCCCGAAAATCTTACCCCTTCTCTCTCAGGACAAAGGCCCTGCACCAGCCCTTCAGAAAGGGGAAGACTTGGGCTTAAGACTAAACCGGTGGGACTCTGGATGTTGGCTTCTACCTTCTCTCAAGGCTCCACACTTCCAGAAGAGGCCTCAGACAGATCAAGCAGGATGTCTCAAAAGGAAACTAAAGCAATGGGATTCTCAGCCCCAGATACATTATTTTCTTTACACAATAACTTATTGCCCAAATAAAATTAGCAACACTGGACAGGGATGATCTGTACAGTTCGACTGAGGGACAGGCAGATGGTGATCAGGGAGTGTGGACTGCAATCTTCTGATTGGAAGCAACAAGAAGTCAAAACAATCTGGAAATCAAATAGTCCCAACATAATTGGGGAAAATCTAACCTAAAAGAATAGCATGGCTGTAATATGTTCTTTAAAATGCTACTAGTCTATTCAGATCAAAGCTAATTAAGCTGGCTGAGGAATTCTGGGAGTTGAAGTCCACAAGTCATAAAAGGGCCAAGTTTGAAGACCCCCTACCCTAGAATCTCCCTCTATTAGATTAGAAGGATATAGCTGTATGTGTCTTTATGCTTTGTGTAAATGTACCATCACCATCATCATTTTGGTTGCCAAATTACTACAATGAAGGCTGTTCAACACTATTCTATCCCCAACTCCTCTATAAAATCAGATGTTACATGTTTTCAATAGCTCTTTTGGTGTTAAACTCTTAATTCCCTGCTGCTCAGACATTAACACATTTTTAATTTCTCAATGCTAAACTTTCACATATAAGATGCTGTATATCCTAAATAAAAACAACCCGTTTCTTACAGAAAAAAAAAATCTGTTTCTGTTACTCACCAACAGATCTGGTTCAAGCAGAACTTTTAATAATCAACTGCACTCTAGTGAAGGTTTTTAAAACATTAAACCAACACAACATGTTAGAGTTAAAATTGTTAGTGTAAAGAACATAGGGAAGACACAGCATGATTCAACTACCTCGTTCCTACCGAGTTGTTGATGACTGTTTTTAAAATGAATTCAAATCTCCAAGCTGCCTTTAAAAAAAGCATGCTTTGCAAAAACAGTCTGCTTTGGATTTGCTTCCAGTGCAAATATCAGCAAAACAAGATTAATGCTGAAGGATTCAACTGGCCACCCAATTGAAGTTGACATGCAGCACGTCTGGCCACTAATGGCCTGATCAAAGGTAACTCCCAAACTACATTGTGTAATTTACTCCTAATGAAAAATAAGACAGAATTAAGTCTCAACTGACTTGCCTCTATTGAGCCAGTGTTTCTCAACCTTGACAATTTTAAGGCATGTGGAATTCTGGGAGTTGAAGTCCACATGCCTTAAAATTGTCAAGGTTGAGAAACACTGCAAGTTATTCCAATATCGCCTCCCTGATGCTATCTGGCAATAGTGGTGGTGGTGACAAGGCTGCCTTTTTTGTTGAACTAGACGAAGGTAACTGATGGTGTCATTTGGACCTACATACATAGCCCACAGATTTCTCTTCTTCCCCCTCCCCCTGCGCACAACAGCCCTGCGAGGCACAACAGGCGGGAAGGTCAGGGCTGGGCCAAGACAGGGAATCTCTGCTTTGTTTAATCACTTGGAGGAGGAAAAGCCAATACAAGCAACCTAACAAGCTCCAGCACATTTGTTCCACCAAAATTCTGCCATTATTATGGCAACCAAATGACATCATTTCTCATCCCAATTTGCATTATGGATATAAACTTTCCCAGAATGCAACATTACATGGTACATGAGTAGTGCTTTCATCACTAGAACTTATTATGTAAACTCATTTTATTATTTGATTGATATTATACTATTTGGCTGTTTAAATTCTATTTTAACGTTTGTAGTTCTTACATTGGTTAATGGTGTTATGTTATTATAAGTGTGGATGTTTTAAATGTTGATTTAAAGCAAGAGACTCTGAGTTCAAGTCTTGCCTTAGCCATGAAAGCCAGCTGGGAGACTTTGGGCCAGTCACTCTTCTCAGCCCAATCCAGCTCACATGGTTGTCACTGTGGGGAAAATAGGAGGAAAGTATATTGTGGGTGTTTGCTGTCTTATTTGTACAAATAAATCAATCAATAAAGGCGGGATAAATAACACTCAATGTCATGGATATAAATGGAATGAACAAATACCAGTATTATCATAGAGTTGTTTGAAATCCCAATTACAGTATATTTGTGTCATGTAGGCCAAAATGATTTAACAAATAATATAGGAAAGCACTTAGAGGCATTTCTATTATGTGAGTCAGTATGAGAATAATACGACAAGGCTAATTATTCTTCCTTGATCTTGGAAGATGTTAACTATAATTGGCACCATTGGGCAGATGTTCTACATCTGGCCTGGCACTGAAAAGGAACTTCAGTTTACTGCATAGATTCTCCAGCTAGGAAGGCCTGATCAAAAGGAAACTGGGTTCCAAAGCCTAGGAAATAAACCAGGATGTTCCCACTTTAATCACCTTTACTTCTAAAAGCTGATCGCAAAGCTCCATGCAAACTTCCTTTTCCTAATGTAACGCCCATTATCTAAGCAGACAAATATGGTATTTCCCAGCATATCCTGTTCACTATCAGAAAGCTGAATAAGCAACCTGGGAAGAATGTATACTGATCCCAAAGGAGGACAGTCAGTGAATTTAGGCAGAAACAACAGGAAGGGAAAGGAGGTCAGCTGCAGAATCAGAACCAGACAACCCACAGGACCTTCCACTGTTATCCACACAAATCAGGATTTGGCATTTAAAAGGTCCTGGACTTTGTGGGTCAGTGGGAGCATCTGCAATGCTGAGCATAATTAAAGGGAAGCTAATCTTTTCGTGAAATAGCTACCCCAAAACAAGGAAGGATGGAAGGGGCCGAGGGAGATAATGTCTGCTAGTATACTGTTGCTTGGGGATAATATATTTTAAAGAGAGTCCAATTTAATGTGAGGAATACACATTAACCTTAAAAAGTGTACAATACATTTTTTAAAAAAATCACATATTCAAAAGCTAGCCTTCTCTTTCCAGCCACCGCTCAAAGATACAAAATAAACCTGAAAGTACATGTATTTAAAATAAGTCACATTTATCAAATCACTAAACTTCTGATTGAAAAGTCTTACCACTCTGGCAACCACTTCCTCTATTTCAAAGGGCCAAAAAAATTAGGGAAACAAAAAGATGTAAAAGAAAACCAATTTAGGACCAAAGAGAAGTGAAGATTATATTTTTTCAAACCCAAAGCCAAGGCAATAGTGGTTTATTCTCAAACTATAAATGCACTTTTCAAAAAAGATTTGCCTGAATTTTTTTTTTTTAAAAAACAAAGAAAACAGGACAAGAATACTTTTAACTGACCAAATCAGGAACTACCAGACCTGGCATATCTGAAACAAAAGTCAAACCTCACCCCTGCAAGTATCTCTTCCAAATGATTGCAACAATCATTAGGATAAATACTATACAAAGTTAACAGTTTAGATCATAACATCAAAGGAGTGCTTGGAAAAGTTGGCAACCAAGAGAATGATTACCAAGAATTTGATTTTTGCTGTACAACAAAACTCTAAGAAACAAAGTAAGTACTGGAGCAATAATAACAAAACAGCCTTGGGAGCACTAAAAAACAATATAGATAAAAAGGAAAAAAAATCTAAATGATTCTATAGTAACAAGACATTCCTGTTACACTTGATAACCTTCTTTGCTGCCAATGCTTTGTGCCACCCTGCCCATCCCTGAGCTAATACCTGGCCCTTATTTAAACATTCAACTATTGTGCCTAGCAAGGAAAGACAATTCTGGAGAAAATGTAATAAACTGGCATATTCAGAATTGAGAACCTAACTGTAGGAGGGTGGGGGAAGAAAATAAGACTGGGGGAAAAAAAAGGGGGTAGAATCTATTAATTAGACTGGTTTACTCTCATCTTTTTTCCTCCACCTGAATCAAACGTTCTTGCTCTTATTAAAGTAATTTAGTGAATTGTCTCTGAATAGCAGATGTCTGCTCATTGGTAGAAATGAATGGGGTAGGATGCCAAAGAAATACTTCTGCTCCTAACCATTTTACACCCCATACTGGATAATAAATACCTCAAGAATGCAACCTTTCTTCGTTGCTCTTTTATTAAGAGCATTTTTTTTTTGCACCACAGAAAAGCTGGTCTTGAGTTCAAGGGTCACTTCCAAGTATCTCAGTCTGAGTTTTGTACAAGCCAAAGGTTTTTTTTTTTTAAAAAAAAAAGACCGGAAATGAAGATTCTGAAATTGATTATTGTGTCCTGGGTAATGGGGATACGAGGTGGGCACCCCTCCATTCTAGGGGCCACCCGCCAAGCCCGTGGCCCCAAATCCTACACAGGTGGAGCCCCCCTGATCTCTGCAGCGCAGCCCTCCTCCCCACCTGCCTGTTTGCTGTCTCCAGAAAGGCTAGATAAGGCGAATGCATAAGACGTTGCCTAGCTTGACCAGGCTGCCAAGATTCATTAGATGCTGAGATCCTTTTCTCCCCCCCAAAAAAGAAGGGGGGCTGCCCTGGGAGTCCCCGTCAGAGATTAAAAGGATCCCTAAAGGAGACCTTCCCCTCTAGAACTGGGGCTCATTTCATTTCATTTCTCATCACACACACCGCACACATTCCGCGGGAAGGGCGACGCCACAGCCCACATTTCCCCCCCCGCCGCGCACAACAGCCCTGCGAGGCAGGACGGGCGGGAAGGTCAGGGCTGGGCCAAGGTCACCAGGGGCAGCTTCGGACGCCTCGCCCCCTCCCCTCCGACGGAGAAAGACGGACCGCTTCCCGGAGGGCGGGGCCGGGGGCTCCCCGAGACCTTTGTCCTGCCCGCCAGGCAGGCCAGAGAGGAGCGATCGCCCCGCCGGGAAGCCTCTCCGGGCAGGGCGAGGGGGCGGTGCGGGGGTCTTCTCCACCCCCCCGGCGGGAGGGGGGCGAGGCCGGCCTGGACGGCCTACCTTTGAAGAGATAGTCGTACTCGTCGTCGCGGGAGCCCCCCATGGCGGCAATGGCGGCCTCTGAGAGAAGAAGGAAGCGCAGGCAGAGCCAAGGGCCGCTCCCTCCCTGCAGCGGCCGCTCCCTCCGCCTTCGGACCAGTGACGCTCCGGTTCCGCCCCCTGAACGGCCTCGCTCGCTGCTCTCCGCCCACCCGGGACACCTTCCGGGGTCAGCCGCGCCGAGGGCTACAAGCGCTTCCGGAATTAGACCCGCGGTAGGCGCTTTTCCGGTCCCGACGGAGGAAAGGGAGGCGCCACAGAGACGCAAGGGCTAGGGCGTCTCCTCCAGAAGTTTCCGGCCCAAGCGAACAGGGCGGCCTAATAGGCTGCCGGAAGTGTCTCTGCCTGGCCGACTCTCTGATTTTGATCACGAAAGAGGGGGGAGCGAGGAACCTGCCGCGTCTCGGTCGCCACGAGCACGGCGGTCACTGGGCGGCGCCCACGAGAGGCAGAGCTGCACTTTGCTGCCCCTACCGGCCGCCCGGCTCGTTGCAGCCAGGAATCGAGGAACTGCAAAAAAAAGGAGGGGAAAAGAGAGAGGCGGGGGTTGCAAAGGCCTGTGCCCCTGAGCATGCACAGAGTGCCGCCGCCTCCGCCCCCGGCTTGTATTGTTCCTTTGCAAAAGTTAGAATCTGGCTGCAATTCCCCCTCGGTTCCCCCCCGCTTTGCACGCGCGGAATGCAAAGAACCCCCGTCCCCTCCCCCAGCTGCCCTCTGTGCATGCTCGGAGGCGTGCATGCCGAGTGGGTCGTGCACAAGCCGGCTTCCTCCCAACAGGGCGGGGCAGCCCTTAAAATCCCCCCCAACTCCAAAGAAGGACGCCTTTTCGCCTGGCAGGAAAGGAAGCCTCCGCTGAGGCGGCTTTTCTGCAGCTCTTGACATGTCCAATGCCGCTGTGGTTCCATGGTGTAATGGTTAGCACTCTGGACTCTGAATCCAGCGATCCGAGTTCAAATCTCGGTGGAACCTGCCTGGCATTCTCCTTTTGTCTCCCCCCCCCCTTTTATTTCTCTTCTTAATGTTTAGTTGCTTCTCTCCCCCCCCCCCCCCCAGCTTCCTCTTGAGCTGCTTCTGCCGCCGCTGGTAGTGATTTTTTTTTTTCCTTTCATTTCTGCTTTTCAAATCTGGCCGCTTTAACGGGTGGACTTCAACTCCCAGAATTCCCCATTACAGCCGCCCAGGGTGAGCCTGGCTCTGCAAGGAGCTGAAATGAGCCCCTCCTATTGGGGAGTAGGGTAGAGTTTATTAGAATTAATTATTAGCATTAGAATTCTTTATTTGCCAAGTATGATAAGGCACACATGGAGAAGCTCTCAGGGTCTTCTAGTCCAGCCCCCCCCCCCACTCAAGCAGGAGACCCTACCCCAGGGCTAGGCAACCTTGGCTCTTTTATGACTCGTGGACTTCAACTCCCAGAATTCCTGAGCCAGCCATGCTGGGAGTTGAAGTCCACGAGTCATAAAAGAGCCAAGGTTGCCTACCCCTGCCCTATACCGTCTCAGACAAGTGACTGTCTAGTATTATATACAGTGTAATGAGTGTCTATAAGCCTGTTTTGATCTGGTCTATCTTGCAGGGCTGACATCATAGTTTGTGCTAAAGGGATAAAGCAGAAAATAGGGGAAAAAAATAGAAATTGCAGCCTGCAGGTCTTTTTTTCCTGTTACTATCTGTTCTCGACACAGAAGCCTTATGAAGCCTGAAAATAAGTGGAAAGACATTACAGGTGCTCCCATTTGATAACAAAAAATATCTACAAGCATCTTTTTTTAAACTTTTCTTTATTGAGTCTTTGTAAAACTTTAAATAGTCTCTTTTTTTAAATGGTATTTCAGGGGGGGAAAATATGTTTTCCCATTGTGAAGATTGAAATTACACCTCGAAATTGACCTATAAATTGAAACCAAAAATAAACACTTCAACTGATGTCCTTTTTTTTGGTAAACAAAATGTAAACAGTTCATATGTACAAATCTACAACCATTCCTTTGTGAAAGTGCTCTTTTGAAAATTAATAAAACATCCGTTTTGAAATTCCAGTGAGATCATATTTTTGAGAAATACAACTACTTTCTGGAAAACCCACCAATTTTTTTTTTTAATATTTTATATACACATTTACATGTAACAAGTCTCCATTTCTATCTTTGGGAGTAAAATATTTCCTACTGAAATGTTAAGTTAACTAAGATAAAATACTTTATCAGATTCTTGATAAAGCCTATTTAAACATTAAGTTTTACAAACATTTTGTTCCGTCTGATACCCTGAAGCAAACAGAGGGGAGACTGGTTTCATGATGAGTGGAAGTACAAAACTGTTCCAAAACATTAGGATAAAACAGGATGCTCAGAGAAGGGAAAGCCATATTTCATTTTCATTCACTGTTTTAAAAATAATAGTAGTAACAAAAAGTCCTGGGTTGCTTTTTAGAGGAGCATAACATGAGGCAGAATTTCATTGTTTGGGCAGCAAAGGCCCCAGAATATTCTTTGTTCTCCAAGATGAGTATAAATTAAACTAGGAACTGAACAAGATACATTGGGGGCTCAATTGTGGTTGTAAGTCTAGGATTACCTGTATTGCTTGACCAAACAGAGAAGGTCAAGGTAAGGTTCCACTTCCTGAACTTGATGCAATGGATACGTGGCAGATCATTAATCGGTTAGTGAGATGTTGAAGACTCTGTTTTTTAAACCATTTAGTCGTGTCCGATTCTTGGTGCTCCCCACACTTCTCTGTCAAGCAGCTTCTTTCAGTTGTTGGGTTTTCAACTTGGCATCTGATTTGCTGGCATCAAGTCAGCAGCTTCTTTGCTTGCCCCGTCTTCTTGTTCCACCATCCATTCCTGGCACCGTTGGCTTCTCCAATGAATTGGCACGCCTGACACGGCCAAAGAAAATCAGACCTAGTCTTGTGATTTTAGCTTGTAGTGATGTTTCTGGTTTTATATGATTTAACCCCTCTCTGTTAGATGCTCTGGCTGTCCATGAAGACTGTCCATCCTGGCTGTCTGTGAAGCCTGGGTAATTCCTACTTAAACTGAATGATAGGCTCTCTTTTTAATAGCGCTTTTAATGGTACTTTTGCCGCTATCTTTGATTCAACCACACCTAGAGAGGAGCTGATAGGAAGTGCTTTCATCAGAATGAGACTGCAGGTACTCCTCGACTTACAACAGTTCATTTAGTGACCGAAGTTATAACGGCACTGAAAAAAGAGACTTATGGCCGTTTTTCACACTTACAACCACTGCAGCATCCCCGTGGTCACATGATCAAAATTCAGACGCTTGGCCAATAGCTCATATTTAGGGCGATTGCAGAGCCCTTGGATCCTGGGATCCCCTTTGGCGACCTTCTGGCAAGTAAAGTCCATGGGGAAGCCAGATTCACTTAACAACCATGTTACTAATTTAACAACTGCCGTGATTTACTTAACAAAGGTGGCAAGAAAAGTTGTAAAATGAGGCAAGACTCACTTAACAAATTTCTCACTTAACAACCACATAAATTCTAGGCTGAATTGTGGTCGTAAGTCGAGAACTACCTGGACATTTTCTTCCGTCAACGTACAGTTGTTCTCTTGGGTGAAGCAAAGCCTCAAGCGAATATTCCTGATCAGGAAACACGTCTGCTAAAACTAAATGAATGATGCTTCCCAGCCCAAGCTTTCATTCTGGCTAGTGGTTCTCTTAATTCCTTAGTTACAGCTCAGGAAGAAGCCAATCCTTCCTTCCATCATGGCTATAAAGTACTCTGAAATAGTGGTTTTCATACAGTTCGGAAGCTGGCACCTTCTAAGGAAGTCCTTGTTTAGAGACTGCCTTATTTAGCAACCGTTCACAGTTACAACACTGGCTGTATGAGCAATTTTCGTATTTATGACCTTCACAGATAGGTAAAGCAAAGGACAGCTGAAGTCAGATCATAAGCACATGGTGATTTTTCTTTTTCTGCTTCACTTAACGACCAAATGGCCAATCCCAATTGTGGTCACTAAACAAGGATGACCTGCAGCGCACAAATGTATTACTGTAGGCACTTACATTTGTTTTCTCTGGAGATACAATAACTTAGGAACTGTACACGGAAATTAACAAGACACGTATCTCAAACATTGCTAAATCATTAGCAGTTAAGTGACTTTAGAAATTGTCTATTCACTGATTTAGAACATCCAGCTTAATCATACAATTCCTAGAGAGGACAGTCTAAAAATTACGGCCCGATCCTTGCACTTACAACCATCACAGCACCCCCAGTCATATGGTCAAAATTTGGATGCTTAGCAACCGGCTTGTTTTTACGATGGTTGCAAGGACGTTTGATCACCATTTGTGATCTTCCCAGCTGGCTGCCAACAAGCAAAGTCAGTGGGGAAAGCTGGATTAATTTAACAATTGACTTAACCCTGGCCCTGATTTGCTTAACAACCACGGTAAAAAGGTTGTAAAATCGGATGCGACCTGCTTAACAATTGCTTTGCTCAGGGATGGCAATTCTGGTCCCAACTGTGGTTGTAAGTCAAAGACTTCCTGTACAGAAAGGTGGGCGTTCTGCTCCAGCCCTCTTGAGACGGTTCTCTGCAATGATCTGCGGTGGCTCCCAATATTCAGTCAGGTCTTTCATATAAAAATATCGGGGAAGCTCCATTCCGTGGGAGAGAAGGAAAGCGACCTCAGCTTCAATGTTCAAACAGTGAGCAACCCGATTAACTTAAGAAAGCTTCCTATCACTCAGTCAGCAATAGTTGTCAGCTCAAATTAGCTAGGTAAATGTAGATTTTGCAGAATAGGAAATATAGTACTGAAAGTTCTGCATTACATAAAAAAAAGCAAAATGAAAGAAATGTTTCTTTAGAAAAGAAAAGGGGGTGGGAAAAAAAAAAAGACCTGTTCCTATACACAGCAATATTCCGTAAAGTATTGCTTAAACAACCAAGTCCCTTCAGTTCGCTCTAGGAATTTAAAAAGTTAAAAAAATATGAACTCGCTATAAATAATTTAAACTCTGTTGTAATATAACTCTGGCCTGCCTTCTGTAACTTTTCACACCTTCCCTGCAAATAGTTTATTTGAAAAGCTCCCTTGATACGTGCTCCCTTCCCTGCATGTTTCTGGTCCACCCTGATCCGCCCTTTTCTGCCGCAAAACGCCCTGGATTCTACGCCAGCTGGAGCCCGGGGGTCTCTCGGAATCCCAGGACTGTGTTCCCTACAGGAATTCTCCTTTAGACAAAGGCCGGGGGAGTGGTGTTTCTCAGTGGAAGAGGAATCTTTCTGAAGGCTGCGGCGGCTGCTGTTGTTGTTCGCCTAAGAAGCACCTCGTGACGCGCCCCGGTTCTGTCTAGAGATACGGTTCCCCAAACGTCTTTCGACACTCCATCACTCCGGTACTAGGCGGCCGATCACAGTTGTGGGTGTTCTTGACCTGATTTGTGGTGAGACGATCGTAAGCCATCTTGTATTCTCTGTCGAAAGCATCTGGAGGGAGAGGAAGAAAATGCCTATAGCGCTGGGCTTATGGAGGCGGGCAGGCAGATACACCGACAGGTAAGTAGATAGATCGGTCAATAGATCGGTCGATAGATCGGTCGACAGACAGATAGATAGATAGATAGATAGATAGATAGATAGATAGATAGATAGATAGATAGATAGATAGATAGATAGATAGATGATAGATAGATAGATAATGATAGATAGACGACAGACAGACAATAAATGATGACAGATGATAAACAGATATAAATAGATCAGAAAGAGGCAGATAATATATATATATACGTATGTATGTATACACAGACACACACACGTACACCCTTATACATATAAAAATCTAGTCACAAACAAAAAGGTATCAGTCAAAAATATATAAGAAAATGTGTAGTTTAAAAGCTCATGTTTTCAAAGTCCTTTTTGTGAGGCTTATATGCAGGCAGTACAGCAAATCCTTGACTTATGACTATTCATTTAACAACCGTCCAAAGTTATGACAGTGCTGAAAAGAGGTGGCTTGTGACCGGTGATTGATTGATTGATTTGAAAACTAGCATAATTTAAAACGATGCCGGGAGCTTTTGTCCCTAGCGGTTACTGTGGCTGCCCTTCAGGCTGGAACTGGGATGGCATATTTTAGTTAATGATTGTTGTTGGGAAGAGATGCTAATTCAGCCTGGAAACAGCATCAAGGTTGGGAAAACGGGAAGATTTTCTCAGTCCATCACAAAAGGAAAGAAAGCCAAAGTTTGCAATTATGGATCATTTGTTGGGGAAAGTATTTTTGCACAGAGAAGCAAATTCAATTATTCAACTTTACACAAGTTTCTTTACCTGACTTTCTGAACCTAATCCTCCCGTCATTGGCTCAAATATATTCCTTATTCTGAAGAACAAAACAATTAAATACATGTATGTCATATTAATTTGGGGTAGGCAACCTTGGCTATTTTATGACTGGTGGACTTCAACCCCCAGAATTCCTGAGCCAGCCACGCTGAGAGGAAAGGGAGAGGTTTCCATGCTGAGCCATGCTGGCTCAGGAATTCTGGAAGTTGAAGTCCACCAGTCATAAAAGAGCCAAGGTTGCCTACCCCTGTATTAAGAGGACTTTACACTTTTCAAATACAATTATGCTTTCTAAGGCCAGAAGTGATAGTTTGCACAGTTTAAACATTTAACACACACTAAGGAGAACATCACTGATAGCTTACCTATATCGATATTATCTCTTCCAAGAGCAACGAGAGAGAGAAATAGTATCTCTCTATAAAGACTCCTGGAACAAAATAGACAAAAATTAAAATGGGAAAGCTTTAATTTTTAATCACGGTTTCAAATCCGCTGTACCAGATTGTGTATTAGCATTTAGATATTGGGCTGCAGGTAATTTGAGGAAGGAACAAATGCCTTCTGAGCGAGTGACCAACTGAATCTTCTGAGTTTTTTCTTCCCTGGGAAAAAAACAAATTTTCAGACTTTGGCCTTACCTTTGCCTTTTGATCTGTGGTCCTTTGTTCAGCCTCTCTAGGATCTGGCTCATTGGTCCATAGACATCGTTCATCTTAATACTCTTGACCATGTTTCTTAAGAGCTCCTGGTTAAAGAAACTGTCATCCTTTTGCAGTAAACGAACCACTGGGTATTTATGAGCTGGAGAAAGACGTTTAGAAAGTACAGTGAACAAAAAAAACCCAAGGCTGTCAGCTGGTTTTAAAAATAAAAGAATATCGCATAAAGACAATTTTGTGAAGCTGGGGATCCACAAATGAAGTGCGACAGGGAACGGCCAGCCGTAAGAAAGAAAGTCTGATCAATGGCATCTATGAGCTGTAAGCCAAGGAATACTGAAAGCCAGGTCAAAACAGGCAGGGAGTCACCTCCAAATCATTACAAGGATTCCTAGTGTTTCTCAAAGAAAGTGAAACTAGGACAAGGATTGACAAAGTACACAAAATGGCTGGGAAAAATAAATGTATGCCTAGACAGGATGCCGAAAAGCAACCACATAAAATATACACATAGACAGTAGAGAAGGAGGGGGGGGGGTGTTGTTCAAAGTAAGTCAAGAAATAAATAATTTCTCAGCAATAGCAAGATGTAACACAACACTCACTCTCAAACACAAGGGTACGGTTTTGACCTGTAAGACAAGAATGGCGTGATCAAACTCCTAATGCATATCAGTTCCGGGCTTCTGGCCTGGTGGGAAATCTTTTTCCATAAAATAATAAAGAATACTGATAACTTACTCTGGGCATTCCACAGAATATAGAGGGGCTGTCCTGGATCTTTGTGCAGTTTCATATTGTCCCACAACATCTGAATCAGAACATGCTTGCTGTTCTCCAAGATGCAGTTTCTGGGTATCTGTAGAGGGAGGACACAAAATATCTCAGATACAATTATAAAAGAATAAGGCAGCGGTACCCAGAAGCGAGGTCATAAGGAACAAGAAATGCAAAGAGAAATAGAGTTAGCTCAGGATGAGAAGAGGCACTGGAAATTCCAGAATATAGCAAAAATGAATGCTTCAGTACAGGTAATCCTCAACTTACAACAGTCCATCTGGTGACTCTTCAAAGTTTCAACGGCACTAAAAAAAATGCCTTGTGACTGTTTTTCACACTTACGACCGTGGCAGCATCCCCATGGTCACGTGATCAAAATTCAATTCTTGGCAGCTCACTTAATATTAATAACAGTCGCAGTGTTCATCTTTTGTGACCTGCTAACCAACAGTCAATGGGGAGGCTGGATCCATGTTGCTAATTTCACAACCGCAGTGATTCTCTTAACAACTGCGGCAAGAAAGGTCAGAAAATGGAGCAACATTCACTGAACAACTGTCTCACTTAGCCGTAGAAATCTTGAGCTCAGTTGTGGTTGCTGAGGACTTTAACATGATTGTAAAGCAGGCTACACATTCTATAGGAGCATACAAACTTACACCCACAAGACAAAGTAGCCAGTTTAGCTAAAATGTTCTTGTAAGGTGTGAAAAACTAGGTCCACACACAAAGATTTCAATTAAATTGATTTATTGCTAAAAGTCCATGCACTGGAATCTTCTGAATTAAGGGATAGCACCAGGTTAGCTAGATAATGGTCAATGATACTCAAAGGGGATTGGAGTTGGTGGATTGGAGTTGGCTCTCTTGTGACTATGCAGGGATTCCAGGCTGATTCCCCGTTTCACTCCACCACCACCCCAGGTTCTGCCACCCTTTCTCCTACAGCTCTTTAAATTAATAACAACCACACATCCTCAAACAAAACCAATGCTTGCAGTTAGCGTAACACTTTGTTTTCCATACCTTGGAATTTTTATTGCAGTGTTCAGAGGACAGAATTAATCCAGGCAAGCTACTGGGTAAGTCCAACCGTCGGAAGTACCACACCAGGTTCCAGAAGACAATGGGATGATGGTCCACAAACTCTGCCACGGTGATCACGTGATCTCCTTCATTTTCCAACAAGCTCTCAAGTTCTTTCCAGACAACGAGAGGACTTAGATAAGGAACAGTGATGGGCTCCGGGCTAGGCAGATGCCACTCCAGCTGCAAAGACTCCTGCGATACCAGACAGGGCGTAAGGAGAAAGGGGAGTGAGAAATCCCTGTGGAATAATCATGAGAAAAGGGTCCTTGGTTGGGGCACCCTCCTCTTGAATCTCCAGGGATTATTAGTATACCTTTTGATTTTCCTGTGATTTGCTGGGTTTTAAAACTTCTGCTTTGACTATTTTTAACCACAGAGAAGTTTTTGTCTTATGGCCTATTATATCATATTAAATTGCATTTTAATGGTTTCTATTGTTCCTTCCCCTAAGGGAGTCCAGAGTGCTGCTCAAAAACAATGTAAAAGGCAATTTGCTAGTATAGGTTAAGTCCTCAACTTACGACCAGAATTTCTGTTGCCAAGCATGGTGGATGTTCAGTGAGTCACGTCCAATTTTATGATCTTTTTGCTAGGGTTGTTAAGAAAATCACTGCGGTCGTTAACTGAAGCATGTGATTGTTAAACGAGTCCAGCTTCCCCCACTGATTTTGCTAGTTGAGAACTGGTTGGGAAGGTGGCCAATGGCCATCACCTGGCCCTGCGATGCTGCAACCGTCATAAATACATGCTGGTTGCCAAGTGCCGAAAGTTTGATCACATGACTATGGGGATCCTGCAATCATCCTGAACCAGGGGTAGGCAACCTTGGCTCTTTTATGACTCGTGGATTTCAACTCCTAGAATTTCTGCTGAGGGGACAGGGAGAGGTTTCCAAGCTGAGCCGGGCTGGCTCAGGAATTCTGGGAGTTGAAGTCCACGAGTCATAAAGCAGCCTAGGCTTAGGCCAGAGGTGGCAACCAGAGGTAGCCACGCTGAGGGGAAAGGGAGGGGTTTCCAAGCTGAGCCATGCTGCCTCAGGAATTCTGGGAGTTGAAGTCTCCAAGTCATAAAAGAGCCAAGGTTCCCCACCCCTGTCCTAAACACTTTTAACACCACAGTGTGGTCATAACTTCAAATGATTGCTAAATGAATGTTGGCAAATTGAGGGCTATCTGTAAAACAATCAACAATAAAATTACCACCAGCCCAAGAACAGGAATGATTTAATTCCTATTGCAATTCCTCTGATCATATTCAGCAAAATGATTCTATAATTAAACCTTAAAGTGGTTAAGGCACCCAGCTAGAAAGCAGGAGACTGCTGGTTTTGGTTCAGCCTTAGGCACAAAAGCCAATTGGATGACTTTGGGCAAAATCATCATCAGACTGTGAATTCTAGTCCTGCCTTAGACATGAAAACCAACTGGGTGATTTGGGGCCACTTGGCCTCCCTCAGCCCAACCTGCCTCACCGGGTTGTCATTGTGGGGGAAATAGGAGGAGGAGAAAGGTGTGTTGGAGATGTTCGTCCCTTTGAATTGTTTGTAAACATAATAAAGGTAGAATACAGACGAACAAGCACACAAATATCACAGCAAGGCTGTGATATTCTGTGATATTCTGAAGATCCAGGTGAGGAACACAACACTCGGATCCTTACCATTCTCTGCTGGAAAGTTGTAGGCAAGCTCCCTGTGGGCACCACGTGGTTGTGTGTATGGACTCCCACTTCATCTATCTCTAAAGAACTGTAGGCACTGACGCTTCTTGACAGGGGGTGCCCAAGCGGTTCGTCTTTGGATGAAGGATGCCTTCGCTGAGAAGGGATCTGAATGCTCTTGGCACAGAGGGTGTCCAAATGTTTTGTCTTGCAGCTGCTGAAAGAGGTTACATGTTGACTGGAGAACTACATAAAATGCTGAGAAGATTCCAGGGAGGAAGAAAGATACTGAAATCTGATCACTAACCTGGAACACAAGCCATCTGTCTTCCTCTAGGGCAGGGGTCTTCCAACTTGGCCCTTTTAATGACTTGTGGACTTCAACTCCCAGAATTCCTCAGCCAGGCATGCTGGCTGAAGGATTCTGGGAGTTGAAGTCCACAAGTCATAAAAGGGCCAAGTTGGAACACCCCTGCCCTAGTATCTACAACAGTGGTTCTCAACCTTTTTAATGCTGCAACCCCCAACTGGTCGTAAGTCGAGAACTACTCAACCAGTCGTAAGTTGAGGACTACTCAACTGGTGCAGCACCGTTTGCACAATGGGACTTTTGGCGGGCTCAGCAGGGCAGAGACAGCCCAGACAATTCCTATTGGCTTTTGAAATAGGAATCCCTCTCTTTGATAGGCTGGACATACCTAGTTCTCTCAACCATACATCGTATGTTTTAGCCTCCAGTATCTTTGCTGCTCTTCTCCACACTCTTTCCAGAATCCCAGCATTTTTTCTCACAAACACCCTCATCGTTTCTCCCCATTCTTTTAAAAACATCCTAAAAACTACTGGATGACTTAAATTATCAACATACGCTGCTGTCAGTAATTAATTACAATGATTAAAATACTTACTCCTGCCAATTTTTCTGTGGTTTTATCATACATATCTGTATGAAAACCCGACTTCTGCTCTCCAACATAACTACGGTTCTTAAGTGCTGGGTTCACATCACTTGCTATGCCCAAAGCAACAAATCCATTTCCAATTTCAGTTGCGTCTTATATACTGTGTGAACGTGGTCAAATGGCTTTTTCCATGAATTTGCAAGTCCCTTGTCTCCATCCAATTAACCTCACCAAGTTTGGGGTGTTGGGGTTTAGAGGGTTAGTTCATTTTGACAAAAAGAAAGTTATAAATGCAGTTTTGAATGTTTTACAAGTCGTGAAATAAACGTACCCTTCTGAAACCAAGTCATTTTGAGCTGGAATTAAAGTCGCAGTAAGTCCTGAAAGAGGATCAGCAACGCACGTTTTGTCGGCCTGGTTCATAAAAGGGAACGGAAGCTGGATGTTTTCCGAAGAAGGACTGGGCTTCAAGAAGTACCTACAAAGATTGTGCTCACGTGATTATGGAATTGTTGCACGTGGAAAAACACTGCGAAATAAAAATTCCCTTTCCAAAGGAGCAGTAAACAAGTACCTTCCGGGTCCCCGGAGATCTCGGATTTCAATATTCAGGAAAGGCAAGAAGAGGTTTCCACAGAAGGGGCAGGTGGTGTTCAGGTTGGAGTCATCCGCGGTCCAGCCTGCCATGATCTCTTCGTCGTGGACCAGGCAGTCGCAGGTCCGACATCGGGAACAGCTGGAGATCAGGACCTGGGGGAGGCACTGAGTTAAAGCCATGGGAGACTTTTTTTTGGGGGGGGGGAATACAATAACAAGATGCTGAAAAAAAAAGGATGTCTCTTTGAAACAAAAATACTCTTGTACTTTTTCCAGCCTGGTGCTCTGCCTGCAAAAAATGAGGATCTTTTTATGCCATTTTTAGAAAGGTACATGTTGCCAGAGCAGGAAAGTTGAGTTTGCAAATATGGTCAGCAAAAATTTAATCCATCCGTCCTTCCTTCCTTTCTTCCCTCCTTCCTCCCTCCCTCCCTCCCTCAATCCTCTTTTCCTTCCTTTCCTTTCCTTTCTTCTTTCCTTTCCTTTTCTTCCTTTTTTACTTCCTTCTTCTCTTGCTCTTTTCCTTCTTTTCTTTCCCTTCCCTTCCTTCCTTCCTTCCTTCCTTCCTTCCTTCCTTCCTTCCTTCCTTCCTTCCTTCCTTCCCTCCCTCCCTCCCTCCCTCCCCCCTTCCTTCTCATAGCAGCTCTCATATCCTGGGGCTATCAAAAACAGGTCATTCCAGAAGGCAATGGTGCTTTGCAAGGTTTTATTAAAGGGTGATATGTTCCTTAGAACATACCTGTCCAAAAATGTTCCTATGAAATTCCAGCTAATTAAATTGCAAACTTCCTTGGATTGAAATGTTAGGACTTTAAGGATAAATGTAGTGTGATAGTAGAAGGCAAATAAACCGATTTTTGAAATCTGTTTCGCCAGGTTTATGGTAACGACAGTAAAAAATACCGTACCTCCAGGGCGTAATTCTGGAAAACACTGGTGCTGCTTGGACTGCAAGAGGAAACCACCTCTGCTTTTGAAAAAGAGCCTAAAAAAGCAAAAGGACACAGTCAAAACAAATATTTACACTAGTTCTGGAAAAGATGATCTCCTCCCAGCTACCCCCTCCCTTTACTTCAAAGAGAAAGGAGTAATAATCCTAGAAATAATAGAAAGAATTAAAATGTATTTGGCACCTGACTCCCAACATCTCTGGGCAGTTTACACATTATATAAAACATTACAGAAGACATTCAAATGTGGTCACGTGACCAAAATTCAGCTGCTTGACTGGTTCATATTTATGACGGTCGCTGTGTCCTGGGATCACGTGATCACCTTTGTGACCTTCTGACAAGCAAAATCAATGGGGAAACCAGATTCAATTAACAACAGTGGCAAGAAAAGTTGTAAAATGGGGCAAAATTCACTCAACAACTATCTCACTTAGCAACAGAAATTTTGAGCTCTATTGTGGTCGTAAGTCGAGGACCGCCTCCACTGGCCAAAGGAACTTAATTTAAACCTTTCCATTGCACTTTTTTCCTCCCAGTCATCCAATGGAAAAAAAAGCAGGAATCCTAACCCAGGGCTCCATTCTGAAGGAGAGAAACATGGATTTCCTGCAGGAAAACGTGAGCCTTTTTTAACCCTTATTGTATCTGAAACCTGGCCCGGTTCTGATTTGGCAAGATTGAATTCCTTGGGCCATTTTAATACCATCCCCTTCTGGAAGGAGAAGCGGACGTCCCGCCAGATAATACGGTGACTGGCGTTTCCCAAGCCTGTGTCATCTGAGGAGACGATAGCAGACCAGGAAAAAAAACATCTGGGCAGCTCTTACCACAGTGCGAGGAACGCTTTGAGGAGCCGTTGTGAGAAGCAGCACTTTCCAGACTGGTGGAGCTCAGGCCGATGCGCTTGAAAGCCAAGGATGCATCGTCCCAAGGAGAAGAGTTGCTTTCCAGATCGTTGCACACGTCTTCGTCAGTTAGAGAGGCAGATTCCGAGTCCAGGGCCCCGAGGGACGACACGCTTGCTCGGTCTGAGTTTTGATCCTGAAACAAGAACAGGCAGGAGTTTGGGAGTTGCTACAGATCCACATCTGGCGGCAAACATTTAGTGGCAAAGCAGCACAGGTGGCCCTTGACTTACGACCGGTCGAAGTCACAATGGACCTTCTTTGGGCTACTCGCTACCTGGTTCCGAAATTCCAAGGGTCGGGCCCCTCCCACGGTCCTGACACTGAACTTCGGACAGTCAGTAAGAAGGCCGCATTTACAGCTGTTTACAGCTTCCCGCTGCCATGCAGTCAGCATTTTAGGACAGTTTGGCCAGAAACCAGCAGTTGTTTCCAGTTTTTGGCTAAACTCGGCCCTCACTGAATGAACCATCGTGCTTAATGGCTGCTGAACGACTGCCCTTAAAAAAACAGGTCACAAAATCAGGTCAGTCACTCCACTCCCTTCTAACGCTGATGATGTTACCAAGTTGGGTAAGGAAACTTCTGCAAGAAAATAACCAAGCTCGGAGAGCACCAAGGGCACCAGAGCTAAAGTTCCCTAATTAAGTAGTTCCCTAATCAAGAGGTTAGGGACAACCACACGGCCACTAATATTGGCAAGGCAAACCACTTAAAGAGAGAGCAAGCCCCACTCTTTTCTAACACTGATGATGTTACCTAGTTGGGAAATGAAATGTCTGCAAGAAAACAACCAAGCTCAGAGAGCCCCAAGGACCACACAGTTCAGCCCTGAGTTACAGACATTCTCTTCTACCAGTACTAATCTTGTAGGCCTCGTGATTCTAGCCAATGCAGAGGAGTATAAACATCACCTGGGACTTTCACAGCCTTTAAAGGCAACTCCGATGAAGCTGAAGAAGTGTTCAACCCTGAGCCGTCCAGGGGTGGTGAAGGACAAGCAGCCACGACGGAATTTCTGCTGAACTGTGTATTTTCACGACAACCATTTGAAAGCCTTACCTTCGATGCTGCCGCGTAGGTGGCGAACTTTGAATACCACTTGCTGGCCTTCTCCGCCACCCCTTTTCCTGCAGAAAACATGCTGCTCTTCAGAACATCGAAGGTTGGGGTCAGGAGCGTGTCCAGGTTGAAGGAGGTTGGAGAGGCGAGTGCTACTGCATCAGCCATGTCTTGAGATTGCCCCCTTGACAAATTGTTCGGAGAGAACACGGGAGAGGACCAAAGCCGGTCCCTCCCTCTTTCATTTTTGACCTGGTAGCTCTTGGATTTGGGGAGCGTTATGGACCTGGGTGAGTTTGGAGGGAGGCTAGATCTTCGGCACAGCTGGCCTAAGGTTGGACTCTTTCTGTTGGGATTCTTGTCGCTGTAGGCCTTTTGCAAATCGATGCTGGGGGTCCGGCTTGTTAAAGGACTACTCATATTATTCATGTACATCTCGATTTCTTCCGCTAAATCGCGCCTGGCTGACGGGGTGGAGACCCTCTTCTCCTCCTCCTCCTCCTCCTCGTCTTCCTTCCCTTGCCCCGTTTCAGCTGCCAACAAGGAGAGTGGATCAAAGCCGGTTTCAATGTTAACCTTCTCAATGGGCTTCAGCGGAAAACTGATAGCCTGCTGAACCTTCTTGGGCTTTTTATGCATCAGCTTTGCAGGTTTCACCGGGACAGGTTCATTATCCAGATCTTCCAAATCAAATATAACCGGAGACTCTGTCTTAAGCACAAGGCCGTTCTCGTAGGCTATGTCTTCATCACTAGATTCTTTTTCCAGATTGATCTTCCGACCGGCTCCCAAAGAAGCTGGTTGGAGGTTGAGAGTCTTTGGCCTCATTCTTTTCTCAAACATCTTAGAAAGGATTTTTGCATCCACGCCCAGCTTTTCCACAATTTCTTCGGGTCTGGCCTCCTGATTAATCTGATTCTTCATAAGCTCCATTAGAGCATCTCCACTCAATTTCCTGTTTCGCCAAACCATCTGTTTGTGTTCGGTTTCAGCTGCATTTAAATGCTTGTTTCTCAGCTTTTCAGCTTTAGTGACTCCTGTTTTATTGATATTGTCAAAACAAGAAAAGAGCAATCCCGCAGAGGTATCTGGAAAGAAAGAAAAAACGCATGGACAAACTCCAAGGATATTACATTAATTTACTAAAACACCGGCAGACTCACAGAATCCCCTTAATATGCTCACAGGGTTTTGCTACAGTTATTTTTAAATGCAAAGGCTGGAAGCCTTATTTTTCTATTCAATTTACCACACGTTTTCAGGAAAATCTGGCCACTTGTGAACAACCATGTGCAAGGGGAATGTAAAGTAAATCAAATATCCATAAATTTTACCCATGCTTAGAAAGAACTCTCAGCCACATCAGCTTACCTATGTGGCATCCATCTCCTGTGGCATCTGATATTTTGCCAGTTGTATCATTAACGCGAACAATCCTTGAACCGAGCGTGACACAATTGGAATTTTGATAATTTAACGCTGGGAGGCAATCACCGCTTCCCTTTCCACTCTCAATTTCGGACACTATATGCACATAAAAATGGATAAGAACTGATCAAAAGTTAAACTTACTCTTAATCAACCATGGTTGGAATTAAAACAAATCAAGCATGAATATGGGGGGAAAAAATCAAGTTCAATTGCACTGCATTTGATACATACAGGAACTTGAGTCACTCTCTTTTTTCTCATCTCTCTGGTCGATACTGTTCTGGATGTTTGTTTTTCCTTGCTTAACTGCTTCTTTAGATAACTTATATAAGAGATCAGAATGTTCCCCTATTAAAATAAAACAAATAAAATGAATTTAAAAAGCAGGGTAAAACGTATCCTAAAAAGTGCAATAGATATCCCCAAATAAGGGGATAACGTTGTATATGGCTTGTTTTATTTTCAGTAATTGTATGGAGAAAAAACTTCCATAGCTGATACTTAATAAAAGCATGGCTCTCTAAATCAGGATCATGCTCCTTTTTTTCAGATTGAAGACCTCATTTAAGCCTCTAAATCAGGTGTAGGCAACCTTAGCTCTTTTATGATTCGTGGACTTCAACTCCCAGAGTGCCTGAGCCAGTTGGCTCAGGAATTCTGGGAGTTGAAGTCCACAAGTCATAAAAGAGTCAAGGTTGCCTACCCCTACTCTAAATGGAACCGGGGCAAATAGCTACTTGATTTCCATAGAATTTAGATTAAGTCAAGATGAAATTAATTAAGTAAAGCTCATAAAATTATTCCTTGTAGAGTCATCCCTGTTGGCAGCACCGTCATTCTAGGGCGATCATCCTTGATCTTGGAACAAGATCATCAGCATTAAACTGGGTTAATATGTGTTTGAGTATATGAGAAATCTACAGTGCTGCGATCAGTTCTTTTTTTTTTTTTAAGCATGGTCATTGTGCTAGTAAGTTATTTATTTACTTAGGCTCAGAAGCATCCTCACTGAGACATGAAAACATTTCTTGCAATTCTAGCAGTGTAAAGTACAAACATTCCTTGAATTACAAAACAGGAAACACACACGAACGATTTACCAGATAGAGTTTTGTGGATTCCATTTGCAGGCTGCTTCCTTAGAGCTCTTTTAAACTGAGTTATTCCTAAAATGACATTTCTTATCTTGGTCCACAGAAAGTAGCCACTTCGATTGCTCGATGGCCAACTGCTTTCCAAAACAGCCTGTAACAACATCAAATGGATGTTAATCATGCATTTCTGAGGATCGTGGCAAAGCATACCTTTAGGTCAGAGGTCTTCAAACTTGGCCCTTTTATGGCTTCTGGACTTCAACTCCCAGAATTCCTCAGCCAGGCAAGCTGGCTGAGGAATTCTGGGAGCTGAAGTCCACGAGTTCTTGTTTTTAATTTAATTCAATATGGGGGGCTTCACAATGGAGGTTGTGGATAGATTAATAATAGATTCCCCTCTCCCCAATTTAGGGTTGAATATTTGAATTTTTATTGTATTTTATTTATATGGTCTATAGCAGGGGTAGGCAACCCAAAACACTTAAAGAGCCACTTGGACAAACACACACGCACACAAACACACAAACACACCCACACCCATAATAAAGGTAAAAAAGGATATATGCAGTGTTATCTTCATTTTAGATGTCAAAAGGGTCTCTCTCTGTCTCTCTCTCTCCCTCCCTCTCTATCTGCCCTTGGTCTGCCACTCCTCTTCCCCTGCTCTCCTTCTTTCTCTCTCTTTCCTCTCTCTCTCTCTCTCTCTCCCTCCCTCTCTCTCTTTCTCTCTCTTTCTCCCCCCCCCCTCCTATCTGCTGCTCACCTGGCAAGCTTCAAGCTGTTGTCCAACAAGCTCAGGGGTAAGCAACCTCGTCTCTTTTATGACTCATGGACTTCAACTCCCAGAATTCCTGAGTCAGCCTAGCTAGGCTAGCTAGCTCTCTCCTGCCCTTCCTGCTTCCTGTAGAGATGCAGCAAAGGGGGGAGCTCCGCCCAGTAAGCTTTTCAGCTCCTCGGAGAACACTGTGAGTGCACTCTCTTTTACACAGACACACACACAAACACAGAGAGAGAGAGAGAGAGAGAGAGAAGCAGGGAAGCGCAATTGCCTCTCTCTGTCTCTGTCTCTCTCTGCAAAGGCAGAGGAGGCTGGGAGCCACAGGGGAAGGCTCAAAGAGCCGCATGCGGCTCCGGAGCCGCAGGTGGCCGACCTGTGGGTTAGGGTTACGTCACCATGAACTCCTAGAGCAAAATGGACATCGCCAATAAACCCGGAGTACTTGGGTATGGTTAAGAGGGCACTGACTTTTCTAGGCTACCCTATCTATGTTTCCTGGTAAAATACATAGAAAATCCCATTGGAGGAAAATTCCACTTAGGGTTAGGGTTACGTCACCATGAACTCCTAGAGCAAAATGGACATTGCCAACGAACTCGGAGTGCTTCGGTATGGTTAGGAGGGCACTGACTTTTCTAGGATGCCCTATCTATGTTTCCTGGTAAAATACATGGGAAAATCCCATTGGAGGAAAATTCCACTTAGGGTTAGGGTTACGTCACCATGAACTCCTAGAGCAAAATGGACATCGCCAACGAACTCAGAGTGCTTGGGTATGGTTAGGAGGGCACTGACCTTTCTAGGCTGCCCTCTCTATGTTTCCTGGTAAAATACATGGGAAAATCCCATTGGAGGAAAATTCCACTTAGGGTTAGGGTTACGTCACCATGAACTCCTAGAGCAAAATGGACATCGCCAACGAACTCGGAGTGCTTCGGTATGGTTAGGAGGGCACTGACTTTTCTAGGCTGCCTTATCTATGTTTCCTGGTAAAATACATGGGAAAATCCCATTGGAGGAAAATTCCAATTAGGCTTAGGGTTACATCACCATGAACTCCTAGAGCAAAATGGACATCGCCAACGAACTCGGAGTGCTTGGGTATGGTTAAGAGAGCACTGACCTTTCTAGGCTGCCCTCTCTATGTTTCCTGGTAAAATACATAGAAAATCCCATTGGAGGAAAATTCCACTTAGGGTTAGGGTTACGTCACCATGAACTCCTAGAGCAAAATGGACATTGCCAACGAACTCGGAGTGCTTCGGTATGGTTAGGAGGGCACTGACTTTTCTAGGATGCCCTATCTATGTTTCCTGGTAAAATACATGGGAAAATCCCATTGGAGGAAAATTCCACTTAGGGTTAGGGTTACGTCACCATGAACTCCTAGAGCAAAATGGACATCGCCAACGAACTCAGAGTGCTTGGGTATGGTTAAGAGAGCACTGACCTTTCTAGGCTGCCCTCTCTATGTTTCCTGGTAAAATACATGGGAAAATCCCATTGGAGGAAAATTCCACTTAGGGTTAGGGTTACGTCACCATGAACTCCTAGAGCAAAATGGACATCGCCAACGAACACAGAGTGCTTGGGTATGGTTAGGAGGGCACTGACCTTTCTAGGCTGCCCTATCTATGTTTCCTGGTAAAATACATGGGAAAATCCCATTGGAGGAAAATTCCACTTAGGGTTAGGGTTACGTCACCATGAACTCCTAGAGCAAAATGGACATCGCCAACAAACTCGGAGTGCTTGGGTATGGTTAGGAGGGCACTGACTTTTCTAGGCTGCCTTATCTATGTTTCTTGGTAAAATAGATGGGAAAATCCCATTGGAGGAAAATTCCACTTAGGGTTAGGGTTACGTCACCTTGAACTCCTAGAGCAAAATGGACATCGGCAACAAACTCGGAGTGCTTGGGTATGGTTAGGAGGGCACTGACTTTTCTAGGCTGCCTTATCTATGTTTCTTGGTAAAATAGATGGGAAAATCCCATTGGAGGAAAATTCCACTTAGGGTTAGGGTTACATCACCTTGAACTCCTAGAGCAAAATGGACATCGCCAACAAACTCGGAGTGCTTGGGTATGGTTAGGAGAGCACTGACCTTTCTAGGATGCCCTATCTATGTTTCCTGGTAAAATACATGGGAAAATCCCATTGGACGAAAATTCCACTTAGGGTTAGGGCAGGGGTAGGCAACCCAAAACACTTAAAGAGCCACTTGGACCCGTTTCCCACCAAAAACAAAACACTGGGAGCCACAAAACCATTTTGATATCTAAAATGAAGATAACACTGCATATATCCTTTTTTACCTTTATTATGGGTGTGTGTGTGTTTGTGTGTGTGTGTGTTTGTGTGTGTGTATGTATGTGTGTGTATATATGTATATGTATGTATACATACATACACATACACAAACACACACACACACAAACACACACACTCATAATAAAGGTAAAAAAGGATATATGCAGTGTTATCTTCATTTTAGATGTCAAAAGGGTCTCTCTCTGTCTCTCTCTCTCCCTCCCTCTATCTGCCCTTGGTCTGCCACTCCTCTTCCCCTGCTCTCCTTCTTTCTCTCTCTCTTTCCTCTCTCTCTCTCTCTCTCTCTCTCTCCCTCCCTCTCTCTTTCTCTCTCTTTCTCCCCCCCCTCTCCTATCTGCTGCTCACCTGGCAAGCTTCAAGCTGTTGTCCAACAAGCTCAGGGGTAAGCAACCTCGTCTCTTTTATGACTCATGGACTTCAACTCCCAGAATTCCTGAGTCAGCCTAGCTAGGCTAGCTAGCTCTCTCCTGCCCTTCCTGCTTCCTGTAGAGATGCAGCAAAGGGGGGAGCTCCGCCCAGTAAGCTTTTCAGCTCCTCGGAGAAGACTGTGAGTGCACTCTCTTTTACACAGACACACACACAAACACAGAGAGAGAGAGAGAGAGAAGCAGGGAAGCGCAATTGCCTCTCTCTGTCTCTGTCTCTCTCTGCAAAGGCAGAGGAGGCTGGGAGCCACAGGGGAAGGCTCAAAGAGCCGCATGCGGCTCCGGAGCCGCAGGTTGCCGACCTGTGGTCTATAGGCTTTGTATAGTTTTATATTTTCAATATTGTAAGCTGTCCAGAGTTACCCTGTGCCTAGATGAGCAGCTAATAAATTTCATAAATAAATACAATTGCTTTTTATTATAATATTTATATGCAGCTTTTATGTCTTATGTCTATTTGTACAACACCCAGAGTTGCTGCATAAGGGAAATGGAAGTTTTTTTTAAATATGATATATAAATAAACACGGATAAGCTTGTACAGAGTATGGAAAGGATGCTGAATTGGCTTGGAAAACAAGTGCTAATCAAAGTCAGAGGAGTGAGCTAGTACTTCCATCTCATTTGGTCTCAAAGATCCAATTTACCTTATTATAATAACCATAGGTAATAGCGTTAGGATCGATGCCAGCCTTCTTCATCTCAAAAAGGATTTTTACGGCTAAGACGGGCTGACTGTATTGCCCGCACAGCTGCATCAACACCCGATAACATACCTGACCAAAACAAAAGAGATGGTGGTTACTTTTTCACTCTCAGAACGTTTACACACCTGACATTGGCCTCACCTGCCAGAAAACCCGCCTCTTTACCTCATCAGGTGGCTCGATCTTTTTCATGTGCATCTTGCGCAACACATCGTAGGCCGTCCTTAGGGCCCTGACTTTGGAATGGCAAACGCGGACATAAGCAGGCAGGCAGATGAACCACAGGCCGTAGCAATGGCGCAGTAAACACCTGGACCACATCTGGGGGATGGAGGAATATCTCTTGGCCATCTTGTGCGCAGACTTGATTTCCTGTAGAGAGAGGCGGGAAGGAAAAGGCTTCAGGCATGGTAGGCCTTGGAGAACATGCACCAAAGCTCCTTCAACGATGGGTGGATCTCGACTTACGACCACAGTTGAGGCCAAAGTTTCCACTGCTGAACAAGACAGTTGTTAAGTGAGTTTTCCCCATTTTACGACCTTTCCTGCCAGATTTGTTAAGTGAATTGCTGCACTTGGTAAGTTGGTAAGTGTATAAGTTACCTGTTTTGTTCTCCTGAACACTGGCAAAGGACTGTTTGGGCTGCTGGCTTTCGAAGACAATTTGCTGTTTTGCATTGTCAGAAGTCCCGCTGGCTGTTCAAATAAATTTTGCTTTAGTACCGGAAATCCATTGTAGCTGAAAAGAATAAGACAGGCTTTTATTTACTTGTACTCAACATGCCCCTGAAGGCTCCTTCGTACTTTGCCATTAAGGTAGAACATCCGGAGCATGTCTAAAATGCTTCTTTCCTGAGTGGACCGCATTTTATTTCATCTCTTGTAGAGGAGACCACAAAGGTGCTGAGAAGGGCTGCTACTTAATTGTCACATTTTTTTACTGATGTACTTATTTCTAAAATGTATATTTCATTCATATGTTGTGCTAATCTAGCCCAGAGATGGTTCTGTCATGGAGAATCAAGCCTTGAAATTGGTGATTTTCAATTCCCGCCCAGGTAGAATTATAGCACCAAATACAGGTAGCCCTTGACTTACAACCATTTTCTTAGTAACCTTCCCAAGTTACAGTGGCACTTAAAAAAGGGACTTATGGCTGCTTTTCATACTTACAACCATTGTGAATCGTTTCTGGTGAGACAAAGTTTCTACCGACCCAAATTAGCATGACACAGAAAGTCACTGACAGATACCGGAAGGCAAGAAATATTTCACCGGATGGCTTGAAAATGTGCCCAGGATTACCTGTATTGATATGGAAGCTCTTCTCCATTGGGCAGATGAGGAATCTCTGGGGGTGTTATGAAGACGGTGTGTTCACTCTTGTGGGACTCATCAAGTTCTATAAGTCGCGTGTCACCTGTCTTGTCTATATCCACCTGTCCAAAATGGATAAAAATGATCATACATTTCTTGCCAAGAAGTTAGCAACCCTTCCTTCAGTGAGCTTTTGCAAACAGTTGCCAGGACGCGGATTAAGGGATAACGTTAAAAACCTCTATTAAAAACTACTTTGTGTTGATTTGTTGGTATTATTTCTAATTCTACCGATCTCATCGAAACAGGAAAATCCCCTTGCTTGCATTCTTTTCTGACTGACTCCATCGGGTTGTTTTCAACACGTTTCTTTCAAAAAATAGATGCTCTGTGAAGAGGTTGCTTTCATGCAGTCTGTCTTAACCTTGGCAACCTTCAAGGTGTTTGGACTTGCAATTCTCAGAATCCTTCAAAGCTCCACATTTGAGGAAAACACAGGCTTTCATGTAATGTTTCCATGCCTGGAATTCTCCTGCAAACATTTTTGCAATTGTTCAGCCTCTTTGCAGAGACAACGTGAAGTTACTATTATTATTTATTTATTTATTTATTTATTTATTTATTTATTTATTTATTTATTTATGAGACTTATATACCGCTTTAAGTGCAAGCACTTTCTAAGCGGTGTACACCAGTAAGCAATGTATATATATATATTTACATTGCCCCCAACAATCTGGGTCCTCATTTTACCTACCTCGGAAGGATGGAAGGCTGAGTCAACCTTGAGCCAGCGAGATTTGAACCGCTGACCTGCTGAACACAGTCAGCTAAAGTGGCCTGCAGTACTGCACCCTAACTGCTGCGCCACCTCGGCTCATTATTATTTGGATTTAGATATTCATTTAAATCAACAAGCTTGCTTAGCTGTGTTTAACAACATTATACAAGCAATTCTGTGTGCTGCTTTCTTAAAGGCATTTTTTTCCCCATGTCACTGAGTCTCAATAGAAAGCATGTTTTCCTGCCAGCTGAAGAGCTGTCATCAATAAAATGGTACCTGGGGGAGCTGGCCCTCTTTCTATAGCATGCAGGAAATGTGCTTAATTTTCATAGTTGCTATGTTCATTCCTCTCAGGTGCCTGATAAGTAGTTTTCATATTTTCAGCAGTTAGCCCAAGGGGATTCTTGCAAAAACAAATGTTAGTCTTCAAAAGACTTCCACAGCACAGCGCAGTGTAGCATTTCAAGGACACGTTTTTGAGACTGAGAGCAAGCCACGAACGTATTAATTACTTGGACAGATTATAAAATCTGTCTGAAGCAAAATGGTGCTGATAATAAACCTCATTATACAAACCCATTATAAATGCAAGCTACACTGGAAGCTACGACACCTCAGAGTTCATTATTCTATTTCTTTTTTCTTTTTCAATGCCTAGTGGAAATACCACATCAACCAAAAGCCCCCCCAAACTATTAATATTTGAATGAGAATAGTGCTTGGGTCAAGATCACACACCAAAGGAAAATGGGAAGCCAAAATAATAAAATAGAAGGTGCCAAAGAAAAAGTGAATTGTTTTGAAGTTGGTTAACCTTCCCAACCAGGAATAGAAGTTGTTAGAACAATATCCTTGACGGAGAATTAAAGAAGACCTGGACTCTAAACTGAAGAAGGTGCTGACCTCAGTGGTCTAGAACAGATCATCCCATCCAAAAGTAGGTTTCTATGATTTATCATGAAGTTAATCTATTCTTGGAGCAGAGAGGTGGTAAATAAAGAGGATCCTTGGTCATCCTGAGCAGGAAGTGGCTGTTTGGTTCCACACACTGTTTGCTGAAGTTCTTTATCCAAAAGATAACTCTCCTCAAATGAAGGGATCTAGGTAACATCACTAGACACAGCAAGCCGCATGATCCAGTTTTGGTCCCCACGTTACAAAAAAAGATGTTGAGACTTTGGAAAAAATGCAGAGAAGAGCAACTAAAATGATTAAAGGCCTTGAGACAAAAACATATGAAGAACGGCTGCAGGAACTGGGTTTGGCTAGTCTAGAGTAAAGAAAGATTAGGGGGGACATGATAGCAATATTCCAGTATGTGAGGGGCTGCCGCAAAGAAGAGGGGGTCAACTTATTTCCCAAAGCACCAGAGGGCAGGACAAGAAACAATGGATGGAAACTAATCAAGGAGAGAAGCAACCTGGAATTAAGGAGAGACTTCCTAACAGTGAGGAAATTAACCTTGCCTTCAGAAGTAGTAGGTGCTTCATCACTGGAGGTTTTTAAGAAGAGACTGGACAGCCACTTCTCTGAAATAGTATAAGGTCTTTTGCTTGAGCAGGGGGTTGGACTAGAAGACCTCCAAGGTCCCTTCCAGCTCTATTCTGATTGATTGCTCTATGGTGGTGACAGGTGAAAAAGAATCTCGCTTTCCATAAAGACAGTTGAAGAGAACACCTCTAATAAGCTGTGATCCTGGCAGCAGAGTTGTGCTTTGTGACTCATTTGCTAGGCTAATGCAATCTTTGAAGGATGATTTCCAAAGCTTTTTTTCTAAGACAAGCTCACTTTGTATGCAACAAACAACAACTAATCCCCAGTCACTTTCTATTCTTAGGTTATGCTTGAGGGACTCTAGCCAGATCTATTCTGTCATTCTTTTCCTAGAGGGAAAAGGAGAAAAACATAAGCTTCTTGTGTCTACCAAACGGAGAGCGATTGTGATAATACACACACAATCCATATGAAAAAGGAATGAGCAGACACTTTTTCTCCCTCTCAGAGAGTTTGTACTTTAGGAATATACTTTATCCTATCAATTTATACTTTAAAAAAGCCGTACGCTAAATAAAATAATATTTTAAAGTTAATACTTTGAAACCATTGGATCTTAGCAGCTTCCATGGAATTGCTTTTTGGAGTGGTTGATTTGTTTGGTTCTTTTCTTTCTATTACCCACCTCAATCTTCTAGTTTTCCATTCTCTTGCATCCTGCTTCAAGGCAACCTTCCTCAGCCTGATATCCTCAAGATGTTTGGGTAATATCTCCCCATATCCCTAGCACAGGGGTCCCAACCCCCAGTCCGTGGACCGGTACGGGGCCATAGCATGCCAGCAACCGGTCCGCACAAACAAGCAAAGCCCCATCCGTGGGATGCAGGCAGCACACAAAACCACACACTTTCCAGTCCGTGGAAAAACCTCTCCCCATGGAAGCGGTCCCTGGTGCCCAAAAGGCTGGGGACCTCTGCCCCAGCAGACATCCCAAATTGGGTAAGATGAGGAATGTCCTCCCTCAGACCAGCCAAGTAATTCTCTGAAGTGGGGGAGATTGAAAGGAAACTGATCAAGAACCCTCTAGAACAGTGTTTCTCAACCTTGACCATTTTAAGGCATGTGGACTTCAACTCCCAGAATTCCACAGCCAGCAATGCTGGCTGTGGAATTCTGGGAGTTGAAGTCCACATGCCTTAAAATGGTCAAGGTTGAGAAACACTGCTCTAGAAACTAGTTTGGACAACATCTCCTCCTCAGTGAAAACAAGAAAACAGTCATACCTTTCAAACCAATTAAAGAACAGAAGAAGAAGGGGTGTAAATCAAATTATTCTTTCTTTAACCGGTATGTTTTTCTCGTGAGACATTTAGGCAACTGTAGCCAGTTAGAGGTGGGAGTCCCCCTATATTTTAGCAAGTGGCCAAAAATCTTTGGCACAAGTATAGTCAGATGTTGTGGGATGCCCAAGCAGACTTACTTTATTTACACAGTCATCAAAAAAGGCAAGGCTTGTATCTTTATCACTAACAAAAGAGCATTCTTCAATGAAGCGAATGAACATCTGCGTCTTGGTCATCATTGTATAAAACTTTTGATGTGAACGATCACGGCTTTTTAAGAATCCTGGAAGATTGAAAAAAGATGTTATACTGTAAATCCTACTAGCAGAAAAACAAGGAGCAAATATTCTACGAAAAAAGGAAGAAAGGAAATTAGACACAACCAATTAATGTATACGCTCACTAAGCCACGTATATTTTGATCTGTGTGTCTTTGTGTCTTTTTCTGCCTGTGTGTATTATTCAGCCATCCAGTCACATTTTTGCAAGATGGGTGGCCATATAAATTTGAGATAGATAGATAGATAGACAGACAGACAGACAGACAATGGATGGATTGCTCCATATCTTTAGCCAACAAATATAACAGGCTGTGATTTACCTTGCAATTCAAAGAGGGAGCTCGCATCGGTTGCCGTCTCTGAAGGGGCTTGCGTAATAGGCCTCAGATAGGACCTGTAACCTTTTAGGATTGAAGCCATAAAAGTGAGAAACGCCTCTTGAATTTCTACATCTAACAGATGCAGCTTCGAGCCTGAATGAAAATCGTAGTCATTCATAGCCAGCTCCATTAAAGCATCGTCTCGTGGTCTTTGCTGCACTGTGGATAAAAAAGCAAAGTAGAAATGCCAAAATATGAGTATCTATAGAACAACAGACCTTGGAGGTCTTCTAGTCCAGCCACCTGCTCCAGCAGGAGACCCTATGGCCTGGGGTCTTCAAACCTGGCCCTTTTATGACTTGTGGACTTCAACTCCCAGAATTCTAGGGGTTGAAGTCCACTCATCTTAAAGTTGACAAGATTGAGAAACACTGCTCTAAGGCAGGGGTCTTCAAACTTGGCCCTTTTATGACTTGTGGACTTCAACTCCCAGAATTCCTCAGCCAGCATGTCTGGCTGAGGAATTCTGGGAGCTGACGTCCACAAGTCATAAAAGGGCCAAGTTTGAAGACCCCTGCTCTAAAGATTTAAATAAAAGAAGATATTTCTTTTTAACCGCATCCAGGGTTTCAAAGTGCAAATGGGGTGCTGGGTCCCTCAATGCTACTTCCCCAAAGCAAAAATTTTCCTCTGTATAACCTGAATCTAATTCCCCTCTGCTCCTCCTGGACATTAAAAAGGGTTTCACTATCATAATGAACCACAACCACAACATAGAAGCGCTTCTGGGCCCTCCTCCACTTACATGCTGCCAGCTGCTGATACAAGTGATTTAGAGTGCTCATCAGTTTCTTACAAGGTTTCTTTGGCAAGATCTTCCATGCAATGGTTCGCTTATCTCCTGGCCTGGAATCCAAAGAGAAATTCATTAGGGACTCATTGTGTTTCTCAAATATTTGGTCAAATCAAAGCATCAGAACTCCAGGAAGTGATTTCTGCTTCAGTACTGTCAGTTGAACCTAAATCAGTGGAATGAGGATCTTCAAACAGAGTTTCAATGGATCACAGAATCATAAAACTGATCTCAGTCTTCCAGTTGTATTTCATCTTAAGAAATATTCTTTCACCACAAGGATTTCAACTTTTTGTTGTAATAAATCTTTTCCGAAGTACTAAGGATAATGAAAGACTGTCTGCTAATTGTTTAAAAAGATTAGTTGTACATGGACTGGCAAAAACAAATTGCTGAGGCAACCAATATGTCTTTGTCATTCACTAATGCACTATTCCTGTAAAGCAAGGCAATAAAAGAAAACAAACAGATAATAGTCCTTACATGAACATTTATCCTCTGATTCTACTTCAACATGGAAATTATTAGGTAAAGGGCCAATTATTCTCTTAATCTCTGTTCCGAGTTTAAAGCTAATGCTAGTTTATTTTACAAGGCTATTGCAACAACATGAAATGAATTACAAGGACGTGTTAAATAATTTTACTTACTAAATGCAATTTGCCTTTGTGAGAGATCTAATATCCAAGGATTAAATGCTTACCTTCAAAACAATAATTTTTAGTGGAATCAATTTACAGATTCAACTGTATTTTTTTCTACTGCTGAGTAAACAAGCAACATACGTGCAAATATAACCCTTAATTTCCTTCTCTGATTAATAATTTAGCAAACCTAGGGAAATTAATTTAAAGTCTGGCCCCTAAATTACTAACAAAAAAGCAAGCAAACAAAGCTCTCCAAATACTTACTGTGAAATGGTATTTGTATCTAGGTCAACACAGCTAACATCTGGTGGAGGGTCATAAAGATCAAAATATCTGGAATCAATTCCTACGATGAATGGACACGGTGCACTCAGAACATCAGCCAAGGCCAGGGGACAGAGAGGAATGTACGGGCAAGGCCAGTGGAAAGGAAATATCATCTTTCAAAAGAGAAGAACAAAAATATTGAATGCAGATAGCCAGATGTGCTTCAAGAAAAACAAGGTGGACAACCTCTAACTCTTGAACTAATTTCAACACATCCAAAGAGATGTTTTAGACCCTGAGTAAAGAGCTCTCTGTTCCCAAGAGAACATGTTCTAATGAATGTCTATGGAGATTCTCAGTCATCCAGGTCATGGTTGTCCTTTTTCAAAAGGCAACTGAACATTCTTAGTTTTTCTTTGAAGAGTTTTCACTTCTCATCAAAGAAGCTGCTTCAGTTCTGACCTGACCATGTCAGAACTGAAGAAGCTTCTTAGATGAGAAGTGAAAACTCTTCAAAGAAAAGCAAAGTCTGGTTGCCTTTTGAGAAAGTACCTTTGGGATGTTCTGCTGAAGAAAAAGAGGGTCTCAGAGTATAAACATCTCAAGGTATCTATACATGCTTGTTATTTGGAGACAGTTTTACGTTGTTCGTTTTATTAATTGTACTTATTGGTCAGTGAGCGAAATAAAGTTTCTGTCTGTTTGATTCTGGTCAACCTTTTATGAGGACCCTGGCCTAGCCTATTATACCTGGAAAAAGATGCTTCTTGACGAAAGGAAGGCTGTCTGCTCTGAAGAAAGAGAACACTCACAAACCACGTTCTGCTTTCAATATTAGTACATCACTATGGAAAACAGCTCTTCCTTTCTTTTAAAATATTAATTAGGCTAATGGATAGATACAATTGAGACGTTCTCTTCAATAAACTACTTGAAATAATAGTATGATAATAATCCATGATTATTCATTGATATATTTATACCTGCCTTTCCCAACAACAAATAATGCTTTATTTATCTCTGTTAATTTGTACAAAATGGAGAACCTTCGCACAAGAACTGTGGTAATGATCTGAACTAGATGAATACTATGGCTCTGCAGCCATCTGTTCAAACATCCTCAGGAGGTGAAAGCAGAACAAACAAAATGTTTAAAACATGACGCTCAGCATGAAGTGGAGGCCAGGAGAGGCTTCTGCTAGCTCAGTGGAATTTTTGACTTCGTTTCTTTGAACAACTGGCCTTCCTACCAGTGTGGGAACCTCCTTCTCAGTTTGATCTGCAGCTGGTATGGAGCTAAACACGCTAAAAACCACAAGCTCCAAAATTTTGCAAACAGATATGGACCCTAGAAAAGGGAGCAAAGGCCCATCAGAACATCAGAGTCAGAACATCAAAATGACAAGAGTTGGAAAGAACCTTGGAGGTCTAGCCCAGGGCTAGGCAACCTTGGCTCTTTTATGATTTGTGGACTTCAACTCCCAGAATTCCTGAGCCAGAAAAATGTGAAGATGTCTATATTTAATTGTATATGTATTAACAGGAACAGGAATTGTTTTTGCCCAGTGTGGAAAAATGCATATCAACAGAAGAAGAGAGGGCCAAGGAAGCACCGGATGACGTAGTATTGGAACTAGACTGAGAAAGTTAATATGTACCACTGAATTACCAATGGACCCAGACAACCCGTTGTTTATTAAGTACTCATGATTGTAAAATTAGAAAATTAATAAAATATTTATTTTTTAAAAAGAGAGAAGGTCACACAAGGTGATCACTTGATCCTGGGGCGCTGCAACCGTCATAAATATGAATCAGTGGCCAAGTGCCTGAATTCTGATCATGCGACCGTGGGGGGCTGCAACAAGTCGTAAGTGTGAAAACTGGTCATGAGTCTCTTTTTTCAGTGCCGTTGTAACTTCAAACGATCACTGAACAAATGGTTGCAAGTTGAGGACTATCTGTAATAAATTGTAAGAATTACTTTTAGGGCTCTGAGCTTTAAAAAAGATTTTACAGCCAGTTGGTTGGGGTGTGTGCATGTGTGTGTGTTTTCTTTTATCTTAATTGGAAAATACGTGTTTGAGAAATTCTCACGACTTACAGAGACCAGGGCTTCGGTCACGCTGGTGAGGACCGAAGGGCGTAAAGAGTGGATGAGGATTTTATGTTCTGTCACTGCAAAAACCAGGAGATTTACAGCATTCTCAGGTCCCAGATTCTGCAGAAGGGCAGAAAACTTCCCTCCACTAGTAATCAAAGAAAAAGGAATAGGAATAAATACTACAAATGGCATCTTTCTTCCACGAACTGAACTACGTTTCTCCCCAATGTTAGCCCAGCAGCAAATGACTCAGCATAAGAGTATTCAATTACTAATCTGAGTAACACTAAAATTACACAGCACAGAATAGATTAAAAAGCAGTTTTCCATTTGGCGCTCCATTGGCTTTTAAATAAAGTTGTAGAGTGAAGTTTGTAATTAACATATGCATACAGTACAGCTAGAAATGGACTTAATTCACTGCAAACAAGTCATTAGAGATCAAACAAACCAGACATGGAACTCTTGCCACACTCACTGAACCTAGTTTCCTTCTTTCCTGCATTCAATAAATTAGGATTCACAAACCAAGAACAAGTTTTGATGTAGCTTTGACTGACTTTCAGCTTGACTGGAAAGTCACCATTCCCATTTTTAGTGTGCTTGACTTGCTCACCTAAAGAAAAACCACAAACTGGATACTGTTTTTCATAACATTTATTAAAAAAAAAGCAAGAGAAATCTAGGTACAACTGAAACTGTAGTATAAAGGTCCTGCTTTAAAATGGATGATTTTATAGAGAACCTTTTTCTGTCTTGTTTTCCTCATCGCAACCTTTAAAAATTAGAGAGGAATCTAATCCTTCTTTCTTGATATAGTTATATATTTTTATTGTTGTGTTCTTCACTAATTTCTAAGTTGGTTTGCTCATCCCTTACATAACAGCACACAAATATATATATACACACACACATATTTTACTTGCCTCAGCGGTAGGGGTGATGATATGGGCTGACTAAGAATCAGATTATCATGGGGTGATAGCTATAAAACAATAAAAGCATGGTTTTTATAGTTACCTGAAGATTTAAATATAAAGCAATTTGTTTGTATAGAAAACATATTGCCTGTCACAGAATTAATACTACTGCTATGGCTTGAAAAACATGATGGTTAAATATGCAGAACTCTAATGTTAAAAAAGTGTAAAGATATATTCATGTGAAATAGATATTATGGTTTGATTCCAGAATCTCAAGCAACTTGAAGCACTGTTCTATTTGCTTGCACATTCTATCAAACTGGTTAAATAATTTATTACAGATGTCCTTTCCCCAAAAAAATCCAAGGAAGTGACCAGAAAAAGATGCAAGCTGAATATTTTAAAAACTGCCAGATATCTTTTTTGTAATTCATCTCCCACATCACATGCACTAGAGCTTTTAAACGTTAAGAATACTGAGTTGATTTTCATAAATCTAATGAAGGGGAAAACTCCACCAATCAGATTGGATTGTGAAATGATTTAAAATAGCAAAAAAAGTATGTATTTTTGGGTAGGGCCCAAGAAAGTTTGAAAATAAAATTGAATTCTATATCAAATGTGTCTGGGGTTTGTTTTACAAAAGGTGATCCAGAAACATTTATCAGTGGACAGATTCAGGAAATAGGATTTTTTAAAAATTAGTATCTGATACTCTAGTTTTGTTTTATAATGATAACATTTAGAAAAGGCCAACTGTTTTCATTTATCAACTGCTCCCAGGCCTAGATATATTTAAAAAGTAGATACTGTAATGTGACAAACAAGCAGCCTTGTAACATAAAAAGTCTGACTCACACAAATTTCTTGATGACTTCCAGCATCGAGTAGCAAATTGGCAGTTCCAAGTCTATAACATTTTTACAATGTCTTTTATTTTTTAGTGGAACCTACTCATCTGAATAACATATGAACAGAATGGAATAAATTTACACTTACCTGAACTAAAATCCTTGGTCTTTGTGGAGACGGAAAAGGAACCTTGTGCATAAAATGGGAAATATGCCTAAGGAGAGAATAATCACTCTGTATTAAGAAAAATAAATAAATCAGCATATGTTTATAGAATGCATGCTAGACTTTTACGAGATCATATTCAACAAGCTAAGAGAGTATTCTTCAGATTCTTGGTTTACTGCTTTACAGAGGGGTGCAGGGGCATCCTAAACCCATTTGAAACTAAGCAAAGATTTATTTAGGCCTCAGATTCAGGCAGAAAGCTGGACTCTGGCTACTTTAGTAGATCTCAGTTGCATGCAGAGCTGGGGAAACAAGCATCCCTAGTGTACTTTTGATGAACCATAAACGGTAATCTGAAGCATTTTTGTCCTAGCGGTTTGCACAAACACATTAAAGTAACAATGATCATGTGAAAACAGGACTCTGCTATGGCCAGTATGTATTTCATCAATATGCGCAGCTGAAAGAGATCGTGCTTCTAGATGCTGGCTTTTTATAACAGCACTGAAATATAAAATGGATGCATTAAACATCTGCTAGGCCCCAAACTCTAAAAGGCAATAGCAAAAAAGCCAATTATTTCCTTACCTATCCCCAATAGAGAGCTCATCATATCATTGTTGAGCCCTGGAACTGCAACCCTGGAAGCTATTCCTAGAGTAAAAAAAGTTGCTACTTTGGACGAAGCTATCACGTTTGCATTACTGCAAACCAGGGAAGGAAGAAAAGAATCATCAAATTTGAGGGGGGACGGGATTTGAGGTGATGCCAGGCAGCCTTGCACTAGTTACCAAGGACGTAGGCTGGCTCGAACACCCTTTTCACTGAAGTGATCCAAGTTATGTACTACAATGATGGTTAAGGGTGCGTGGAGCACAAACTACCCCTCCAACTTACTTCTCAATAGGAAGGACGTGGGGACCAGATATTGAATAGCGGTAAAGAAAAGTGAGAAATTTCTTGAAGGCATCGAAGAAGGGCCAGTGGGACAGAAGGCAGATGCACTTGTTAGTTTGAACCGTTTTGGAGCTGGGTGTGGCCACGAATCCCAGCTGAGATTTCTGTTTTTCGGTCAGATTTTCTTCAGAGTATGTTTCATAGAACTGAATAGCAGCACCGTAGACCTGCAAGTCAGAGTACATTTAATTGAAGTGACATGGGCCTCCTGCAACCACAAGTGATTTCTTCAGCTCTACAGCATCAAATATTTCTGCCATAGGCAATGCTGAAATGTAATGCACATCGCAAATATACTTTGAGGAACCTGGAAAAATAAGTACTCGCTTAAAGCGCTAGCTTTATATATAGTAGCAGGCTAATGCATCATTTCTCAAGGAGCAATAGTGTGCTAAATTTGGATCCCAATGAGTCACTGATAAGAGGACTTTCCCTTCTTCCATTATCCAGGACTTTGGATAGAATCCAGCGCCCTTCCATCAAAAATTAACCTGAAAGAAATTTGGGGGGGAGGGGAGGAGAGGAAATAGGACCTTCTCGTTTCCGGGGGGGGGGGGGGAGGGAAGCAATTCTATCAGCAAAATATATAATCACATTTCATTCTACATTTTGTAAAATTGCCCCTGCTCAAATGGAGAGCAGAGAGCAATCCTCTGGTACCCAAACTGAAGAAGCAAATTGTTCTGACAACAGGGATTCTGACAAATTGACAAATTCAAAATGTGTAGGGATGTTTCTATATACAAGTAGTCCTCGAGCTCAAAATTTCTGTTTTTAAGCAAGACAGTTAAGTGAGTTTTACTCCATTTTAGGACCTTTTTTTTGCCACAGTTGTTACATGAATTGCTGCAGTTGTAAATATAATAACACAATTAGGTGAATCTAGCTTCCTCCTTGATTTTGCTTGTCAGAAAGTTGCAAAAGGGGTACATGATCTCAGGACATTGCAACCGTCGTAAAGAAGAGCCAGTTACCAAGAGTCTGACTCATGTCACCATGGGAATGCTGCAACTTTTGTTAAGTGTGAAAAATGGTCGTTAAATCACTTTTTTCAGTGCCATTGTAACTTCAAACAGTCACTAAACAAACCGTTTAGTGGGCTACCTGTATTTGTATGAGACAGAGAAAATAGATGGCTGGACAGATGCGCTGAATGCGGCAAAGAGATGGGGGGGGGAGAGAATGAATGGCTGCATAACAAAGGCAACAATGAACAAATTGTCACTTTAGAACAGTGGTCCCAAACCTTTTCTATACCCTGCACCCCTAGAACACTTCCAATATATTCTTCCACCCCTTTTGCATATATACACTATAATTTTGAAACTTTTAAACCCAAGTTTTTGCACCCTCGGGAATATTGTCTCGCACCCCCAGGTTGGGAACCCCTGCTTTAGAAAAAAGCCTTCCAGCTGTTTGGCTAGCTTGCTAACTGACCAAACTCAGAAAAAGCAAAAGAACAAACACCAAAACAGATTTCCAGAAAAACTGCGGACTGCAAGAACCACTTGGCTTTTGTTTGAGATGCAGACAGAGTCTGTCTTCAACAGGGAAGAATCAGAGGGCAGAAAACATCCTGCAAAAAGCACAGCTCCGACTTCTCAATAACTCAGGTGATCCTGAAGACACAGATAAACCTCCAAGTGGCCTCAACTACTCTCTAAAAGAATGCAAGTGGCAAGTCAGAACTGAAGAAGCTTCTTGGATGAGAAGCGAAACGTCTTCAAAGAAAAACAAGGAAGTCAGTTACCTCTTTGAAAAGCACCTTTGGGACTACCGTGACCTGGATGATTGAGAATCTTCACAGACACCAAAATGACAGTTGAGGACAAGTTGATCGTACCTTTTCAGCTGAGGCTCCAGTGAGCACAAACGTAGAAAATACTGGGAGGGGATATTTGCTATTGGAAGGCCAGCATTCAATAGTTGCCCCCATTGGCAAGCAAAAGAGAGGAACCGACTCTGGTAGAGGAAATGAATCGTAGTCTTTCTCTGGATATCTGCATATGAGACCTAGAGGAAGCAATGTTCTCTGTCACTCAAAGATTATGTACATAAGAAAAAACTAAAACATATATGAACTATGATGCACACAGAAATAAACAGTTTTCAATTTCTCTACTTCTCTGTACTCATACTTCCGTGTCAGAAGCATCAAAGTGCTTCCGTGGTGAAAGGATCTGTCAGTGACATCACTGTTGCCCAGAGGATGCCCAGTTGGGGGCTCCTTTCACGTCCCTGCGAAGTTGCCCACAAAAGTGGTATTTGCAGTCGCCCACTTTTGAACTGCTGGGTCAGCGGAAACTGGAGCATGCAACCGGAGCTCACCCCATCCCACAGAACCAGTCTCAAACGTGGTGGATGATCATCAGCCCAGCGTTCTAACCTTGTGAGCCACCACGCGCCTTCTACTTCTCTGTAGAAAATAGTAATAGTTTGAATTCATTCTGATTCAAAATTAAGCCCCAACGAATAAATCAGAGGCCAATTTGAACATTTGCCTGAATTTGCCTACCATTTCTTTTCTTTTGTTTATTCATTTTCTAAAGCTGCCCATCTCAATCCAACTAACTCTTCTTTAGCTGAATTTGATTACTTTTAACACTGATTCTATCTTCTGTGGATGAGTTTATTGTGGCGCAATTTCAGGCAGTTTGTTGCTTTGTGTTTCAGTGTATTGTGCAAAATCAGGTGGCAGGATTAATTAGTACAGTAACCTTAAAATTAACCAAGCTTCCTATGTGCGAACCAACTACAAAATAACACCTTGCCTGTTCCATACTAGCTATAGTTTAACCTGGCTTCTTCTGAACATAAATAAAACCACTATGAGAATGAAATTCGTGAAAAACTGAACAAGTAAGCTCAAATCCAACAGGTAATCTAACTCTAAATTACCGTGCCAGAAATATTCATTTGTGTTTAAAATATTTTAAGTCGAACACCGTGGAGACATTTGGAAATATCTTCAACTAGAGCAGGGGTTCTCAACCTTGGCAACTTTAAGACTTGTGAACTTCAACTCCCAGAATTCCTCAGCCAGCTTCTGGCTGAGGAATTCTGGGAGTTGAAGTTCACAAGTCTTAAAGTTGCCAAGGTTGAGAACCCCTGAACTAGAGCAAATGAGGAAAATTCAGAGTTCAATATGGCTCAATCTCCCATTGCTTATTTATTCACTACAAATAGTTACAACCACAACTGAGTCCAAAATTTATGTTGTAAGTGAGACATTTGTTAAATGCGTTTTGCTAGGTGAATCTGGCTTCCCCATTGACTTGGCTTGTCAGAAGGTCGCAAAAGCTGTTCACTTGACCCTAGGATACCGCGACCGTCATAAATATGAATCAGTTTCCAAGCATTCGAGTTTTCTTCACATGACCGCAGGGACGCTGCAAAGGTCATGTGAAAAACGGTCATAAGTCACTTTTTTTCGGTGCCACTGTAACTTTGAACAGTCACTAAATGAACTGTTGTAAGTAGAGGATTATCTGTATTCATAGTTCTCAAGGCAGTCTTTTAAATTATGTAATCTTCAGCGCCAGAGCAGATCTTTAGCTGAACTCAGCATGCAAAACAAAATGTGCTGTATTTACCTTATTACACAAATATGCACGCCACCTGATTCACTGATGCAGGATGCAATTACAGCATCCTTGGCAAATGACATTCTTGCATTTGTCTCAACACTTCCTCAGGCATTCTGCTCCAGTCTTAAATATCTGAGCAAAGACAATGCGCCTCCTAAGCTGTAACTGGGAGTTTGGTTTATTACGGTTAATAATGCCACTGCTATCCACTATGTCTCTTCCTGTCCTCAGAATAAGCGGTAAATGAATCTGCTCCAGCTCTGCATGTCATCACTTCAAGTGGATGAAGACAGCTATAATGTCTCCCCTTTGGCTTTCCCGATCCAGATTGTGGTCCATTCAAATCTGTTTCCTAGTCTTCGTGTTGGTTTCAAACACTCATTTTTCTGACTGGCTGCATTCCGGTTTCTAGATGGTCTTCTACAGGTTAAGATCAGAATCAGAGCATCATGAGCCACGGTGGCGCGGAGACTAGACTGCAGTATTGCAGGCTGACTCTGCCCACTGCCAGGAGTTTGATCCTGACCAGCTCAAGGTTGACTCAGTCTTCCATCCTTCTGAGCTTGGTAAAATGAGGACCCAGATTGTTGGGGGAGCAAGAGGCTGACACTGCAAGCCAAAGCACTATGGAGCGGTATATAAGTTTAAGTGCTATTGCTATCATCCAATTGGAACTATAATTTCTCATGAACTGGGGATAATGCTTCATGGTTCTTTCTCATTAACTGGACATTATGTCAAGCAGCCTAAGAGTGCATGAGTTTTGTTGGTGTCTGCATCATACTGCTGGCTTATGTTCAGTGTAATTATCTAGGACTCCTAAATGTTTTTTTTTAACATGTCAAGACAAATACTATCCTTCTGGCAAGCTGAGTTTCTTCCATCTCTTTGATGTCCTCTGATTTATTTATTTCTTTTGTTTCGGAATTTGTTTGGCCTACATTCATGGCACTCAAAAGTGGTTTTTAAAAAAACACTAACTCTTTAAAAAAAGGAATAACATTTTTAAAATTATCACGGACATCACAACTGTGACCATGGTAGATGTCATGTACATATAGCTCTTTAGAGGCTGATCTTTGAATCATTTATTCTAGAACTGTGCAAAGTTTCCTGCAGGCTTTCAAATCCTTGCTTATGTTATAATAATTAAGCCCAATTTCCCTTTTGGAACCAAACAGATATAAAATAAGATTCATTTATTTGGGTTATTCACTGATGAATTGATTAATAATTGTAGGAGTAACTTCTTTAGTTGTTAGTAATATATCCAAAGAGAAAAGGAGTGTAAAATAATTTGTTTTTATTCAAGATGTTGTTGAATTTGATTCAGGTTTAGTAATTTAAGAGATTTATATTTGGATGCCTGCATATTCATTTCATGGCTGCGACTTAATCTCTATTGTTTTGACTAGCATTATCTTTTTACATAGCTATCATTATTCTCTTAATAACAAATGTGGGTGGTAAAATGCGTATCTATTTGGCAAACAAACAGAGCCACCCAGCTGTAAGACTGTGGTTTATGCAACTATCAGATTACTAGAAATTCAAAATAAAAGAGAAAAAATGCTATTAAAATAGTCTGACAAAGAGCCCCCTCAAAAAGGTAGAAACTACAGGTAGTCTTCGACATACGACTTTTCGTTTCGTGACTGTTCAAAGTTACAATGGCACTGAAAAATAATGACTTATAACCAGTCCATCTGAGGGAATCTTTCTGAATCTGTCTGGACATTCAGATCTGCAAGACAAGCACATTCAAAGCCTTTTCCTGGCTTTACTTCTACAGAAGACTCTCCCCAGAAAACTTCCCATTAGAAGATCACACCTGGCATAAAAAACTTACACACTTTTAGACTTCAACTCCCAGAATTCCTCAGCCAACATAGCTTGAAGACTTGAAGTCCACAAAACTTAAAAACTGACAAGTTTGGAGATCCATGGATTAGATTAAGATTCGACCTTGCACGACCAAGTTCCCTTCCAACCCTATCATTTTATCTTCTATATCTTTTTCAATGCTATTCTTTTTTTAAAAAAAAATATCTTTTAAAATATATTTTTGCTTACTTTTTATTGCAGTTGACTGCCTCAAATAATTGACTGAACCAAATTTGGGGGGGGGGAAGGATATCAATGGAATAAATCCAAATAGCAATTAAATAAAATCCTTGGAAAATGCAATCAATGGAATTTTGGATGCTGCCCTATCTCCGAATACGTGTAATATAGCTGTGTCATGTAAATCAATTTTCCCTTCGTAGTGCTCAGAGCAGCTGCAGTTGCATTATTTTGCTATCCAAAATATTTTGAGAAGAGAATTTACAAATTCTATGTCCGAAGTTCAGGTAGCAATTTTAAATACTGATTGTATAATATAGTACGGCTACTTTTACGATGCTGCTAACTTTTCCAGTGAGTTCAACTCAGGAGCACAGTCAGAAAATTCAGTTTGGCATTTTGCTCTGTGGATTACATACTACACTTAAGTCTCTGAAGTATTTCAACAGACGTGTCCAGGCAGGCTCTATAGGAAAAAAAAAAATAGGCCTATTTCTGTGCTAGGTTGTTTGTACTTGTATGCCTCCAGAGTTTCTCAATTAAGTTTTCTTTTCTTTTGCTTTTTAAACTCAAGAATTACCTGTTCTTGTCAGTGTCTGTTCAATGTCATTTCACTTGACACTGAAATATCATTATCAGAATTCCCTTGTACATATGCTGGGGGAAGAGTAGCTCTTAGGGGCTGCCTAAACCTATAAACCCGTAAGGTGACAGTTGAAATACTCCATACACTTCTGGTCACCACAATACAAAAAAGATGCTGAGATCCTAGAAAGACTGCAGAGAAAAGCAACGGAAATAATAAGGGATCTGGGGGCTAAATCATACAATGAACAATGGAGGAACTAGTAGACTAGTCCAGGGGTAGGTAACCTTGGCTCTTTTATGACTCATGGACTTCAACTCCCAGAATTCCTGTGTCAGCATGGGAAGGGGTAACGTGACAACACTCTTTCAATGTTTGAGGGGCTGTCACAGAGAAGAGGACGTTGACTTATTTTTCAAAGTATCTGAGGGTAGGACAGGAAGAAAACATGGAAGGTCATTAATGGTAGATCCAACCTAGAACTAAGGAGAAATTTCTTGACGATGAGAACAATTACTCTGCACCAGAAGTTGTCAGTGCTCCATTACTGTAAGTTTTCAAGACGAGATAGAACAGTCGTTTGTCTGAAATATAAACAGCCTTCTGCTTGAGAAGAGGGTTGCACTAGAAGACCTTCAAGATCCTGTCCAACTGTAATTCTACGTTCTACATTCTAAACATAAAAATAAAATTTCTGCTCACGTGTCTTTTACTACGGTTACTACGGGTAATCCATAAACCCATAACATGTATTCCCAGACCGTAAATGTTTTTTGAAATGAGTTTAGGACTGCTTACCTGCTTTGTATGATATGGTGTTGGTTTTTGCTACAGATTTCTTGTAACACAAGTAGGCTGCTAAGCCCCACTGTGGAAACATAACATTGGAATGAGCAAGTTAGCCTTCTAGGCAATGTTGAAACCAAATGTCATATCCTAAAGACTTAAACCAATCTGATAACACCACTGTGTTCAATAAAATGCTGCTTCTTTAAACCAACTTCTCTAATTACTAATGGAAGTGCTCAAAGATCATATGAAAAACTTTATTTTTTCATATTGGTAAGAGATGGCAACCTTTTTTCTTTTTATTGGATTCATACTGATTTAAACCTTTTGGAGCAATGCTTAGTTCTCTTAACTTGCAATTACTTGCTCTAGGACTCCTTTTCAGCAAAAATGGCATACAATTTGGTGATTTCTATGTAGTACTAATTTGTTTCTGCTGCTAGCAACATGTCTGGGCAAACAAAACATTTACCGTAGCCCATTAAACATTGCCACACATCTAAATTCCAGCACAGACCAGAAGTAAAGAGAAAGGGCTGCCAACAAAGGCAATTTGGACACAGATGTTTGGGTTGTAAAAGACATGTTTTCATGTATTATGTGCATGATAAAATGTACATTTTCTCTGTGCTTTTTTTCTACGAAATGGCCTAAACCACATTTTATCATTTAGAAGCAGCCTTAAAGAACAGGGAGATAAGGAACCCTTCCATTTAACGCATAGGAAGACTAGCAACTCTCTATGAAAATGTTTATTTTCAAAAATAAACTGTTAGCTACCATTTTTTTTACATGCGAAGAGGTCCTATATGCTTTGGATTCAACTGACTGTTTAAACAGGATATTTTGATTTTCTACCACTCAGAATATCAGAAAATAGTATAGTTTAATTCATGCCTTTAAACCAGTGCATAATTTCAGAACTGTTATGTGAATCATTAATAGTTAATACAAAGAAGATGATGAAAACCTTCAGTCACATTGAAGCTAGTAATTGCTGAACACTCATTTAAAAACTAATATTTGCACTTGAAATATTAGCCATAAGGGCAATGTTCATGAAAAAATCTCAGATAGTAAACCGGTATCAGATGCTAAATGCAAACGGGGAGAAATCAGTGTGAATTCCCAGTGATACAGCAGGATATGTCAATGTTTCTCAACTATGCCAACCTGAAGAGGGGTGGACTTCAACTCCCAGAATTTCCCAGCCAGCATGGGAATTGAAGTCCACCCCTCTTAAACTTGCCCAGGTTGAGAAACACTGTTTTATGGCATTCAAGAATTGCTAGAACAGACAACATTATAACACAAGCAAGTAAACAAGAGTAGAACATGAGTTGCTCACTCATCAAGAGCAGCATGGGAAAACCTAGCCACAACTAGCCAGAAACCCTATAATAATTCAGAGTATTAAGATGAATTAATAGGCCCTCATCTATGCTATTTTATGACAATAATATCAATCCAATAAGGAAGAATAACTCGAAATCCAGAAATCATCTTACCATACTATTGTTCAGATTCTTGTCAACTTTACAGAAGGTGTGTGGCGGGGTTTCCCCCTTACTTGGGATAATGATGCAGATGTCGGTGACCGCCAATGTGTTCTGGGTCATATTCTCCAAAGCTCTTCGATAGGTTAGATAAACTTTCTGGGACGAGGCACCGCTACTGATATTCGCAGGGCGGCCAGATGGGGTGGTCTGAATGATCTCACAGCCCTGTTTTAACCTCTCTTTCCCATCGTACAACACCCTAGGCAGGAGACAAATGAAAAGCAAGTGCTTAGCCAACTCAACTCTGAAATTATGCCTAATGTTCTAAATAATCATCTGTACTATAAATTTGATTAGGACATTATTAATATTGAGAGTTTTATTTTTTTTATTCCTTTCTTAACAACCTCCAGAGAGAATTTACTTTTTTCATGGCAATCGAATTCTGAGTCAGTTTTTCAGTTTTTCACAGCTGCTCGTCTCGGATGGTATAAGATCCTATGATTCTGTGACTCCATGGAAAGGCCCAGAGTTTCAACGCCTTTCTCTGGATGCTTCATTTCAATAGTGATCTCAGTAGAAGTGAGTTTTGGATGCACACCCAAATGCGGGAAAGCCCTCAACATGGCCAAATTTATCCTCCTGAAGGATGCAGCTGCTTTAAAGCTCGGAAGGCGGGTGTTTCATTCACCTGACATACATTATGAATGGCTTATTTTAAATTCTTTGCACAGCCTATTCAAAACTCCTTCAATTTCATTCCCTACGGATGCTTTCTGCCATATTAAATGCTTCCCAATTCCTTCTAGGTTTCCCCAGAACAATAAACTGGGAAAGTAAAACTAACTTACCCCAGATCTGTAAGTGGGGGTTTATCCCTTCCTCTCCTGTAGCACATATATATTTGGGGCCCCATGAGGCTGCCATTGTTGAGATCAGCAGACAGTCCTGACGGAGTGACATCGATGCATTTGTATCCAGGAGGGATCTCTTCCCCAAGAGATTTAATTATCACCGCCACGTCTGTGATGGGTTCTTTGGGCTTTGCAAGCTTATGGCAAGCATCGTTGAAGTGGATTTCCTCCTCAAGTGGTTTGGAAATATCAGTTAATCCCGCCACCACAAAATAGTCAGCAACCCGAGATCCTCTGTCTTCCATCTTCCATTCCAGAAAGTTCTATCTGGCAAAGGATTAAAAAACACACACACACACACACAGTGAACTTGACCATATAGAAGTATACCTTAAAACCAGCAACTTTCAAGAACTAGTACATTGGGGGGAGGGGGGAATGACTTGGCCACGTTCAGTTTTATGTAAAACAGTCGTCTCCTTCCCCTCATAATGGAATGAAAATACACTTAGGTTTCAGGATTCTTCTTTTCATCCGCAGCTTAAGCAAAGGGAGAAAACATGGCTGAAGGCTTTTCCCCCCCGGACTCAACATTGCTGATTCACTAAGTATTCAAGTCTTTAATCCTACATTAAGGAGAAAGAATTAGAAGGAAGGCAAAAAGGCTCTAAAGGAGAAAGAAAACGAAAAAGGAGGGAGCAATGACTTTTCAATCACTGCTCCTTCACTATGAAAGCCCCACAGCTGATATCACAGTCTATAAAATAAAATAAATTTCAAAAACAGCATTTGGCTTTCTTTAGTCTCCAGTTTGCCTCCACCTTATCAGCACAATTGAGCTGGCAATTCTGAGTTTGAAGCCAATCCCTTATCCCTAGTGCAAGGGTAGGCCACCTTGGCCCTTTTATGACTCGTGGTCTTCAACTCCCAGAATTCCTGAGCCATGGCTTAGGAATTCTGGGAGTTGAAGTCCACGAGTCATAAAAGAGCCAAGGTGGCCTACCCCTGCACTAGGGATTGAGGCTTCTCCTCTTACCTGAGGCTCAGTTGTCCATGACGGGAGGAGAGGGATCTCCAGTGGTAAGGAAGAAGAAAGATGAAAGCAAAAAGCAGCTCCTCTCCTTTTCTCAAAGCTTACTGGAAAGCAGAAAACTCCCAGCTGCTGATTGACTCCTCAGCATTTAAGTTTCCTGGGCTTCAGTTGTCTCTGCCCATCACCTGGATCCAAAAATCAGTTCATTGTTCTTCAGATGCATTGGAACGCGGCAACTCTTGCAGCCGGGCCTCCAAACCAGCAATAAATCAGTACAATTTGCACTGAACCGGCTGATATTGCTTCATAGGTTCCAAGAACTAAGCCTCGATACAATCAAACCTATTTTTAAACTATGGCCTGCCAACCTTCTAGGGAAGTCAGGGTGACATGCGTAGCTGTCATTCACCACTTTCACTTCCCCCTTGTTCTCAAAGGATGTAGAGAAAGGACAAGAACTCAGGGAGGCCCCAGGTTGCCTAATGATTAAAAGGGTCCAAGGGGAAACATTTCCGTCACTCAGTTGGGCAATGCTGAAGAACCTCTCTGTCCTCTTGTAGGACGCTTCCTTCCCGTTTTGGACTTCCTATTCATCACTAAACATCAAGAAGAGCCGCCGATCTGCTCTACCAGAGCGGTTGAGTTACAATCTTGAACAGCCAATCATTCCTGGAGTCAAGCTGGCTGGAAAAACATCTTCCACTTCTAAGACTAGACTGAGAAAACCTTCACAGATAAAGAGGAAAACATCTACCGTTGAAGCCAAGTTTATCAATAAATAATATTCATTGCTTTGAGCAGGACAAGAAGCAACGGATGGAAACTAATCAAGGAGAGGAGCAACCTAGAACTACGGAGAAACTTCCTGACAGTGAGAACAATTAATCGGTAGAACAGGTTGCCTTCAGATGGTGTGGGGCGCTCCATCCCTGGAGGTTTTTAAGAATAGACTGGACACTAGTTATCTCAAAAGGTATAAGGTCCTCTGCTTGAGCTAGGCGTTGGACTAGAAGACCTCCAAGGTCCCTTCCAACTTGGTTATAATGCTGTTATTCTGATTTAGAATACAGATAAGCACAAAAAACCCGCTATTATTGGTTCTTTCAGCTGCATCTTTGCAGTCACAGCTTCATTTTTTTAAAAAAAGGATTATCATAAAGATAATTCCTCTGTGTGTGGGAAGGGAGATATTCAACAGAACTTCCGATGATGACGGTGACATCCCATCACGCCTACATCATCTCTCTCCATGACTACTGAAAAGTGGCTATGTTGTTTCATCCCCACTAATATGGCACTTTTCCCCCCCCCCCATAATCCTGGTAAAAACACTCAGAATTTCCAGCTCAGTTGTGCTGATAAAATAAGAGAAAGACATCAAATATTTATAGGGTGATCCAAACGACACAAATACAGACTGTTCTCAAAAAAAGACAAAGCAGTTTATATCTAAGGATGACCTGCCTCTCCACAGGGAAGAAGTGGTTTTTCCCCTCCTTAATCCCTGGAAGCTGATGCTATTTCATCATACAGGCTAATCTAATTGATTTAAAAGAGGATATGGAGAGTTTTTTAATTGAAACAGAGGAACCAGATTTCAGATTCTTTCTCCAGATGCAATGACTCCCTTGAAAACGTGGCTCCTGTTACAATGGAGGTTGAGCATTTATATAAAGCCAGCTAGCTCTCTGGCAGAAGAGAAAACAGAGATGACTCATCCGAGTTCAACAGAGAAGCTTCTTCCATCCCCTCTGTGTACAGCAAGTAAATCCTCCATCGAAATGGTTAATTCTCAAAAAACAAACAAACAAAAAAAAAACCCAAGGATTTCAGCCAACTGCAGATTTTATAAACCTCATTTAACAAATCTCTCCTTGAAACAATATAACAATATCTGTTTAACCTAGGCTAATTATTGTAATTATTAAAAAGAAGAAAGCATATCGTTCTTGTTTTTCAGAATTATCATTGTCTCTAATCCTGGCCATTTCACACTTTTAGACAGACAAAGAAATGTTTTCCTACCTCTCAGCAGACGATCAGAAACATCCTGCAAAAACCCGTTCTCAAGCAGAAGATTCAAAGTTTGGGGAAAAAAATAACCCAGTAATGGTTACATCACAGCCTCCTGCTATGTCAGACAACAATTGCCTAATAACGGCACGTTTCACTTCTGAGAAATTAAAATGGTATATGTGTCAAACAACGATTACATCAACGATACCTTTTTATGACCATTTATTTGGTCGTGCAATTTCCTTTTGGCTTTCTTCTTCTGAAAAGCGTATTTCCAACACTTAACACAATGGGGAAAATTCACATTCCATTTGTTATCCTAAGGCGCAATGGATTTTAACTAACTAGAATTTCTTTCCAAGCTGATTTGTTCATTAGCTTTCTGTCCTATGCCCTTTCAAAGAACCTCAGGAAATTAAGGGGTCCCCTACTTTTATTCCTGGGGAGAATGAAGACAAGGCTTAGAGAAGACCTCAGAGCCGTCTTCCAATATTCGAGGAACTGTCACAGAGAAGAAGGGGTCAACCTATTTTCCAAAGCACCAGAAGGCAAGACAAGAGGCCATGGTTAGAAAGTAATCAAGAAGAGAAGCAATCTAGAACTAAGGAGAAATTTCCTGGTAGGGAGAACTATTTCTCAATGTAACAGCTTGCCCTCAGAAGTTGTGGGTGCTCCATCACTAGAGGTCTTCAAGAAAAGATTGAACAACCATTTACCCAGGATGGAATGAGGATTCCTGCCTTGGCAAGGGGTTAAACCAAGGTCCCTATGATTCTATTCCTATTTCATTTACACGTACAGTAGCAATCTACATAGCTGCCTGGTTCAGGAAGTAGACAGCCACTTAATATTCACACATAAGGAATTATCTAGATGAATGAATAATAGCATGTTAGCAATGTAATTAAGAAACACTTCAAAATACATTGTTGGTTATTGTATCAGCTGGCCTTAAACCCCAACACTGTTTTTTCCTTCTGTTCAATCCAGTCTGATTATCAGACACAAAGTAATTATTTAATATTATTTAAGACAGAAGAGCAGTTCTTTCATTTTTTTCTTCTTTTTATTTGGTCAACATGAATTAAAAGGAGCATATCCTAACCTCTGTGGGATGAGGGACATTCCAAATTTAAATTCTAATTTTTTTCCCTTCCAGTTGACAAGCAGAATACAATAACTGCATATATCAACACTGTCTTTTTTCAAAGCATACCATAACTCATTTTGTTTCTTGCTAAGAAGAACAAAACCTACAACTGTACTTATCCGATGGCAACACATCTGGGCTACAATATCACCTTCCTTTGTGCCACAACCCAACAATCATCTCACTCAGTAAACCACACCAACACGTCTGTCAACCGGTTCAGCCATATAAACCAATTGGCCAATAAATCTATATCTTCAGAAGATTTAAATGTGACGAAGTACAAGGATAAATTTTATCAACGTGGAAAGTAGATTACAAGAAAGAAAATCTTTGCTGCCCTTGATATATTTTCATTTTGCCTTCTGGAAAGGTTGCACTCTTCTTTTTCCTATAAATAAATCTGGTTCTACGTTTCAGCACAGAAGCCCCAAGGAAAGCTTTCATTATTCAGTTAGCTTTGCCAGAACAATTCCAGAGTCAAGTCATAGCCTTATATCACTTCCATCCCAAACCCTGTTATCACAACTGTACTCTTTTTTGTAGCCTTGCATTTGTATCTGACCTTACAACTGAATAACTTAGTTGCTCCCCTGAAGAAGATGAACTAGAATCAAAGGTGCCACTTGCTGGCATCTATTATGGAGCAAAAATTAAAACATTTCCCATAGATGATTGAAGAAAATGAGCCAAGAGATCCTAAGTTTTTATTTTGAAGAGATACTGTTACAACTTAAGAGTCAACATAGATAATTAGATACTACCACTTTATAATGCCTTAGTAAGACCACGCTTGGAATACCGCATCCAATTTTGGCTACCACAATATAAAAAGATGTAGACACTCTCTAGAAAGAGTGCAGAGAAGAGCAACAAAGATGACTGGAGCGCTGAAGGCTAAAATGTACGAAGAACGATTGCAGGAATTGGGTATGTCTAGTTTAGTGAAAATAAGAACCAGGGGGGGGGACATGATAGCAGTGTTTCAATATTTGAGGGGCTGCTACAAAGAAGGGGTCAACTTATTTTCCAAAGCACCAGAAGGCAAGACAAGAAGCAATGGATAGAAATTGAACAAAGAGAGAAGCAACCTCAAATTAAGGAGAAACTTCCCGACACTGAGAACAATCAACCAGTGGAACTGCTTGCCTTCAGAAGTTGTGGGTGCTCCATCACTGGAGGTTTTTAAGAAGAGACTTGACAGCCGTAACATGCAAGAGCCCAGGTCCATTACTGAAACCAATCTCTCCCAGGATTATATCCCTGCATTTTAATAATTGAGAAAATGAAAAATAAAAAAACGGATAGCAGAAAGATGGGACTAAATGTGAAATGTAATGGTTTTTTTAAAAAACTATCCAATGCATCATTTGACTAATTGGCTCTCTTCAAACATTAAATTCAAGAGCGAAATACATACCGCCCACCCACTCAACATTTCCAGAATACACATGAAACATAAATCTTGATTGGGGTTGTGTCCAAGTCACATTTGTGCATTTTTTAAAAAAATAGAACATGAGATTAGCAGGGTTCCAAAAGGCACTGCCATAATTAACAAGCTGTTAAGTGTTATTAGTATCTGGCCTGCTGATTTTTCTGGTTATTAAAGAAGGGATAACCATAAAAAATCTCATAGCCTCTACAGTTTACACTGCTGCTCTGTTAGAGGAAAAATACTAATCATTCTGTTTTGAAGTAACCAATATTATGTAGACAAGGGAGAGCATCAAGAGCTGGCACAGATAATGGGCTCAGTGGGCACATTCTGGGTACTATTAAAGGCAGCAAAGTGGAAAATGGGCCAATTTATGCATGTACATTTTCCTGTCTTTTCAGTCATCTCAACTGGATGCAGAGGAACATTATGATGAATTAGGGATTCATTAAAAGGGTGGGTAGCGTTTGATTTTTCATCTCCGCTAGCAAACTGGGTTGAGCCACTGTGAATGATGTTTATCCAGTCTACCCTAGATATCAGTTTTATACAGTTCAACTGAATTTCAGGCCTGCTGAGCAAAAACTTCAAAAATTTCTTTCTTCACTCTATGCAGTGAAACTTTTTGCCATGTTTGTGGTGCTGCAGGGCTGCAAGGGTGCATATCAAAATCAATGTCAACAAATGATTTGTACATGTAGATAATCACTACCTCAACTCTTCCTGAATTTTGTTTGAGACTCTGATGATATATAGACATTTTTAAAAAAAAAACAATGAAAGCTTCCTAAACAAAGCTAAATTCAAATAAAAATTTGTTCTTACGATCCAGAAATCCATGACTGTTATAATGCAGAAAGATATTAATACAATTCCTGATCTTGGATGAATAACAAAAAAAAAAATAACTAAAGCACCTAACCATTTCTAACATGAATTTTGAAGCTATTTATCTAGTATATTTCCTCTAGTGTCAAACACTAACAAAAAAAATATCTAAAGGAAAATTACTGTATCCATTGGAAACCAGAAAATGAAGGGGGGTGGGAGTGGAACGACTCTTCCAAATAAATCTGAGGCATCTAATTTTAAATAGGAGTTTAATCTCCTCCTTACTCAACACACATTAAATTACAGCTTATAAACCATCCTCATTCACAAAGAAAATGAGGGAGTTAAACCAACCAATCATTTTTATGTTTCGTGGGAAACTGGTGAAAAAGATGACTACTGGGGTCCCCCTGGAACCTCCAAATTGTTCCAGAGCTCTGGACAATACTCTCCCTTTCATTACATTGGCCATTCCTAACATGCCTTCTAATACTGACACCTGATGTTCCAATCTTTATTCCGGTCATAGATCAACATAGACCCTTGATGCTGAAATTTTGAAAAGTGTTCGCAAATCATAGCGTAATTAACCTGTTTCCTCCAAATTTTCCAGTATTTCCCCAATAAAAGCATTTTTCTACGCCCGAGCTTTGCCTTGCATATCTCCCTCTCAACACTCCATCTTCACCAAACAATATCCTTCCTTCCAACACAAATTCAATTAGTAGCCAAATAGCTTCTCCCCCTACATATTCTCAAATTTAGAAATAATCTCCAAAAAACAAAATCCTTTTGAATCTGAAAGTTCATACACTATCTGGTTGATCTTACAGAATTAGGATTCCGTTTCTCCTGTGAATGTGTTTATAAAAGACCAACAGAATTACCTAACACTATAAATATAGCCATTCCCAACTGCCTAAGCTTGTCATTGCACTGTTCACACAAGTATAGCAACTCCAGCAGTTAAGCCCCCAACTCTATTTTCCAATAACAAATTTCCATGTATCGGATTACTAGTCCTACATAAGTTACCTCAAAGACAAAGAAATAAACTTTTAGAAAAATAATCCTCCTAAAAGGCAGTCTGAAAATATCACTGCTACTACCAATAACCAGTAATAATCCTGTACTAAAAATACTATCAAAGAAAATCTTTTTCTACCTCCGCTTCAGTCTTGGGTAATAAAAATCAAGCGTATTTATTTCTATTTCAGTGCAAAACAAGAACTGCTTACCTAATTTTCAGGTCTGAAGTCAGAGTAATTTAAGCATTTGTGCTATAAATCCCAAGAAGGTTAAGGATTCTTCTTGTATACAGCAAAATGTCAATATTCTAAGCTGTTTTTATTTTCCTTTACTGAAGCATGTGAATCTTCCGCTTCTTTACTGTAGGAACAGAAGACTCACGCCCTTCAATATAAATGAAATAGGATATACACAGTAAACATTTCATTATCATTCTACGTACAAGGAATGGGATAGATGCAGCCAACCTATAATTATAATTCTACATAAATGGAACCGGATATATACCCGGTCTGTTATGTTTACATGAAATAGGAACGTATATTGCATTTAGTAAAAAGCAAAGCTGGCGTTTTCTTCCAAATCATTTCTCTTTGAAAGGGCAAGAGGGCTCTTAGATTGGAAGACAATAAAATAAAAGAGGCAAACCAGCTTTCCTGACTAATTTTCGGATGTGGGGAGAGAAGGGAGGGGAGGAAGGGTCTAAAATACAGATTGAGTTTCTTCCTGGGGGAATCTCTGCCGACAGACAGGCATCCCTTGTACAACTGCCCTGTGCCTGACTTAAAATGCCCGACAAAAAGAGAATTTAGGATGGGTATATTGAGGTGAAGAAAGCTGGAAGAGGCAACCTGGAGCCACTCTGTGATGGAGAGTGGATGGAGTCAGAAGATCAGAACATCTCCCACCACCATGTAGGGTATCCTTGTATTTGTAGGGTTTTCAAAAAGAAACTGAGTAGTCATTTGTCCGGGATGGAATAAGATCTCCTTGCCTTGGGCAGGAGGTTGGACTAAGTGACCTCCAAGGTCTCTTCCAGCTCTTTGATTCTATGTCTCAACAGCACATGGGGGGGGGGTGTTCCACATAGCTTTCCTCTTGTGGGAAACTCCAAAAAGGGAACTCCTTTTCCCACTGCCCCCCTCTCCCCCAGGACTTCTCCCTCGCTGCCTTCCTGGGGGTGACCCGAAGGAATGAAGCCAACGCCCATCATCCACTCCTGCCCCCAGCTTCTCCTGCTGGGCTACCCCAAGGATGCCCAAGGCTCCGGATCGGGCACCCTCCAGGTCCTTGTTTGCCCCGAGAGACGGGCAGTGCCAACCCCAGGCAAAGGCTCCAGCATGGCAGGGAAGCAGGGGGAGGCTGAGAAAACTGCTCCCCCCCTCCAGGACCATCCTAACAATCACTATCCCAGCAATAATTAAGAATAACAATAATAATTGCCTATTATTGCTCGGTCCATTGATGACCCTCCTACAGGAGCAGCAGCAACAGCATCCTTAAAGCGAGGAAGGCTCTACATCCCAGGCGGACCCCCGGCTCTGGTGCCCTCCATGAACCCCCCCGTCCCGAAAATGGGGAGGGCCGCCGCCCCCTCACTGACAGAGACCTTGGGGGGCTTCAGCGCCTCCTCCCCCGGGGACCTCCATCACTGCTACCTACGCGAGGGAGTCGGCTGCCCTCCCTTCCCTGCGCGCCCCGCTCACCTGAGGCGGAGGAGGCCCGTCACGGCGCCGGTAGCGGCGGCCTCCGGTCAGACGCGACTCCGCCAGCAGCGGAACCACCTGCAGCCGCCATCGCGCCTCGCGCCCCGCCGGGGAGCCGCGCGCCCGCCGCCATCTTGGCCGAGGGGAGGGGCGCGCGGGGAGGGGGCGGAGCCACGGCTGCCCTGGAAACCAGCCCGCTGGGGGAGGGGGGAGGGGAGAGGGTGCCCCTCAATTATGGTGGGGGGGCTGAGGGGGGCGGCAGAGACGCCCAGCAGAGCTTTCCCCCCCCCAGTAATAGAATAGAATAGAATAGAATAGAATAGAATATGAATGAATGGAATGCAATAGAGCTGGAAGGGACCTTGGAGGTCTTCTAGTCCAGCCCCTTGCTCAAGCAGGAGAATCTATACCATCTCAGACAAGTGGCTACCTCTTCTTAAAAATCTCCAGTGACATCATCAATATCATCAGTGCTATAAGGCAGTGGCGTTTGAGTTGATGGTGTTACCTAGTTTGAGTCATGAAACGTCTGCAAGAAGACTACCAGGTTTAGAGAGCACCAAGGACCCCTCACAGTATTAATCACCCAAATAATGAGAAAATCTTGGGTTCAAGCAGAATAGGGGGTCCACAGACACCCATGCAGCAATCTCTAGAATAGGGGGGAGGGTCGAGCAGAGGCCCCGAGCAGATTACCTTACGAAGCACCCCTGGAACGGCTTGCCTTCAGAAGTTATGGATGCCCCATCACTGGAGGCTTTTAAGAAGAGACTGGACAGTCATTTGTCTAAAAAGGTATAGGATCTCCTGCTTGAGCAGGGGGTTGGACTAGAAGACCTCCAAGGTCCCTTCCAACTCTGTTATTTTGAAGGCTGCAATGTTTACAAATAAACATAATGGTTTCTGCATAGATTTGCTCCCAGATGAAGTGTCAGCAGCCTTACAGTGTTATTGTTTTGTATCTATTTTATTTTGTTCCAGGAAGGAACTGAGTACGCTTACTGAAATGTACTTAAAGATCTGCATGAGGAGTCTCAACATTATTGTCTCTCTTCAAAATATTAATTGCTGTAATTCAGGTTTTTGCAGACTGATGTTATTAGCAACACAAATGGCTTATTGGCATAGAACAGCGATGGCTATTTATAATGGAAGACAGCCACCATTTATTGAAATATTCATGTAGAATTTTCATAGATGGATGTGTGTCCATTAATTTATTCCCTCTCTGTTTTTCTTTCTTTATAGTCTGTTTCCTTTAAAGAATAATTCTGTATGTTGATTTTTTTTACATTGAATTCAGTTAATAAAACCATTTTTTAAGTTAAAGTCCTAACCATATTATGCACAGTGGCTAAATCTGTGTGTGTGTGTGTATTTGATATGGCATTGATTCTGGGTGGAGAAGAAAAAAGAAGCAAATATTTCTAATGTAAACAGTGAGCAAATATAATATTTCTTATTTCAAACATCTAATTGCCTCATGCCTTTATTCTTGTTCTCTAAGGATGCTTAAAGGTTACACAAAATGAGACTTTTGGCCTTCGATCTGCCTATTAAAATTCAGACTATGATGCCAAGAAAAGCTCTTGGTCTGTTTGTCAGGAAATTTAGCATTGATTCCTTAGAGCTTATGTTTGACGGGAATTGATTAACTTTAAACTAAGCAAAGAAATAATATATTTGAATGCAGGGGTAATGATGACGCAATACTTAAAACAGCAGCTTTAAATATTTTTGTTTCTACTACAAAAGCAGGTTTGGGAAAGGAATGATACTGGCTATAATTTATAAAAGAAGAAAGCAGGTATCAGGTGTGAGTGTGGACATAAGACTACAGTGCTCAACTTACAATCATAATTAAACCCCCCCCCCCCACACACATACTACTACTACTACCACCACCACCACCACCACCACCACCACCACCACCATCCTCAGTCACTCTTGGATACAGATAGTCTTCAACTTATGACAATTCAGCCCAAAATTTCTGTTGCTAAGCAAGGCAGTTCTTAAGTGAGTCACTACATTAGTTAAGTTAGTAACACAGTCCCTTTTGACTTTGCTTGTCAAAAAGTCACAAAAGGGGATCACATGACCCCAGGACACTGCAACCCTCATAAATACGAGTCAGTTGCCAAGCATCCAAATTTTGATCTTGTGACCATGGAGCTGCTGCAATGGTCGTAAATGTGAAAAATGACGCTAAGTCACTTTTTTCAGTGCCACTCTAACTTCAAATAGTCACTAAACCAAAGACTGTAAGTCGAGGACTACTTACATCTGCATAGTTTGATTTTTCCTCCTGGAATTAAGCCATAACAGGGAAATATTGTTGTGAACGCACCAATAATTCTGGGCTGGGAAGTCAGTGTGACAGGCTGAAAAATTTTGGAATTTTGTAACCAAATACTTGAATGGCAAGTCTTAATCTCCTTTCTGAAACACATTTAGTTTGCAAAGGACATTCCCAGTAGACAATGTCCCATGTTTATGGATTACAGACGAATGTATTTTATTGATAGTTGTAGATCATTCTCGTTCCTTCCCAGACTTTCTGTTTGAAGTTCAAAAAGAAGAGCAGTTACTTTGGTACAGATTTTTACAGGATGCTTTTACAGTATCCCAAATCCATCTGCCTTCTTCTGCCTTCCTTCCATGTTAACAGTTTTCTAGGATTTACGTGACACTCACGTTCTACCACGATTAATACATTTACACATTTTGCCTGCCATTATTCTAAGAATCTCCAGCAACAGAAGAAGGCACATTAGGATACTTCATCCCTCGAAATGCAGTGCCCTGGCCGAAGACAACGGGCCCACCCACATCACCAGCTGCTTTTGATTAATCCACTTCTCATTCTGCAAAAGCCGCTAATGAATATTCTGCCCCACCATGGGCCGGCTTTCTCTGGCAGAAATCTGATCTTTCTTTATAGCTGCTAATCAAGAAAGGAGAAAAGTTAAAACACCAACATCGTTGACTACGCAGAAGAAAAATGAGCAGTCTGTCCAACACAGTTGTGAAAAAACTCAGGTTAGTGCAAGTTATCAGTTTGCAGTTGCTCCCAGAGGGAAATTGGTGGTTTTATGTTATCCCTTCGACAAGTATAATCAGGACTCCCTAGTGAAAAAATGAACCACATTCCATTCAAGTCAAGTCTCAGGATGAAAAAAAAAGTGACTTTGTATGTTGGAGAAAACAGCAGGCAGTCCACTGACCCACGATCTGGAGAAGTTCCAAAAATATGTCTTTATCTGGGAGAAGAAAAAGCTTGCAATGTTCCTGCTGATGGGTTGACATTTCAGAAGCACGGGGTGAAACCTGCCGATGACATTTGCAGCACAGATTTCCTGGAATTGTAAAAGCTCAAGAAAGCGTTTGATCAACTGTCTCCTCTTGCAATTGCACGGAGGAAATGGGTGCGACTCTGGCCACATCGCCGGGATTTGGGAAGTCTTTTTCAAGAGACAGCATTTCTCCAGCCCTGGCTCCTGCTAAAACAAAATACAAAACTTTGGCACACAGATCTGTGCAAGGATAGGCTACCTCTGGCAACATAACTCATTCTCAATGCAGTAACCGGATCCCTGAAAACCCAGCGTGGTACACTTTGGGGTCTATTTGTTTGTGTACCTAAAAGATTTTTAAATGATTAGATTATCTCAAGAGGAAGCAAGCTTTAGATGTTGTGCAGCGAAATGTGCCAGGGAGGGTTTGCAAGTGGTCAGCCTTCACCAAATCCCAGTCTGTCCTACATTTTTGCCTAAATCATCACTTAGGAAATGCTTCTGGCATGTTCGTCTGAGAAAAATAATAGGAACCAGCTGCTAAAACACAAAAGCAGGAAGGCGAGGAACAGCCGCTTTTGGAACAGAGAGAGCAAAGAATGTGAAAATCAGGAATTCATTAGGAAACCTATCGCCATTAGAAAAACGTCAAAACCTCCTGGAGAATTTCAATCTCTTCAATAATAATATACTTCTTTTGATTTAAGTTGCAAAAATGTCCCATGCAGGAGAAATTAGGGCAAGGATCAATTTCCCCTTTTGGGGGGGGGGGGCTAAGACGGTTGCCCTGTCCCGGAGCCATTTGATCCCCTTTTGTGACCTTCTGACAAAGGAAGTCAGATTCACTTAACAACCGTGTTACTAATTGAAGAACTGCAGTGTTTCACTTAACAACTGGGGCAAAAAAAGATTGTAAAATAGGGCAAAATTTACTTAACAACCTACATTTGGGGCTCAATTGTGGTCATAAGTCGAGGAGTCCCTGTAGAGAGGAGGGAGTAAAAGGCAGCCTTTCTAGTGCACTGTGGTAGCTGCCATCTTGACTTTTTTGACCGGATCCTGCCAGATCCCTCTGCTGCAAAGCCTGCAGTGCTCTTCTGTGGGAATCCTTGGAAAACCTTGGATGCTTCAGAGATTTCCGTCTCCATGGCGACAGTCTGTGCTGCTGCAGCGGAGAAGGACGTCTTTGCAACTCCACAGGAAGAAGTTTGCAAATGTGGCTTTGGAAAGAGGATGTTTGGGCTTTTTTTCATCCTTCTTGCGGGCTTCACATTCCGCAATCGCCGTCATCCAAAGGAGGGTCCCGGCAAACACCTTTCATCATTTTCTGACGTAGGGATTAAAAAGCAGCCAGAACAACCGAGTTTTTCCTCTCTGTACACAAAACAAAAACATTTACAGGTAGTCCTTGACTTATAACCACAACAGAGGCCAAAATTTCCATTGCTAAGCAAGACAGTTAAGTGAGGTTTGCCCCATTTTACAAGCTAGGTGAATCACTGCAGTTGTTAAGTTAGTGACTCTGCCTGCCCCGTTGACTTTGCTTTCAGAAGTTACAAAAGGAGGTCACATAACCTCGGGACTCCGCAACCGTCATAAACATGACACAGTGAACAAGCGCCCGAATTTTGATCATGTGACCATGGGGATGCTGCAACGATGATCAGTATGAAAAACTGTCATAAATCACTTTTTAGTGACATTGTAACTTCAGTCACTAAATGAACAGCTACAAGTCGAGGACTCCCTCTACATGTTTTAATCCTCCTCTTTCCAGGTACAAAGTAGGTTTCTCAGTCCCATCCAACTGGGATTGTCAACTAGAGCAGATATTAACCACCAACTGTAGCTGATTTTCCTATAAATGGATCTTTCATACATAAGAATTTTATACATGGGAAAGGAGTATGGGGGGTGCTTAACTTATGACCAGGAACCAATCTTGATTTCTTCTCACATCTACTAATAGATATAAAATATTGATGGAGAAGAATATTTGTAGTTCACGGTTCCTTGTACTCTCTGAGCTTGGTTTTCTTGCAGACTTTTCATAACCAAACTAGATAACACCATCAGTTCTTGAAAAGAGTGGGCGTTGTGGAATGGAGGAGGAGGGGGAGGGGGAGGGGGAGGAGGAGGAGGAGGAGGAAGAAGAGGTGGTGAAGGTGGTGGTGGAGGAGGAGGAATGTGGAATCCTTGGTACTCTCTGAGCTTGGTTACTTTTTTGCAGACATTTCATTACTGAACTAGTAACTAACGTCATCAGTGTAGCATACTCAGACATTCAATATATTTCTTGCATTTTTTTATTGTGTCCAATGGGATCATTTTAATTTCCATCAAGAACACATTATTGGCCCTTGACTTGGCAGAAAAAAGATGCCAGAGTAATTAAGATGGCTCAGGTGACTGAGCCCTCTTCTGCCTCCGGAGCAGGGCTGATGGATGATGCTGTCCTTTAACGAGGGGTAATTTAAGGACCAGGTTTGGTGGATTCCCTCGGCTTCATTTCCTCTCTTACAGAGTGTCTACCACACTTCCCAAAGACTGCTAAGCACATGTTTAGCAGCAGGTCAAATATTCTTCCAGAAAAATAGCCAACCCATGGACAGCTAAAGCCTGAGAGTGCCTGAGGATGCTTTGTGATGCCCTGTTCTGGCATCTGGCAGAGAAATGCCTCTTTGGAAGTATGGATAGTCCTCAGCTACCTTTATCTGAATATATTTTGAGCAGGCACCCCAGGATTTCTGCTAGAAGAAATCTACCTGTGAGAAGCATTGGAACATCAGAACAGTTTTCCACATTAATCAGAATGCTGCAGCTTTGGTTTTGGACAGACATCTGGTATTTTTATATTAGGGAAGAGGCAGAAATCCAAAGAGGCAGAACAGAGCCCAGGGATTCAATGCCACGTTGTGTGAATCAAGCCTTTTCGGCTGTGTTCCTGCTAAATGTTTTTCCAAATCTCAACCACATCAATGGGAGCCTCTCCCAAAATATCAGTTGTGCTTTGGAAGCTCTGCTTCTCCGGGGGCTTAAAAACATGGAAGGGGAAAAGTTCATTTCCCCGTCTGTACTGCCTAAAATGGATGGTTTCTTGGTGAATACAGAATGGAAAAGTTCACAGCACATGGACTAATAGATTTGAAAAGGACGTTGGAGGTCTTCTAGTCCAACCCCCTCAAGCAGGATACCATGTACCATTCCAGCCCAGTCTCTTCTTAAAAGCCTCGTGTTGGAGCACCCACAATTTTTTGTGTGGTTTAGTGGTGGATGGAAAGAAGCCAGGAGGAATTGGGTGACCTTCCGCTTCCACCTCTGTGCGTGGAAACCCAATGCTTATCAAGGCAATGGGCATTTTTTAAAAAAAACTGTAGCATTGAAAAACAGGAAATTCTACCTGCCTATGGTTTCCAAAGTGTCAGGGTTGTGTGACCACAGGGGAAGACACTCAGCCACGCTTTGTCATGTCACCTGTTTTGCATCTTCTGGAGAGTGCAATCTTACTCATCATGGGTGGTTCAGCGGCGTTTAGTGTGTGCTACAAATTCATCCAGAGGTTGCCTAAGCTGGATTGTCAGAACTGCCAATCTATAACGCCAGGCATTGCCTGCTGTCAGCCTGCCGTGTTTAATGGGGAAGGAGGACTGCGGGGTGGGATAAGGGAGAGTTAGCATGGGAGGAATCAAAACTAAGCATCGGACTGCCCTGTGAGAGCCGCCAGCCCTTCCAAAGTCACACTAAAGGAACGCAGAACCGCTCAGCCCACGAAGACAGGGACTGTAACCCAAACAATTAGTTAGCATCGAATTGGACATTTGTTGATCACCAGAAGGGAAGGTGGGAACAAGGGAACATTAACCATATGCTTTGGGTGCAAAAACCTCAGATCTAGCTTTGCTTCTTCTGTAACCACTTGCTTTTTAGTAACTCCCAGAATTCCTGAGCCAGCATAAAAGAGCCAAGGTTGCCTACCTCTGGCCTAATGGGAAAAAAACTGCCTTTTATAATAATATAATAACAATTATAATAACAATCACCATTCTCTCTTCTTCCTCCTGGAAGCAGCTGCGCTCACGTTAGGTGCAAAGTCCTCGTGGCTGCCCTCTAGCGGTCGTGCTGAGCCTATCGCACGGCCCCACAGGAAAATTCTTGAAGCAAGTTCCGACAGTCTGCGCACGCGACTCGCGCATGCCCGGAAGGGGCGGCCCCTGGAGATCCCGGAACCACATTTCGCAGCCGTGGTGGCGGCGGGGAATGTTTTGGACTTCACCCAGGGCGGCGGGGGGGGGATGAGGAGGCAGGGGAGCCCCGGCCCTGGGGAAGACTGACGCGGCGCACCTCGGCTTCCTGCCGGAGATCCCATTGGAAACGAGCCGGCCGGCTTGATTGGAGGTCCGAAACAGCGAAGGTGAGCAGAAAAGATTGAACGCGGATGGGAAACCACCAGGAAAGCCCTGGGCGGAAGGGGAGTGTCTGCCTCCTGCTCAACTAGAATCCAAATTACAGCATCCCAGTAGATCAGGGGTAGGCAACCTTGGCTCTTTTATGACTCGTGGACTTCAACTCCCAGAATTCCTGAGCCAGGTATGCTAGCTCAGGAATTCTGGGAGTTGAAGTCCACGAATCATAAAAGAGCCAAGGTTGCCTACCCCCGCTAGATGATTATCCAATATTTGCTTGAATACATCCTGTAAAAGGGAGCCCGCCACTACTCTGGAGATAAACGCAGCCTGTACATAACAAACAATCTCACAGTAGCTTTTTTAAAATGGATAAAGTTGAGTTAGCAGGTGTCAGTGAACACGCTCATATAATTTGAAAGAGAGAGAGAGAGAATGCTGAAAATCTTATTTTATTTCCTCTGCAGAGATTTTTCCTTCTGCATTTGACAGCACAAAACAAGAGCCGCCATGCCAACTGTTGTGGTCATTGATGTGTCCCTCTCCATGACCCGGCCGGTCTCCATTGAAGGCTCTGAAGAGTATCAGCGGAAGCATTTAGCAGCCCATGGTCTGACAATGCTTTTTGAACACATGGCTACCAACTACAAATTGGAGTTTACTGCCTTGGTTGTGTTTTCATCTCTTTGGGAGCTGATGGTCCCCTTTACAAGAGACTATAACACTCTCCAGGTGCAGTATAAAAGCAACGATCTGCGCTTGTATTAAATTGTCACATGCTGCATATAAATAGATTATAAATTCATAGGATATTTTTGTCTCTCTGCGCTCCTCTTGTGGATGGGTAGTTATATAAATTTGCTTTCTAAATACTAACACACAGAAGTGCCTTCATCACATTACATCAGCCTATCCCACCTGGTCTGGCACTCTCCCCCCAGAAATGAGGTGGACCCCAGTCTCCTGACCTTCCATAAAGGTGTAAAAACATATTCTGTGCCCTTGCTTGGGACGTGCAGATGGGCATGCAGCCATAGGGGTGATTGGTGCCCTGAAAGATTAGGGCACTAAAAGCAGCCTTTCAATCAATTCTTAACATTTGATGCCTCTTTTAAATCTTACACATTATTTTTTATGCTTTCAATATTTTATTGTATACCGTACATCAGGGGTCTTCAAATTTGGCCCTTTTATGACTTGTGGACTTCAACTCCCAGAATTCCATGGCTGGCTGAGGAATTCTGGGAGTTGAAGTCCACAAGTCATAAAAGGGCCAAGTTTGAAGACCCCTGGTCTAAGTTAACCATGTCAGTTTGGAAGCCGAGCTTTGTTTTAGCCCAGCCCAATAAGTGTCCACTTTCTTTCCCAGGAAGCTTTGAGTAATATAGATGATTATGACAAAACGTGCTTGGAGTCAGCCCTGCTAGGAGTTTGCAGTATCGTGCAGCAAGAGTGGGGCGCTGCCATTCCTTGTCAGGTTGTCCTGGTCACAGATGGCAGCTTGGGCATCGGCAGGGGCTCCCTCCGCCACTCTCTGTCCACACTCAGCCAGCGGAGTGAAAGCAACCGGTTCCCGCTGCCTTTTCCGTTCCCGTCCAAGTTGTACGTCATGTGCATGGCTAACCTGGAAGAGGTGAGTCCCCTTTTTAGAGCCAGGAGGGGCTATAATTAGATCAGCCCTCCATTTGCATTGGCCTTAATGCTGATTGGGAGGGGAGGCATACGCTGGCTGAGGAATTCTGGGAGTTGAAGTCCACAAGTCATAAAAGAGCCAAGTTTGAAGACCCCTGCTTTATCAGGTACATGGAGCGATGAGACTAATAGCGAATTTAAATTGAGGTGAGGCCGGAAAAGGGAGGGAAAAGCTGGTGGGCTGTGCAGATGTAGTTAACATGGGAGGTATATTACTACAAGTAATTTGTCAACTAAGAATTGTAGTAAGCCTGAATTTGATACACGTGAGTTCAGCAATCTCTTGCACAATTACAGTATTTTAAAGTTTCTTTTTTTCCAAAAGTGCTGGTGTATGATCTGTCATATCCTAGGGGGTTAAAAGGTTATTTCTCTGGTATTATTTTGTGCTTGTTCTCTCATCAAACCTGGGTCCATTAATTATTTTGGGCAAAGTTTGGCCTGTTTGTCCTGCCAGTGAAATGAGCAGGGGCCAATGCAGCCTCTACATCAGGGGTGTCAAACTCTCAATGTCACGTGACATGTCACTATCTATCGTGACTTTTTTGCCATTGCCCGGCAATGGGGTGGGTGATGCATCCGGCAGTTTGACACCCCTGCTCTACATGCAAGGACACTTAGATACAAAGCCGAGCAGACAAATAAATAGCTGTGTTTTCTTTGCTGATTATTGGAAGTTCCCTTCTGTGATTAAAAAAAAAAAAATCTAACGTTCTGATACGATTTTTCCCTCGTGTGTAAAACGGTTTCCTTTCCATTTGAAGCTCCAAAGCTCCGATTCGCTAGACTGCCTTGAAAGGCTCATTGATCTAAATAATGGAGAGGGGCAGATTTTTACCATCGATGGACCCCTTTGCTTGAAAAATGTGCAGTCGATGTTTGGGTAAGCAATCTTGGTTAAGAGTCACCGCCTTCAATTGCAGTCAGGGTTTCATCAAGTTCTTTCAATCTGGTGCCCTCTAGATCAGGGTTGCTCAACCGTGACAACTTTAAGACGTGGACCTCAACTCCCAGAATTCCAGCATAGCTGACTGGGGAATTCTGGGGGTTGAAGTCCACCCATGAGAAATATGGTTCTAGATGCACGCAGCTTTAACCCTAGACATGTCTGGAAGATGTCAGATTGGCAAAAGCTGGTCTGTGTGATGCAGCTGAATACCACGAAGGACCAGTTTAGCCACCTACTTATAAATGGGGTTTACAAATCTCAAACTTTAAATTAGATGTACCATCTAATTCTCTCAAGGGTTTACTGCATGAAAATAAAAAAAAATAGGGTGTTTTGTTCATGTAAACCGAGCCAGGAAAGCATTGAATTACTTGCAGGTAGCAACTAAATACTATGGCCTCCCTATTCTATATATAATACTAAGCTACAATAGGATCTGTTGGCTTTTTGCATAATATAAGAATATTTTAAAAAAACAACCTTTTGTGTTATTTGTGAAATCAGATCATATATATTTCCCCATAAAGCTGCCTTCCTTTCTATCTTTTCAAAGCAGAACTGAGGGATTTCTAGAGCTCAAATACTGGGAATTGTGCATTTCTGAGTCAGGCGAGGGAGACCGTGTGCTTAGAGAAATTCAGAGTCCATTTGACATTCAAAGATCTGCAATGCACGCTGCTTGTTTTAATGCGTGTGGAACTCCTAGAGCTTGCTCTGTGTGGCTTGAACCCTTGCAGTGAAAGACCCAGTAGCAACTACTCAGTCACCGATCTGCATTTCCTCTCCTGAAAGCTAACTTGAATAAGCTCCCCACAGAGTGATTTATTCCTGTGGATTTTTACTAGTGATCCTCTCTTGTCCTAGGAAGCTAATAGACGTGGCATATACACCCTTCCATGCCGTTCTGAAATGTGGCCACTTGTCTTCAGACGTCCAAGCTTTTCCCAGGCCTGAGCCGTTCATTATAGATGAAGAAATCGATCCAATCCCTAAAACAATTAATACAGGTAAACGTCGTCTTCTCTGCAATGAATTTGGTCCTTGCTCTCTTCTAATCCCCTCTCTTCCTCCGCCTTAAAGACCATAACATCTAGCCATCACGCCCAATACAATAAGTCTGTAAAAAGGGAGCTATCGCCTGAAAGCAAAAATCCATTAATTTCCCCGTTTCTGATGCTGACCAGTTAGAGGCTTCCAGGAGGCTGAAGGGCAGGGGCTCTTCCCTGCTGCTGACCCCCAGTCAGTGGCAGTCTGAGAGACCTGGTGCCTCCAGCCCTGGAGGAAGGGATACATCCCTGCTGTTTTCTTGACCAAATAGCGCTTATAGCAATAGCACTTAGACTTATATACCGCTTCATAGTGCTTTACAAGATAGTCCAGTTGCCTTTTGGAAAAGCCCTCTTGGGGCAATCGTGACCTGGATGACTGAGAATCTCCCTAGACCAGGGGTAGGCAACCTTGGCTCTTTTATGACTCGTGGAATTCTGGGAATAAAAGGTTGCCTACCCTTGCCCTAGGCCTTTCACCCGTCTGAAATGAAAACAAAGTCCTCGGGACCGATGTCTGAAAGCATCCTTTTTTTCTGTAGATCTGGAAATTGTTGGCTTCATTGACATAGCAGATATCGCCAGCCCTCCGGTCCTGTCCAGACACCTGGTGTTGCCTATCGCACTCAACAAAGGTGAGCAATCCCCCCTGCCCCCCTCTGGCAGTTCCCCAGTGTGGCAGCCCCACAGGACAGGACAGACTCTGATGGCTTTCTGTTTTCTTCCTGCCTAGAAGGAGACGAGGTGGGTCCAGGGATTGCTGAAGATGTTGAAGACGAGAACTCAGCCAATCAGATTGCGGGAAAGATCCCCAACTTTTGCGTGCTCCTTCATGGAAGTTTGAAAGTGGAAGGGATGGTGGCTGTTGTGCAGCTAGGGTATGGCAGCTGGCTGGCCTCTGGGTGGGTGGTGGCAACGTGGACACAGCCAATGTCAGGGCCCACTAGAGAAGAGCCTGAGGCTGGGAAAGATCAAGGGCAATAGAAGAATGGGACGACGGAGAATGTGGTGGCTGGATGGAGTCACTGAAGCAGGAGGCGTGAGCTTAAAGGGACTCCAGAAGATGGTAGAGGATAGGAAGGCCTGGAGGAACGTTATTCATGGGGTCGCGATGGGTCGGACACGACT